CCCCCCTCCGTCTCGGGAGATTCTCAAGCGACGCCCTGCACGGCGTCCTATTAGGTAAACCATCCTTGCCAGGATGTTTGGGCCGTCTGGGCAGTCGAAAGCCACGTCCGCATCTAGAAAATCCAACGTTCGAGCACAGACGGCCTCCGATGTGCTTGGTGCGTAACTGTCGGCCTCTCACATCCATGGCCTCGTCATTGAAGATGGTAGTTAACGCCGCATTTTAAGGAATCCTGTTCCGTAGCAGCAGCCTAGTGGTGACTCTGGTGAGACTGTGATAGCAAACCGCATCAAAGCCTGCCGCCCGTTACTCCCGCCAGAGGAGGGGGGGATGCGCGTAAGCGTGTCAATGCGTCGGGCTTGCCAAAAAAAAAAAAAAAAAAGAGTATTGTTTTTGTTTTCTATTCCTCGACTCGCGATGTATTTTTCTTTCTTTCTTTTTTTTTCTCCTGGGCTCTCTGACAGCAATGCAGATGGCAAGTAATACCCAGTAGTTCTGAAGATGATCATGGGAGTAACATGTATATTCCAGGTCCGGCCTGATGAAGAAAAAGCCAGTTTTAATGTGGCACAGAAAAGGGCTAAGAACAGGAGGAGGAGGAGGAGAAATATAAAAATAAAATAAATAAGAAATGACCCGATTGCTTTGTCTATGTGATAACCAATTCTCCTGGGATATGAAACACCGGATGAAGGGATATAGTAATAAAGCAAAAGCTTCTCGAAATGCGATTTGTTTGCTTCCAATTCCAGGACTGTCGATCAGAGAGACAATGGAATTGTATTCCGTCTTCTCAGCGTCATCATGATGCAAAAAAAGATGATACAGGCCATCTTTGGCCGTTGCGTCGAGTGGTTTGTCTCTTGATGAGAGCAGTATCAGGTCAATGTGTACATAGTAAACATTTCCCTACCACGATGATATATCGATCGTGAGGGCTATCTGAGCAACGCTGCTCTTTCGAGCCGTCCAATGATGTGCGAATGAAATGGAGGACGGGCTCGCGACATGTGCTGTAGATATAGAAGTTTTGGAAGAAGTTGCACATGTTGAATTCATCGACGTGTCTCTCGGTTCGGGGACGCAGTGATGATGCTGAATAGGACGATGCGGTGGACGTCTAGACAGACGTACTGGAAGGAGTGCTTGCTGCAAACCCAAATGCGATTGACCCTATAAGAGTGAGGGGTGGAGGGGAAGACAGACCAACAAGTAAAAAACGGTCAAAATCCAAACAAAGTATTTATATACCCCGTTTCTGCATTGAATGTTGATGGCGGGGCGTTGCGGCGGATATACTTCTTTCTGTCGCTGTGGCGGACACATGCAATATGAGACCCCCCCCCCCCCCCCCCCCCCCCCCTGGTCTATTGCAGATTATTCTAAGTCCATCACCAGGTGGCTGCATGAGACGTTAGGCACATATGCTCCTGAGAGTCCACGAGCAACTCGGCCGGTTCTAGTGACTAGCTTGGAAAGCTGTATCTACTACAAGACACTCCCACCTCCGTTCTCGAAACAGGGCGGGTCCGAGAAAAAAAAAAGACAACGGCTGATGTTTTAGAAGAGCCGGCAGGATTCGACGATGTTCAAGTTGAACGAATCCACCGATGATGTATATTGTCTATCGGAGATATGGGAGATCGACACGGTCCCTCGCAGCCGTTAATGCTTCTGCAAATGCGTGTGGCGCCTGACTAGCCAAGGATCGTTTCATGCACAAGACAAGCGAATTGTTCGTCGAGCAGGTATGGACTCTGTTTATGCAGTGCTGCTGCTATTAGACTCCAGTCCGTAGGCAGTAGTAGATGGCTCCCAGAGCTGGCGGCCGCGAGAAGACCGGCAGGTGCTAGTCAACAGCAAGCAGAGGCTGTCTGTTAGCCATGTGGCATGTGAACGTAACGCCAATAAGACGTATGAAGCATCTATCTCGTTCCCACAGAGAAACAATACTCTGTACTAAATGAAGGACCAAAAATCGGGCAACACGGCTGCAGGGTTCGGCTTTCAATCAGGGGTAAAGAACTCCTGATGTTTGTAACATTTCCGATCCTCTTCTGTCGCTATCAACATTATTCCAACCCCTCGAGGCAGGGTGACGAGTGGACCCGGATCCAAACCGATATACTTAGAAAGACATTGAAGCGAAACTTTCCAGCATGACGGGAGATGTACGGAGTACGTGGTCGGACGATCCACCGAACCTCGAACCACTAGCTAGTAGCCATAATCGCAACCCTTTGGATGAAAGCAAGCCGTTTGATGCAAGCTAGCCCTTTTCTTCCTGGATCAATTGAATATAGTTTAACGGCGGGCAGACTTGCGGTAGTGGACACTGGGCAGTGGACACTGGGAAGGAAAGCCGCCGATTCGGACTAGATTAGTGACTAGTGAACGCTGGACTATTGCCCCGTCGGCCGAGTACTTCGAACAAACTCCGTAAGATGATCGTAACTATCGAACGATGAGCAAATTTTGATGCATCAAACACGGCATTATAATCTGATTAAGGGGTCATTGGCTCCCCACCGCAAAGTCAAATTATTGAACAAGCTCGCGTTGCACACGAACCCGAGAGGACAGTTGCAGGTTTCGGATCCCCGGAACTATTAGGCACCGCCAAGGCAGCGATCGAAACTCTGTTGTTTAGCGAGTCAGATGGCGGGCTATGTAGTATGGTGGAATAATACTCCAGTCCTCCACTCTGTAGAGTGGTAACCTGAGGTAACCTGAGGGAGAATACCCGTAACTAGTTAACTTATGGCCTGTACTCCGTATGTAGTACATCTGCAGTGTACTAGGTAGTTAGTAGGTACTCCGTACGACGTGTCCATGGTAATGGTGCCATATCCGGGAGCAAATCGGCTTCCTCTGCGCCGTGTCGAAACTAGTTTGTTGGTTGCCCGACAGAATCCCAAGCACCTGCTAAACCGGTCTTATTATTTCTCTACCAAGGAATGGTCTTGTAGTAACAAAACCCAGCCAAACTCTGATATGGTTGTGACGCGTACCAGGGCCAAGGGGAAGTCTGGTCGTAAGACGAATTCAAGTCTTGCATCCTTTTCTTCAACGCAGGGAAATGAATCCCAGCTGAGACCCTGGGACAAAGCGGGACAAGGATCGCAGCAATAAAATACTGCATTGTCAAGCGTTGAGAATCGGTCTTCTCCGTACCAGGTGCATAACTAGTCGACATACTCCGTAGCCAAAGACTCAAAGGCGGGCCCTGAGGAAGTATCCTCCTGGAGGAGTTTGAGGTTTGGAAAGTTAAACCCACATTGTTATTATTGTTGTTGTTATTTAATAATGTTGGCCCACAACTGGGCTTATTCGCGCATGTGGAAGCCTGGACGGACTCAAGGAGTGGTCGTCTCAAGGCATCTCCAGTGGTACCTGTTTTATTTTGTGCTCTTTGGCCTGTTCTGTTCAGCTGCTGCCTGTCTCAAGCCCTGTCAGTGCTCTTTTGCGTGACTATGCAGTGTGTGCTCCGTACCAAGTACGAAGCTATCGCGTCCTACCCCTTTTCCAAAAACAAGTCGCGTCCCGGGGATCGCGGATTCAAGAATCAATTTGCGTTCCTGCACGTGATACGTAGCTAACTCGTTACTCGACTAATTCTAATACGGAATAGCATATCTGGGGAACCGAGCTAGAACATATTAGGAAAACAAAAAACACCCACCCAGATCGGGCTAGTCATTTCTATGTTTAGCATCTCCGAAATAATATGTTTCACGTGACACAGGGTCACCGGACTCCGGAGTCTGGGAGCCAAGAGAGACTAAGGGTAGGAGGCCTTCGAGCGAGGAGATTCTCCTCTCCCAGAGCTCTGGAACGACAGCCCGTCTGACGTTGGAAGGGTCTCCGACTCTCCGCTCGCCGCTCCGACTCCGGCCCTGTGATTTCTGTTCTTCCGCTCGTTAGTACGGACTCCGGGATACCACCGCCCATCCCGTCGTTCTTGTTGTTCGTTCGTTGAAACCGCGGCTTGCGTCCACCACCCCCGTCGTTGTGGAGACCGGAGACGACCCCCTCTCCTCCCCCCCTCTTGTTGATAGCACCATCGTTTACCGTGCGACGCTCCCCTCGTGATTCTATCGAACGGCGTCACTGCCTACCTGGGTTGCCAGTATGGGAATCAGTTTCGACTCCATCTGCCACAAGGCGCCCCTGCCAGCATGTTCCATGCTCGGCCACTCGTCGGTGTCAGGGTCAACTGGCATCCTGCCCAACTGCTACGCGCGGAATATTGAGTTGGCCAATACAATCATCTTCGAGGGCGCTTCGTCATTCCTGCATATCATCGCGCTGGGAATGACGGTTGTTATGATCCTCCATGTTCGGTCTAAATTCACCGCTGTTGGTATGGTTCTACGACTGCAATTAAAAAAAAAAAAAAACGAAGCTAACGGGATGTCGCCACAGGTCGCAAGGAAATCACGACGTTTTTCTATATCTTCATGGCCTTGACATTCTTTTCGCTTATTCTCGACGCGGGCGTAGTCCCCCCTGGCACCAGCCCGTTTCCCTACTTCGCCGCCGTTCAGAATGGTCTGACTTCTGCGCTGTGCACTTGTCTGCTAATCAACGGATTTGTGGGCTTCCAGCTCTATGAGGATGGCACTGTGCTCTCCGTCTGGCTGCTACGATCTAGTTCTTTCCTCATGTTTGCCATCAGCTTCATCATCTCGCTCCTGACCTTTAAGGGATGGGGAGGTCTCGGTCCGACGAACACCATCGGGCTTTTCGTCATCCTCTACATCGTAAACGCGGTCTGCCTTGCAATCTATGTAGTCATGCAGGTGATCCTCGTGGTCAACACTCTGGATGATCGTTGGCCATTGGGAAACATTGCTTCCGGCACCCTCATCTTCATCGCCGGACAGGTCATCCTCTATGCGTTCGGTAATGACATCTGCAACAGTGTCCAGCATTATCTGGACGGGCTTTTCTTCGCCTCTCTATGCAATCTCTTGGCCGTTATGATGGTCTATAAGGTGGCCTCCCCTTCCCCCCTTTCCAAATGTTGTCTTGATTCACATCCTAACTCGGGCTAGTTCTGGGATTCAATTACGAAAGAGGACCTTGAATTCTCTGTCGGCGTCAAACCCAATACATGGGAAGTGAAGGATCTCCTTCCCGAAGAGGATCGCCGGACAACCGTTTACCACGACACTAATTCCGAGTACGCTGGCAGTGTCTACCATCGGGCATCTACCTACGGCGGCCACAACTACTAACCTGCACCCGGCGTGCTTTAATAACTCCCTTCATCAATTTTTGTATATGATCATATGATGTCATGTACCCTTGATTCGAGCATTTTCATATTCTAATGCACAGCTCCTTCTCATGTTTCTGATCTGGGCTATATATTCTTCTTCCCTTCCCTTGCATGCATATGCGCCTCTTGTGCCTATTATTTGATATTCGTTGCTGAAAAAAAAGGGAGTCCCCGAGGCGTTCGAAAGCATGGAAATTTTGTTTTCTATATACTATCATCATAATAATGGATATAATCGGTCTTTAATGGTTAGCACAGGAATTCTCTTATAGAGTCATCCAATACAGTATTCCTGCACATGGATATACATACCCCAAAGATACATTGTTCTCATGAATCATTGTCACTTATCCTGTTGTCGAGGAGTGTTCGATGCATATAGTACCATCGCACTTTAAACCAGCAGGTGTGTCTAGGGTGCTGTGACGAATTAACAGAAACATGTTGGTCAAGTCTGTTAGCTTCGAATTTTGGATTTGCGTTTTCAGATTTTAATCGAAGATCTTTGTATTCGTGTGATTGCTGAAAATAGGAGTATGATTTTTTTTCAGTCGTAGGTTTTCAGGGCTTGATGCATGGCCCAAGGAATTAGTCAACAATCACAACATCGTCAGCATCGACATCCATGAATCCCGTGTTTCCTGAACCAGGCTCAGAGCTGTCGTCCGTCCGGGCTGTGGCGGTAGAGTACCAGCCCTTGTCGATAGATTTGAAGATGACTTCGCAGGTTTGCCGAGTGAGAGAGGAGAGACCGGGGTTATCACTTCGGATGAACATGCTGATATGCGCCTTGACCTCGTCTGACGCTTTGTTATTCAGAGCCTGGATCCATTGCAGTCCTGGTGGCCCCACGATACGCTCCGCGTCCATTCCTTCTGTTTCTTGTCCGTCGATTTCCGGGGGAAGACAACAGAAAGTTCGATTTTTCGATCGAATTATTCGCTGACTGAACGAGGTCTTGCTAGAAGTCGTATTCTCCACCAAAGAAGGCGCACCTTCACCCAGGCAAGTATAAAAATTCGTCGAGCGGATTCCTCGCTCATCTTCGATCTTCGCTAGCAGCTTCAGGCGTTTTCGCAAATCTGCCGTGCGTCCTAGACACCCGACAAATTCAAGATGCGACGAGACCCAATTCAGGCCTGCCGAAATGCGAGACCGCTGAGTATACGCCGCTGCTCCGCCTGCGGCCACCGCACCTGCCGCCCCGGCGAACATAGCATACCGGCCCCAACGCTGCCATGAGGGCGTTGCAGCAGCGTCTGCAGCTGGTGAAGCAGCGGGAAGTGGTTTTGGGGCAGCGGCGGCCTTTTCTGGGGTCTTTGTTGTTGATGGGTTAGGCTTATCATTGCTTCCGTATCCGAAGAAGCCTGCAACTTCTGTCAAGGCAGTGTAGGCGGTAGTGGCAGTTTTGTAATGGCCTTCTGCCCCGTACGAGACCACGCCAGGAGCTATGCCAAGAAAAGGGGTGTCGAAGGCGAGAAGTCCTTGGATATGGGGGAACATGAAAGAACCCGGTTCCACAAGGCGCTGGCTGCCTGAAAGACGATCAGATGATTCCTGGGGAGGAATCGGTTGCTCTTCAGATAGCAAAAGCAGCGTCTCTGCGCCGACAATCCCCCCCATTGAATGCCCAATCAGGAAAACATGGACAGAAGGATCGACAGTAGGCGAAGGGGTCTCATTCTCAACTTCCAGATCAATTACTTTGTTTTGGAGCCTGTACAACATATAAAGGTAAGAATGGCAATCTGATTTTCTCCCGGATCAAGGCCGATAACACACCATTCTCGGAATCTGCCCACACATTCTTTGAGATCCCCTCGGGTTTCATATTTTGGGTAAACGGCAGTGACAACCCGGACTGAACTGAGCGCATGCGCAACCAGCACACGCAGCCGGTCTGGAAAGCCCGCAAATGTGTCGTCACCTCCCTATCGAAAACGTGAGTTTGTTGTGACCTGTTTCAGCAGCGTGGGGTATAGCTCTTGCGGGGAGGAATCGATCACTCAAGCCCATCGTTGCTATCGTACCTTGAAACCATGGATATAAACGAGAAGCAGCGTCTTGTGCATTTCCGCAGCTTGAAACCATTTCAAATCCCCGATTATTAGATGCGGCAAGTCTCGAGTCTGACCTTTGGAGCCAACCTAGAGAAGTAGGTGTGATTGGCTTACGTCATGCCACGTGATAGGCTTCGCTCGATAAGTTGATCACCAAATAGACAATAGACCAGTGTGTGGTTATAATAGTACTTGGATACCTAGATATCTCCGAGGAGGGATTAAGTAACGAGGGTTCCCGTCGTATTATCAGTTGTCTAATTCATTTAGGTAGGGTTGATGTTTGCTTCATCTATCTGACAGTTGTAGTCGGACCCCAATTTAGATCCAGACGGAGTACTAGGACTGGGAATAGTACGTTATCAAGGACCATGGTCATAACTTCTCCTTGCGCTCGGATTCCCCAAAGCGCAGCAAACTGTCTTGAATGGTGGTGGCTATCAAAGTTCCATCGGGACTCCACAGCCAACTCTCATGCACTGCTCTGTTTTCCCCCGAGCGAGGGGTCCAGCCCTCCTGTATGAACCACTTGTGGGGAAATTCCCTATTCTCCTGGCTCGATGTCGCATTCCAGTCAATCATCCTGAGAGCTTCGCCGTGCTGGTGGAATATAACCGTTAGAGTGAGGCTGGCCATTGCTGTCCATCTCGTCTGTCCCAAGGCGCGCGGGATTAGGAGCAGGGAGTTCTTATCACTCGAATACATGTGGGCGCAGGCGTAGAGATTGTCGTATTCCCCAGATTGGTCTTTGGTTTTGATGCTTTCAAGATCGGTATCGCTACTTATTGAGTCTGCAGGAGACCCTTTGAGGCGGTAGTAGGTCAATTGGCGATATTCCTCCGGGTGCTGTCTCACTTCTTGACTCTGGTTGTAGTCACCCATGTCCACTTTGCGCACATCAAGACCTGGAAATATAGGTTCCTCGATCTCGCCTGTGTGGACTTGATTGATCCACCAATCGACATCTATACTGGGGCTTACCATGCAGTCCTCTGGCGCTTTTCCTTGCAGGAGAGACTTGTAACGCTGCTGAACTGGCGGGGGCTGGTGATCAAAGTGCTGTTGCTTTTCATCTCGCTTGAATGAGCATAGACATGAGAAGCATATCTTCCCCTCTTGCCGAGCATCGACGGCTCGGATGCAATACATTGCTCCGTCTCTGAGATGGCGCACGGTAAAGATATAAGGGACATCCAGACGGCCTGGCAAAATAAACGAACCTGTCATGTCCTAGAAAGTACGACGATTGATTAGAAGCCTAGTCGATGTGCTCTGATAAGAGGTCCGACTTACATTGATCACCAAGCCTCGCTCGACTGTCTTGGATGCCGCATATGCGGCCTGCGCGTAAACATGCCCGCCAAAGGCTCTTCCGCCATTTCCTGGAGGATATGGCATAGCTTTTGAGCGAAATATCTCGATCTTCTCCTTCACATGATTGTGAGAATCGGGATCCATCGACACTTCGACATCGTCCAGGCGTTCGAGCGACATTAACTCGGCAAAAGCCGCCGGAGAGGGAGTAATAAGTCCATTTGACCGATGCGGTTCGTCAGAGGACATTTAATAGCAGAAAAGGGATTTGTTTCAAGAAAAATAAGAATGGAATGCAAGCTACTATACTGAGCTTTAATGCTGCCTTCACCAGTGGTCTATGTAGAGCGAGTTGTTCAATGTCTAGTACAGGGAGTCGAACAAGGCATGAGACCACACTGACAGTATCTGATTGAAAACAAAACACCCTAAGAAGGGATTTTTGTAACTTATGTATGTCCTTGTGATGGATTCCGACGGAGAGGATTTGCAGGCGAAGCCATGCCTCTATTAGCACATAAACACGACCTCGTACTTGATCCGGGGCGATCAGGACAACCTCGGCTGGTCAGCGAGGGGTTCGGTTGGCCAGTGAGACTCTCGCAGCGATAACTTGCAGGCACCTAAACTCTCTAGAGGTTAGATAAATCTCAAACGACTGGTGATTCTGCCTTGTGTCCTAGCTGACTTTGGCATTATTGGCCCTTTTAACTATGAGACAAGGCTCGTGACCGAGTCCCTTCTAATACTGGGGTGGTTTCTCTTGGCCCTTTAAGCTATCAGGCTATCGTTCAGGGAGTTTAATTGGCCAATAAAGGGTGGTATAATAACCAGGAATTGGATAGTATTGATTGGCTATAAGTCATTGACTTCAAATAGGTAGATTACTTAAGGGAATGGTACCTGTTAGGCCAACGCGACAGAATCTACTTGAACATCGACGCCTCCGTTTGTTTGATATATGGACCTTTGGACCGAGAAAAGAGTATGGGGAACGTTATTTTTCCGTTCAAGATCAAATCCTAACAAGTCGTTTGGAGAGTTTGGACAGGGGCTCCGAAGAATAGTCGAGAAAACACTCGCACTCATCACAGAGTAGATCCCATGAGAAATAGTAAAAATTGCAGAGTGGATTTCAATCAATAAGCGCCTAAGTATGCCGATAATACAGCTCCCGTCCCGTAAGATGATAAATGATACAATGCTGAAAGAAAAGCCAAAAAGAGAAAGAAAGAAAGAAACAGAAACAAGACCAGGTATCTGATACAGAACAGAGCAGGCAACAATTCACCTGTCTCTCCTTCACTCCTCACGAGAGGGTCCCCCCCACAGAAACCATCTAGATCATGTCGTAGATGCTCTTGTTGTTGTTCCATTCCACCTTGCCCTCCACATCTTTGATCTCCTCTAGCTTGTTTCCGAGCTTGACAATGGAGAACCGGATCATCCGCGGGTCTAGATGAAGCGTTCTATGAACGCCGGCTTGTGCGGACGCAGACGAGTCGAAGCGCATAATGAAGTGGTGGCCCTCGGTGTATTTGGCCTGATGCTTCTTCATGGTTTTGGGCAGGCGGAAGGTGCCCCAGTTCGTGTAGCCACGGACTACTCCGCCAGAGCGCAGAACATGGGCTCCGGCATTGCGAGCAATTCTAAAAGTCTATTAGATCTTCGATGCCGAACAGGAGATATCGAATCCAGGGGAATAAAGAGGTTCGTGGTGAACGTACTCGCGGACCTCCTGAAGGCTACCCGGACGGACCTGACCAGCGCAGTTAGTTCCAACAACCGGTGATTCAAAAAAAGAAAATATATGCAATCCATGAGACCCGACGTACAATAGCAACTAGCTCATATAACATGACGACCAGCGTTGTGGATGGCGATTTAATAGTCCAATGACGCAGACTTTTTTTCTTCTTTCCGACGCCGGCCTCCAGTTGAAGCTGTGCTTGTTGCGTCTTATCAGCAGGTCTTGGCACGAGCTTCCCGTATCAGTCCGCGGATTAGCTACAAGTACTTTATTTCTCCCTTCGTCTTTCCCACCTTTCCCATCTTCTCTTCCTTTTCTATCCTTCGCCTGGAATTTGCTCTCTTCCTCCTCGTCATAATGTCTACTGTCGCCAGATCCGTCCGCCCCTTTGCTTCCCGGGTAATTGCCCAGAAGCCGCTTTCCACACCCAGCATTGCGCGATTGTCTCCCACTCTGCGTTTCCCGCGGGGAAACACCAGAAGCTTCTCGCAGAGCGTTTTCTGTATGAACACCCGGTTATTGTGCCTGGATGGCCTCTGAATATTTATTGCCTGTTGTAATTGATGCTAATATTTTCTTTTGTTTTTGCTACAGGGCAAGTGAAGAAGTATACTGAGTCGCATGAATGGATTGAATTGGCCGAGGATGGAAAGACAGGTCCGTCAATTTCCTGGCGTTGACTGCATGGTGGATATATTTGTACACACAGAAGACTAACTTGAGGGAAAAGCCAAAATCGGTATTACGGATTATGCGGCGCACTCTCTCGGCGAAGTCGTCTTCGTTGAGCTCCCGGAGGAAGGCCTCGAGGTTAACGTCGGGGAACCCGTTGGCGCGGTCGAGTCGGTCAAGTCAGCGTCCGATGTGCTGTCGCCGGTGTCTGGGACGGTGATCAAGGGCAATGCTGTCCTGGAGGATAAGGCCAAGTTCATCAACGAGAGCCCCGAGGGGGAGGCCTGGATTGCCGAGATCGAGGTCAATGATGTCGCAGAGTTTGATGCTCTGCTAGACGCAGAGGCCTACAAGCAGACTCTTGATCTGGAGTAACGAGAAGGAGATGAGGTTGCAGAGGGTGCTGCGGGCTCCCTAGGCGCTGCCTGCTGGCCGCTCCGGAATGGACTTTCGCTATACCATGTCTTTTATCTACAGACCACTTAGATTTCCCTCTTCTTTGGGTTGATCGTCTTTGTTCAACTAGACTCCCCGGCTAGGCGCTTGTATTCAACAGCAAGGGTCTGCATTGATGAAATGAAATATCACATAATTATAATATTGCCTTTTCGTTAGTATGATACAAAAGTTTCCAGCCGGAATACTTGTCTGAAGGATACCCAGCTCCCAAACATGCGATGTAGTTCATTCTTCCATCTCTTCAATCGTCGGTTTGGTTGGTTTCTCTTCCTTGTGACCCATCAAACTATCCATGATATGCGATTCTTTTGCATCCGTAGTCTGCTTCGTTGTTGCAGACTCTGTCTCTCTGTCTAGATCAGGAGATGAACTGTTTTCGTGATCGTCATTGCTCTGGGTCTCTTCCAAGACACCTAGGCCGAGGTTCTAGTTGGTTCAGCATGTGTTCTTCGGAATGTCTAGATGTTTGATTTCCAAATCCGAAACCAAGAAACAACCCACCATTTCTATATATTGACCCTCCTCCTCGCCGGCCTCATCCAGAAGAATATCTTTGGATTTCCCTGCCGCAATGTCTTTCTGTAACGCCTCGTTGGCGCTCCGCAATTGCGGTAGAAAAGAAGAAACACGGGCGAGAATGTCCGAGTCTAGAGTGATGCGACCGATTGAAGGTTTTGACCGGCTAGGAACAACATTCGTTATTGATGTAGACTCCTCTTCAGGGGACCCGACAACATCATCGTGATGATCCAGATCTTCATCGTCGGCATTGCTCTCGCTCTCGGAGGAAGAGGTGCTGCCTTCGCTGCTCGTGTAGTCGTCCTCGTCGTCCTCGTCGCCGTCACCATCACCATCACCGGTAGTTTCTTCCGACAGATCATTCGATGTGGTTATCGAAGACGGCGCGACGCTATCGGAGCTCGATCTCAAGCTTGAGGGAGGAATCCTGGTGCGTTTCGGGAGTGAGACCAATGAGGATGGCTCCGGGACATCTTGTGGGCGCTTCATAGGAAGAAAAATATGTTGAAACAAGGCGCATAAAAATAGGTTGTCTAATAATATGATTGACAAATGGTGGAATATTCCTCAATCCGTGGCACTCGAAGATTGCGATAAAATGTGGGCCTCCTGAAGAACAGGAATCGACCCCGATAAGGGAGAGCCATTCGCTCTTTCCCCGCTTGGCTTGGACAAGCTGGGTGGACAATGGGTGCCGCCCATTGTCTTATTCATGCAGGCAGAAGCGGTCCTGCTGTCACTTATTGGAGTGAGTCCATTTCTTCAGCATGCCTGGTCGCTGACTAGGTACAAATCTACCAACTGCCTTGCTACCTTTTCCTTTGGCTGACGGTGTCTGGACTCAACGAGTATCCCCGCGCTGTCGCTTACTCCGTACTCCTATTGACCTTCATTCAGCCAGCTAGCACTGAACGTGGGGCTTCAGGTCGGCGTCAACAGAGGAGAACACATTGACTTTTTGCCCATACTTAGTATATTTTGGTACCAGCTGGTCTGGTCAAGTTACTGTCTGATATAATTACCCGAGCGAGAAACTGTTGAGGTGTTCCCTTCCAGAATGAGCATACCAACGCTACAAATCAATGACCGCACAGCGGAGATGCCCAAGGTGGTCATGACAACAACAACGACAACGACAGACGAGGAAGACCAGCAAGCATCGTCGCCAGCGTCGGCAACGAGGAAATCTCTGCACCAGAATATCTTCGGCAAGCTGCGTCCACTACCCTTCCAGTACCACTGGACGGTCTGGTACGACAAGTACACCGAGGGCAGTAACAACAGCTATGACGAGCGCCTGTATGTCCTGCACGAGGACGTGGCGGACATTGCAACCTTCTACCGTGTCTATAACAACTACCCATGGGACAAGGTCCGCCTGCGCGACACGGTGCATATCTTTCGCAAGGGCGTCAAACCCGTCTGGGAGGACCCAGAGAACTCCAGGGGGGGTTGCTGGAAGTTCCGCGTGCCCAAGACCAACGCCCAGGCCTTCTTCCACGAAATTGCCATCCTGTGCATGGCGAATGAGTTCCAGGCCGTGCTGGAGCAGGGTAAGCTATATCTTATACGAGTGTATTTCTCAAGACCGGAAACTTCGTATTAACTGGCACAGAACATGACCATGTCTTGGGTGTTTCCACCTCTGTCCGCTTCAACTCCAACACCATCTCTGTGTGGAACAAGCTGGGAAGCAACGAAAAGTCCATCAAAGCGCTGGAAAAGACGATCATCGATCGATTAACGCCTGACCTGCGGCCCACCGCGGGCTCATACTCTTACAAGCGACATGATGCAAACGATGGGTACCAAGAAGCAATGAGAGCTCTCTCGAGCCCGGCTAGCACAGTTGGTTCAGAAACTGGTACTGCCGGGAGTTGCGCAAATATTGGATCGAAATGATTGCTTTATTAGCCCATTGAATATGGAGCAACCAAGTAGTTACTATATGATATGCTACTAAATAACTCAACTATTATAAGCAAAACAGTTCTTACATAGATAGACTATTATTGATTACTCAAATTATCTATGATACATTATCATACAGGCTAGTGATGATTATCACTTAGCTACAACCTTTAATATCTTGATCATCTTGATCATCGATCACGATCAGGTATATACCTGTCAAAACGATCACGGGGAATTTCTCTGTCTGGAGATCGGACCCGTCGGCGAGGTGATCGGCTTCGATTACTTGTAGGGGGGACGTAGCGGTCGATATCAAGGAGATCAGGCGTACGCCGCCGCGAGCGAGAGCGACGTCGTGACGCTGATCGTCGTCTGGACGGACGAGATGTCGATCGGTGTCGTTCGCGGTCACGATCACGATCATGCTCTCGCTCATGCTCGCGGTCTCGGCCACGCTCAAGGTCAACATCCCGAACACGCTCTCGGTTTTGATCCTTACCGCGTTCGCGTTCACGTTCACGGTCTCGGTCTCGGTCTCGGTTTTTATCTTTATCTCTATCTCGTTCACGCTCATGATCACGGTCTCGATTTTTGTCTTGATCTCTATTTCGTTCACGCTCATGATTGCGGTCTCGGTTTTTGTCTTGATCTCGGTCACGGCCATGGTCTCGATTTTTGTCTTGATCTCGGTCTCGGTCATGGTCTCGGTTACGGGCTGGGTCTCGGTCTCGGTCACGATCACGGTCACGATCACGGTCTCGGTCTCGGTCTCGGTCTCGATGGTCACGCTCTTTCTCGCTAGGTCGGTCTCTCTCTCCACGACGAGAAGATGAGCGAGAGTCAGAGCGGTGGTGATGCTGTGGGCGATAACTATTTCGGTCGGTTCGGTCTCTGTCCCGGCTATGGTCTCGATCACGAGCATTCTGATCCCTATCTAGTCCCCGATCGTCGCTTCGATCTTGTTCACGGCCGTGGTCCCGATCACGATTTCTGTCATGGTCTCGTGGAGCGACAACAGAAGTACTCCGGCTTCGACGACCGGGCCTGTAGCTTCGATAGGCAGGACGATCGTGTCTGTAGTCGCGGACGGAGTGCTTGTCATCAATGTCGTGGACATGATCACGAGGCCGAACGGAGGATTCTCTTGACCGTTCTCTTGGTGGGTATCGATCGTAACGAGATGGCTGTCGTCTGTGTGAGTCGCTGCGGCTGTCATCTCCATGCCGACCCCAACTCCGGTCATGCCTATCAACGCTAGATTCATGCCTTCGCCGATCATGGTCCCGGGAAGGACTTCTTGTCTGAGGTTTGGTTGGAGTATTTGAATATCGGGATTCCGTAACACTCTTGTTCTGTAGCGGGGGTTTTAACCCGTTTTCGATGGCCTCCGCTTCTTCGAAGTCGAATTCTGGTTTCTGGCGTGCCTTGGCGGCTAGCTCCTCCCCTTCTTTCAGGAGTAGCTGCAAAGCCGCCTCCTCCAGCAATTTATCATCCACAGGCGGCGCCGGAGCGGATGCGGGGGGTGGTTCTTTCTGCGCCGGCGTATCTCTTCTGGAGCCTTGAGGCCGAGAAGAATGTTCGCGTTCAGAACGAGAAGTTGGGGAACGATCGCGGTATCGATCTCGGTCTCGGTACCGACTGTGATCACGATAGCGGCTATGGTCACGGGGTCGGCTGTAATCACTGTCTCGATCTCGGTCCCAGTCACGATACCTGCTGTCGCGATCTTCTCGTCTCCGTCTGTCGTATCGCTCCTGGCGTTCTTTCTCTCTCTGCTCGTCGAAGGTACGCTGATCGTCGCGCTTTCGTTCCCGTTCAGCGCGCCATTTAGCCTCCCGTTCCTTCTCTTTGGCTCTCTCGGCCTCCTCCTTTTCACGCTGCAGTTCCCGCTCCTTGCGCTCTGCTGCCGCTCGGACACGCTCTTCCTCTTCCTCTTTCTCTCTCTGTTGACGCAGCTGTTCCTGCCAGATCTTCTCGCGCTCGTCGCGTTTGGACTTGACATAGGCTTCGTAGTCTTCGTCGGTTTTACTGCCAGATAGCTCTTCCTGCGCAGCAATCTCTTCACCGACATCTTGACGGCGAACATCTCGAATGGTGTCTAGGATTGTTTGTAGGTGGTTGGCAGTCAGCATCTCGATCGTTGCCTCGACGTTCTTGTAGACATCGCTTCGGTCGACTGCGCCCTCGATCAACGTCGCTGCTTTCCCCCGTTCTCTCGAGAGATGCGCGGGCTCCCTGTCAATCTCAGACTCGGCTAATTCGAATAACATATTTGTGAAGGTCGCCTTGTGTTCCTACTTACGAAGGGTCATTAGCATCGCAGAAGGCCGCGGAGGTATCGTGGGCAGAGGTGCAACAGCTAGACGTACCCCTTCGTTGAACTCGGCCCAGATCTTCTTGCGCATACTATCAAAGCCGCCTTTTTTCTTGTACGCGTAGAGCAGACCGTCAATGGCTGTGCGCTTCGCTGGACTGATGTGAAGCTCCTCCGTCTTGAACTTCTTCCGTACTAGGCTCTCGATGTCCAGCGAGGGCCGCTTGACGCCTTCTGTGAACTCCACGCCCAGCATCTCCTCTGGACTGGCCATCGCGGGGGATGCCTAGCCTAGGAGACACACGCAGTGGGGAAGAAAAAGACCCCCGATAAATTAGGATGCTGAAATGGTCGTTGGGAACTTGCGCGTCGCAACTTCCCCCAAAGGCAACTTTCCCTCCGGTCTATCGGCGGAATGTTTTTCCCGGGCTTGGGAACTGCGCGACGCTGATTCGACGCGGTGCCGACCGCCCGCGACTGACTGCTGGGCTGATCCAACCTCCTCTTGACTGTCGAGATCTGCGTTACTGGACGGAGTGCAGCCTACGACTCTACGACGGCCCTCGAATAGCTGTACGGCTGGTGTTCTGTCCGTTGTTCGATTGTTCTTGAACCCTGACAATTCCGCTTGCGGCTCCCACAGATAGCCACAATGGTTCACAAAGTCCTTTTCTGGGGCGGTTTCGGTAGGCGACCTTATCTATCTTGCAGCAGTGTTCATTCTGTTAGATATACTGCTGTGTTCATTGAATTGCATGCACATAGGATATGCTAATGTGATTGCTGTTTAGGCATCGCCGTAAGACTCTGGCAGCTCGGCATTGAGATGCGCCCGTTACTCGCCAAGGAGTCCCTCTGGGTGTATCCCCTCTTCGCCGGCGTGGGTGGAAGCTTTGGTTACTGGCTCCAGGGCGTTGAAGACAGACAGCTCAAGATCCTCTCGCAACGACGTGAAGCCATCCTCGAGAAGCGCCGGAGGAGAGACGCTGGTGTCAGTGCCGTGGAAGAGGCCGGTATTCTGGCTGCGACATCATAAGTCGGACGAGTGAAGGTTTGGGGGAAGAAAAGCGAGGGGAAGTGCTGGATGAATTGTACCATTATCGGGTCGATGGAATGGACTTCAGGCGGATACCTGGCTGACACGGACGCAGCAAGACTCAAAACGCTCCGTGTCGAGGACCGCAGACCAATTGATAACCTGTTTTCTTTTCGCCGCAATTGCAGCATTCTGCCTAGATGTAACTATGGTTTTTGTTTGTTCTGTGTTACAAAAAATATGCATACTTTCTGCCATTGAAAAGACAGAGCCTACTTGAACTCACAGTTCAGTATAGTGTGCAAGACAGGCATGCCTCAAAATTTCCTGGTACTCAATTCACTCTTGTTTCAATATTCTCGAGATGAATGCCGAGACCCATGCTCTTCTTCTGTGCTGACCGGTTCTCCCTATCGAGTTTCTGATAGACATCTCTCAACAACTCATTGTAACGCAGGTACATACGGTGATCTGTCGCCCGTTCCTGGTCATAAATCTCCTCCACTGTCAAATCATCCTGGAACAGTTGCCGCTCAAGAATACCCGCAATCACCTGTTTTTCCTGTTCAGTGATCCCCCGGACCTGGATCTGCTTGGGCATACCGTGCAACCAGACGTGGACCCAGCCCCAGTCCAACACCTGCTCGACTAGTCGGCAACAGCCATCGGCGCAGGTGCATCGGCGCAAATCGATAAAGAGATATGACAATTCGAACTTCTGCCGCACAAAGGTTAGCGTCCGGCCCCAGAGAAGCTCTCGAATGTTCTCGATTTGATGGTCATGTTCTATTTGTCCATTCTTGCCGGCACAATCGACGACGGCAACGGCAGCAGAAGAAAGAGAAGCAGCCTTGTCGTCGTATTCTTTCTCTTCTTCTTTTTCTTCCTCTTCTTTGGTCTCCTGGGCCGTGTCTTCGATGCTCAGCTGTTCGTGCAGCTGGATCAACTCGTTGATGGCGTCAGTCTTGTGCTTGCGTACCGAGCCGTCATCATCCTCAGTGAGCTCCTCCACCTCCGCAGCAACCGCCAGCGACTCGTCGGCCAGGAACTGGGCCAAGAAGTTGTAGTCGCGAACATCGAAGACCAACTCGAGTTTGCGGATCTTGGTGAGGTTGCTGGCGACGCGCTCATGCTGATGCGCCAAGGTGGCGAGCAAGTCGACATGAACTAGGGAAAAGGTGTTTTCACCGAGAAATATGGGCATGGCTTCGTTGTAGATCATCTTGGAGGCCAGAAGTAGGGAGAAATTGGGGATGGGATGCTTCCCTTGTCGGTCTGGATCCAACGTGTACTCCATCGACATGAAGGGGCGGACGAAGACTCGAGGCACAACCAGAGAGTAGCGGTAGATCTTCTTTCGAATCTTGAGAGGCAGGTCAAGGAAGCCTGCCATGGTGTGAGGGTTCATAGTCGTCAAGTTCTAACCAGCGTCTTTAGGACTTGGTGAAGGTAAGAAGAGGTACAGTCATAAAGTGAAGGAAGTGGATGTCCAGCCACTGTCTATCAGCAATCACTGGCTAATCTTAGAGATATTCTTTTATAGGTTTTACACCAGGATGCCTCATATTTAGATAAATATGATTCTAATTATATACATTTTTATATTAACAGCCAGTAAGACGATCCTTTAGTTCACTCACATGCAAGTTGTAGTGAGACTTCCCATTTTTGGCTGCCACTGCCATAACCCCCACCCAGGCGGTTACGAATCAAACTGGATATTCTCTCTCTGAGTCGAACAAGGTGTTCCTCTGAACCGGATACTCGCAGCTTTAAGTTCGCCATGTACAGTCCGTAGTGGACCTGCCAGAACCGTGCATCGTCGACACCGAAAACAGCCGGGTCAGCTTCAATATCCCTGATGACCTCGGATACGCCAGGACCAGAATAGGACATCAGGAGCATCGACCCTAAGGTCTTGACCAGACGCACACCTAGCACGCACATCGAAATCGCAATGGTGCCTGACAGCAACTTGTCCAGCCAGTCATAAAGCTGGATCGACACTAGAGGAAGCAGAAGCAAGAGGGTCGAACACGAAAGAGTGAGGAAGTGAGACGGGTTGCTCAGTACCGACGGCAAAGATTCGATATACGCAAACCGCATAGCCTTCCCAATACGTGCGTGGTTCTTGAGTCCAATCGCAGACACCAGAGTCGATCCCACGGCAAGAACGGCCGTCACGTCGACACTACCCACAGACACTCGTTCGTGATGATGAGTGCGGTGAGGCTCGTGTCCCGCAGACTCTAGCATATGTTGCAGATTATGGGAGATGAGGTCCAGCCCCATGAACAGCAACAGCACACACATGGCAAACCCGGCGAGAACCTCTGCGCGCTCCAACCCAAACGGATGCCGAATACTGGACCGCTTCCACACCTCAAAGTTACCAAGTACATCCACCACCACGCAAAGCAACGCGCCCAACGAGTCAAAGAGTATCAGGTGAGATAAAGCCGTGATGGCCAGAGACCCGTGAGCACTCCATAGAGTGTATGCAGCCACGAAGATATGACAAATACTCCACCAAAACCGCGTCTTTTGATCCCTCGACATGCTCGCTTGGCACTCCCTCAGAGTCGGTATCGGTAGGGAATTCGGGAGGGCCAGAGGCGCGCGTGGAGGGGGCTCGAGAAAGATCTGATGCGAAACACTACTATGCTTGTACTTATGGCCACGTCGTTGCCCAATGTTCTGTAGTGTCGGTACAACAAGCTTAGCAAAAACAATCCCCCATCCAATCACCAATGCAACGCGGTCTCCTTACCGATTTCACGACTGGGCCCTTGGCCATCACCGTCGTCTGGAAGTTGAATGGACCAGCCGCTCCATCATCACCAAACCCGCTCCTCCCCGGGGAGGCCGCACCCGCACCCGGACTGAAAGACAATTTCGTCGGACTGAGCAGACCTCCACCGGCAGGATCTGAGCCGACAGGAAAAGGCGATAAGGAGTTGCCATCATACGCTGGCGTGTCCGCAGCGAGCTGAGGACTGCCGTTGGGAGGGTTGTCTGCGGGAGGAGTCGGCGTGCGTGGAGGTATTGGAATTGGGAGGTTGGAGGCCATGGCCGATCTTGCGCCTGTTCCCTTCTCACACTAAAGCTCAAATAATATTTCCAGCTGCCGTGTGGAATAAACAATAAACAACCCTGCTCGCGATGATAGCAACAGGAGCTGCCGTGCAATCAATCGCGAAGTGGATAAGGAGGCGACGGCGGGGTGTGGGCCTCAGGCCTCGGCCGCATTGTGTGCATCATCTCTCCGCTGTATGACCAAAGCGTGTTCTCTCCGTACCACGTTCCCAGGCCTTGCCTCCTCCACCACCGACATAATAGTTATTTGCCTTTTTTTTGGGTCACCTAGAGCTAGTTCCCAGCGTCTCTCGCTCGCTTCCTGCCTGTGCAGTATTGCAGTCGATCGCTGCGATGAACATCGCTCTAACTAGATGAGAGATACCCGCTGGTGTCTGCACCTGTCTGGCGTCCATGGACAACCGCGGCTCCTTTTTCTTCCTGCTTTTCGCTTTTTATCTCCTGCTCAGCACGCAGTCGCGCCCGCCGCTGATCGACCAGGAACGTGAGCATCGCCGGGAAGTGGCTAGGGAGCAACATGCGCTGCATTTGCTGAACGGCTCGCACTATGGCGACTTCGACCCTGCCACGGACAAGTGGCTTCCATTTCCGGGGCTGAGGAAGAACGACAGTTATGCCTGGGATCTGTTGCCCTACGCACAGGATCGAGCTCGTCACCAACTGCATGTTGCACTGTCAGATGCAGGGTTGGAGCCTCCAAAGAGTCTCATTGACCCGCAGGCGGCGCAAGAGCCGCTGAACCTGACCCAGTTACCGCTCCCTGTATACCGCAATGCAACGGGGAAGCTGAGAGGCGATTGGGTTAGACGAAAGCTCGATCGGCCGCCACCAACTCTCAATCTTTCGGCGATAGCACGGGAACATGATTACATCACGTACGAGTACGGTGTCAATGTCACGGGGGACAGTGGAACGTTCTATCTTGGCCTACGCGAGGGAGGAGGTGAAGAATTATACCGTGGGGAGGGCCATGTCAGAGAAATCCGAGGAGAGTTGGCGATTGAAAGTGACAACTTGCTCGGGAATACGCACTATCTGTCGCTCTTTGGATATCATTTCCCAGAGAGTGGAAGCATCATTCTGAGTACTACTAGTGAGAAATTCGCCGGAGTGTTCTCGCTACCTCACTTTGCTCTCTCTCAGGATACTTCTGAGTTGTCGCATCGGCTTCTCATCAAGTCGCTGTTGGATGCAATGTCGGAACGGCAAACCCGACCTGGCACGTTGTTTCCATGGCCTGCACTTGCTGGATTGGAGATGATGGACTTTCCCGCTCCGAAATGCGAGCACATTGTTTTTTTACAGCAACACCCAGTGGCCATTCAAGAATATCCCGCCGATATGTCGGTTCTCGATCGGATAGAGCAAGAGCTTCGATTCCCCGTGGGCGCCCCCATCCCAAGCCCTCCTCTGATGAAGATGTCGGCGGTGGTATTGTCCCCTGATTGTGGATATATCCTTGAGACAAAAAGCACGCCCGAGTATCCCCCTACGGAAGCTTTGTCGCTCTCTGGGCCCAAACAGGAGGAGTTCCGCAAGTATGTCGCACGCTTTGTCTTTGTGGTTTGCGGCGTATTTGCTGCCCAGATCACGCTTCTCTTGAGACAAATGAAGGACGCGTCGACTCCTTCCACGAGGAGTCGAGTCAGCTTCTATACAGTTGCTATGATGGCGTTCGGAGACGCTTTCGTGATTGTCTTACTATTACTGGAACTGTATTCAGAAATATCTTTCCTCATTCTGGCGGCCACCTCGTTCCTGGCCCTCCTCTCTGTCAGTTATATTGGGATGAAATTCATGATTGAAATATGGGCTGTCCAGGCACCGGAGAGAAGAGACCAAGGCCGCCCCCCGCTGGCGACAACCGCACGTCCGACTTCACTACCCTTGCCCGTGACAGCACCGAGATCGGGTACTAATGGAGCGACCCCGATTATCATAACCCCCGATCAAGACCCTCCTGACGACGACCTAGATCCGCCCCCCGCCCAACCCCCGACACAGAGCCCTCTTGACGCACGTACTGACGTCGGGGCGATGTATGCCCGTTTCTACTTCATCCTCTTTGCCAGTCTGATCCTTTCACTCTGGGCTTTTATCTGGCCCAATCGGCTGGGCGCGCTGTATGCGCGAGCTCTTGGATTTCTGTACCTATCGTTCTGGATTCCACAGATATATCGCAACATTGTGAGGAATTGCCGCAAAGCTTTGCGTTGGGATTATGTGGTCGGACAAAGTATTCTTCGGCTGTTCCCCTTTGTGTATCTCCTCTCGGTGCCCGGGAACGTTCTTTTCATCAGACCCGACACCGTGACTGCCCTGATTATGATGGGCTGGGTGTGGATTCAAGTCTGGGTTCTAGCTAGTCAAGACATTCTAGGGCCCCGATTCTTCGTGCCTCGTGGCTGGGCCCCTCCGGCCTACGACTACCATCCGCTTCTGCGAGACACCACGGGATCGGAGGACCAGGACCTGGAAGCTGGCGGGATGATGTCCATCAGCTCGCTCCGGGCTGACGGACGAGACCCCGCAGACGAATCCAAACAGCAGCACGACAAGCACCGCGCGCGGCCCAACAAAAAGGCTGTGTTTGACTGTGCCATCTGCATGCAGGATATTGAGGTCCCCGTCCTGTCAACCGCCAGTGTCTCGGGCAGCAGTAGTGTCGCGGACGGTGCCTCGAGCATCCTCAGTCGTCGTACATATATGGTCACCCCATGCCGACACATCTTCCACAGCACGTGTCTGGAAAGCTGGATGCGTTTGCGACTGCAGTGTCCCATCTGTCGTGAATCCATCCCTCCGGTCTGAAGCTTGTATATAGTTGGGCAGTAGTAGTTATACCTTCTCGCACAGACACGACTAGGGATAGTTTTCCCTCCAATGTAACAGCAGATTTATAATTTAGGTACAGGCATTGCTTGATGAGAGATCATTGGCAACTTTGATTGATAGAATCATGCCAACGTAGAAAGCGGTGTTGGCTGTCCTCGCGACGATCAAAGTCTCAGTCCTAATCAGCGTATAGACAGCGATGCACTCACTCTTCTCTTTGACTTTGCATGCCTTTCTGTAAATTAGAAATGAATTTCGAAAAGACTATTCAGACCCAAGACACATGACTCCTTTCCATCAGCCGATAATACACTAAGATCCAGAGACAGGAAAAAACACATCCTTAATACAAGTCTATATATGGCGCGAAGAATCTGCCCAAGGGGGAAGAAATGCCTCTTTTGAGTATCTTTAAAACAGTAAAGGTATATGCAAGAATTGCGTGCTCTATTCCCTCAAAAAGAAAAAAAAACGTAAGTCGACATCCATTTACGAAATTTCCTTGATGCGGCATGTCCAGCCAGATTCCTGGCTCAGGAGGGGCAAGCTGATGAAGAAGTCAGTGGCAAGAACAAAACTAAATTATAAGTCTTCGGAAAACAATAGGAATGCCTACCTTGCACCCAGACACCAGCCCAGTTCGTTACCCTTGATCTTCTTAGCGATCTTGACCTCGCGGGATAGGGGCATCTCGTAACCAGAATGCAGCAGGCCAAGCATGAAGTTCAGGTCGAGGCAGTATTCGGCGCGGTCTTGGAGCTCTGCTATGGCACCGTCGATTCCTTCGAAGACGTCCCAGCTCTCTTGGCCACCACAGACAGTTGAGGCGAGCTGGTGTAGCTCGCCGATAGTGAAGGACTCGGGCATGCCAAGTGGGAAGGTACGGTCGTAGAAGTAAGAAAAGATGTAGGCGTCCTCGCGGGCAAAGGTCTTCGCGAGGGACGGCTGGTGCACGCCGTTGAAGGAGCAGGGTGCGAGTTTGCAGTCGGCGTCTTTTTTCAGAATCCTCTCTGCCAGACCGCGGCATTGAACAGCTGCCGAGGCTTCATGTGTACCAGTCATCATGACAGAGACCTTGGGGCCGAGAGGGTGGTCCTCCGCGAACGTTAGATTGACCTGCTTCTTCATTCCCGGGTTGATGCACGGGTTGGGAAGTGGGTTGGTGAGCCAGGAAAGGTCCTTAGGGCTGGAGGCCAGCTTGGCTTCGACAACAGCCTTGTGGATCGTCTCACGAGCAGACATCAGACCGTAGCCAAGGTGGGAGTGCTGGTACAGCTCAAAATGCCGTCCGCCGAAATCGAGCTCATACTTGTGATCACCTGCCGCGAGCTTCTCGGGCATGCCGCCAGCCTTGCTCTGTTCAAATGTTGGCTGGAATACGATCTGCGTGGAACCGCCACCCAGGTCGAAGATAGCAGCGGTCGGGGTCTCGTCAGGTCCACCGATCTTGCCTAGAAGGTAGTTGACGGTGACCCAAGCGTAGACGCCCTCGTTAGAACCGTCCATGATCTCCACGCCGCCATTCTCCTTGGACACCACAGGGAATGGGTAGACGGTTTCGAGGCGGGTCCTCACAGCATCCAGGATCTTTGTGCTTAATTCTGGACCCAGCAACCTCAGACCAGCTGTAGCCTTGACGGCCACCGGCGTGCACTTCTTGTACTCGTCCGGAACGGACTTCATAGCCACTTCCATTAGAGGGTCCAGACTCTTCGCAGCACCCTCCGCATCTTCCTTGTAAGAACTGAGGCCGGAGCCGCCAGGCTTCGGTGTGGTCATCTCAAACACCTCGTCTTCCAATTCAGGCGACGGGCCACAGTTGTTGAACCGGTAGACGTGAATGCGCGAGCCGGTGCTTCCAGCATCGATCATGAGCACATATTGAATCAGTGGCTTCGACGGATCGAGCGGCTTTGTGCATCTTGTCGAAGGTTCGGAACCTGAGGGCGCATGCTCTAAAATAGAATTAGTTTCTCGGAGTGAAGAGGCAACGGTTATGGGAGTCAGGCGACTCACCCTGCGTGAAACTGCTCGCAGCTGGCCTTGACGGATTCAGCCAAAGAATAAACATAAATAGGAGGCCAATAATGGCCCCCGTCTTGAAATATCGCGATCTCTGGCTCTGCATCATGTTGGGTGGCGCTGTAGTAGTGGAATTCTGATCCGATGGTTGGAAATCGTCCGAAGTCTCAACAACGGGGGTATCAACACGGGGAACAGGGCGTTTGCGAGCGCTAGAATCTGAATTTGAGTTCGACTGGGTGCCTTGACGCTGCTGGCGGTCAAATCCTGTCGACATGCGAGCAGAACAACTCAATAGCGACCCAAGTGGCGAATGGGTGAAACACTTCAAGCGTCGTGTTTCAGCAGACTGCGTGAGAAATAGACATAAAATAAGCAAGGGAATCAACGACTAAAAACCAGAGGACACATAGATCCCCCAAGAGCCTCACAACCAGCTCGCAAAAGAACGTGAGATGCGAACACGGGAGGAAAGGGCGTCGCCGCAGGTCAGAATCAGGATCAGAGATGAAAGGGGCATGTGGCGCAAGTTTCTACTGTGGCGGCTCCCCGCTGAATGCGGCGCATCTTTGAGAGTTAAACTCCAATTCACCTGAGAGGTAAATTTCCCTTCGTTTTGATGACTTGTGCACGCTCAATCTAGCTGGCTATACTGATTTCTTTTTTATGTCTCAGCTGCTCGTTTAACCAGCGAAATGAAGCATATCCGCGGCCTGGTTTCGGCTGCCCAGGCGCTGCGTCGGACCTTCCTGACACCTCCCCAGATCCCCAACCGTCCCCAATTCTTACGATATGAGCCCTTCCTGGCTCGAACCCAGCTTCGGTTGATTCAGCATTCGCGAGGCCCTGTTACAGACAAGTCGGGTCTGGTCACAGACGAGAAGATCCGAGCAGAGTTTGTGCACATTGTCAATGAAAGCGGGTCGCTCGACGAGCCCATCCGCCTGAACAATGTTCTTCGTTCCATTGACCGGTCCAAGTTTTTCCTCTTGCAAGTGTCTCCTGCGACGCCTGATAAGCCACCGGTCTGTAAGATCGTGAGCAAACAGGCGATGCGAGAGATCGAGCGTACGAAAGCTAAGGCTGCCGTCACCGCGTCCAAAAACAGCGTCAAGCAGATCGAGTTGAACTGGGCCATCGACGCCCACGACCTGGCACACCGCTTAAAACAATTGAGGACTTTCCTGGACAAGGGACGCAAGGTGGAGATCATCTTGACCAGAAAGAAGGGCAAGCGGCCACCGACTGCGGACGAGGTTCGCAACCTCATGACCCGCGTGATGGAGACAACCCAGGAGGCCAACGCCATCCCTGTCAAGCCAGTTGAAGGCGAGCCTGGCAAGCATGTTGTTGTCGTCGTGAAGAAGAGGGAGGACTAGTTTAAGAGACAACCTGGGGATGCTTGTTTACCTCTTATGATGTCAAGCATTCGATCTGTACATATAGGGCATATCTAGATTCCCACTATCTCTCAAATAACACGATCTCCCTAGCACCTAAATGCTTCATTACCTCCTAGGCAAGGTTTTAAGGTAACCTACCTACTTACCTAGGTAATCTACCTAAGTAACTACCTGGATACCTCAGGTGTCGTATGAGCTGACAGCCTCTGCAAACGCCCGCTCCTCATTGGCCCAACAGGTGTTTTTGTCCATGACTAAGCACTCCCTAAAAAATTCGGGCCAGAATCTCGCTGCTAACCTTCGATCCCATCCCCCAACATCTTTGGCTGTGTGCTCTGTTTTGTGCTTTTCGTTGCATTGTGCCGCATTATTCCAGGGTAGTCAGGATGTCCAGCCTCTCTCGCTCCGTCAATCTTCTTCTGCGCACCAGCAGGTCCTCCCTGCTGCGTCCGCGCGCCGTCAACCCTGTTCACCATGTCTTCAGCCACGAGAAGCTGGCTGCTCGTGGACTGGCTACTGCCTTTGAGCGCACCAAGCCTCATGTGAACATCGGTATGCCCCTTTCCCTACTTGATATAGGCTATCTTTTTGCTAATGCCTCTGACCAGGTACCATTGGTCACGTCGATCACGGCAAGGTCAGACATGTCTCCTTCCGAGCTTTCCATCAACGATCATCGCTCGAATCTGTGTATTGTTGGAAGAAGCATCAAAACTGACCCATTCATTAGACCACTTTGACCGCTGCGATCACCAGACACCAGGCCTCCAAGGGTCTCGCCCAGTTCCTCGACTATAGCTCCATTGACAAGGCGCCCGAGGAGCGTAAGCGTGGTATCACCATCTCTACCGCTCACGTTGAGTTCCAGACCGAAGATCGTCACTACGCCCACGTCGACTGCCCTGGTCACGCCGATTACATCAAGAACATGATTACTGGTGCTGCGAACATGGACGGTGCCATTGTGGTTGTTGCTGCTTCGGATGGTCAGATGTATGATTGATCGGTGATAATCAGGGAAGATTCGGATCTTCGGATCATGCTGACCAGACTACGACAGGCCCCAGACCCGTGAGCACTTGCTGCTTGCCCGCCAGGTCGGTGTCCAGAGACTGGTTGTCTTCGTCAACAAGATCGACGCCATGGAGGACCCGGAGATGTTGGAGCTTGTTGAGCTCGAGATGCGTGAGCTTCTGAGCCACTACGGATTCGAGGGTGAGGAGACCCCCATCATCTTCGGATCTGCTCTCTGCGCCCTTGAGGACCGCCGCCCCGATATCGGTGCCGAGCGGATCGATGCTCTTCTCAAGGCTGTCGACACCTGGATCCCCACCCCCCAGCGTGACCTCGACAAGCCCTTCCTCATGTCCGTGGAGGAGGTCTTCTCTATCCCTGGACGTGGTACCGTCGCTTCGGGTCGTGTCGAGCGTGGTATCCTCAAGAGGGATACTGAGGTCGAGATTGTCGGTGGAAGCTTCGATACCATCAAGACCAAGGTCACCGATATCGAAACTTTCCGCAAGGTCTGTGAGGAGTCCCGCGCTGGTGACAACTCCGGCCTCCTTCTCCGTGGTATTCGCCGCGAGGATGTCCGCCGTGGTATGGTCATTGCCGTCCCCGGCAGCACCAAGGCCCACGACAAGTTCATGGTCTCCATGTACGTCCTGACTGAGGCCGAAGGTGGTCGCAGCAAGGGCTTCGGCGCCAACTACCGCCCCCAGCTCTACATCCGTACCGCCGGTAAGTGAGGTGATCTACTAGTTATCAACATGAGAAAGGCCTAACGATGGGTTTCTTTTTAGATGAGTCTGCCGACTTCACCTTCCCCGACGGTTCCCGGGACCGCCGCGTCATGCCCGGTGACAACGTCGAGATGGTGCTCAAGACCCACCGCCCTATCGCCGCCGAGGCTGGCCAGCGCTTCAACATCCGTGAGGGTGGCCGCACTGTCGCCACCGGTCTCATCACCCGTGTCCTGACCGAGTAATTTCATTTTCTTCTTCTTCAAGAAAGAAATAAAAGGCTTTAATAGACGGAAGGGGGGCTACTGATACCTTGACTGACTTGGCCGATTTGTACTATGAATCCTATCCTCTTCCTGCATCGACGTGGAGCAGTTTGAAGATAAAGCATGGAAACCATGTCACTCTCATACGGATGGAGGTGTGTCTCGGAGTTTTCAATTTTTTTTTTCCCTTCTATTTTACTTGTCATATTTCTTGTATCAATGTATTGTACTCCTGTTGTATTTCTGATTGCAGATCTTCATTTTTGTTTTCTCCATCCCTTTAGCCTCTCACATCTCCCCTCCACCTTATTCAAGGCAATATTGAATATGAATCAACATGAAGACTTGGGCGTTCAGTAAGATATCAGAATTTTTACTTTGCATCTTCCAGCTTCTACAATAGGTTTATAGGAGTAGGTGTTTATGTTCAAGATATATATTAAGAGATGAGAAGATCTATCACAAAAGAAGAACCAAAAGCTAAAAATAAACAGAAGAAATGGGAAGACCATTAAAATAAAAAAAGGTAGCAGGTCTATTTTCCCTCTCTATCTTATCAAGTAGTTGTTGAGTCATTCACTGGCGTGGCATGTGGATAAAAGCATCAGCTTATGCATCACAGCTAAATTATACAGCTCCTCCAGCCGTCATTCGACCCTTGAGACTCTCCCACTTGGGGAAGAGAGCGACGAGGAAACCGACACAGGCCAGAACCAAGGCGACCAGGAAGGTGTCCGTCAGGCCGTCCATGTACGCCACCAGGATTCCGGGAAGCTGTGCGGCGGTGAAGGTCTGGCGCAGAGCGGTGGCACCCGCAGCCACAACAGCTGCCGGGTCGACGCCCGGGGCGGTCTCGGGCAGCTTCTGGACGAGTCGGTTCACAAAGGCCGACTCACCTGCGGACACCCAGATGGCACCGCCGATGGTCTGGCAGAAGAGGGTAAAGGCCGAGGAACTGGCGAGGTCGGAGGGATCGACGATCGCTTGGTTGACGATGATTGGGATCTGGCAGCCGAGTCCGAGGCCCACGCCGGCGAGGATCTGGTAACCGATCCACTTGCCACTGCCGGTGGTGGTGTCAAGCGTGTAGATCAATCCGCAGCCGATGGAGGTGATCACGGAGGAGATGATCATAAGGTACACAAAGTGTCCAAAGATCGTGATCAAGGCGCCGGAGACGATGGAGAATATACTGACGGACAGGATCAACGGGATGTTGCGGACACCGGATTCGGAGGCAGACACGCCTTGGATTGACTGGAAGTAGATCGGGAGGTAGTAGATGAGGACGAACATGGGCCCGAAGCTGAAGACGACGAAGAGACAGCTCACGACGAAGTTCCGCATCTTCAGGAGGCGCTTGGGGACCAACGCCCGCTCATCCATCCACCATTCGTTGATGATGAAGACAATGACCAAGAGGCCGAAACCGATCAACGTGCCGATAACGTCTGCCGAGTCCCATGCCTTGGTACTGCCGGCCCATTGCATCGCGAGCAGATAGCAGACCACAGCAGCCATGATGATGAAAGTACCGCCCAGGTCCATCTGCAAAAGCTTCTCCTTCCAATCTGCTTGCGCAGGACGGGCTGCTGGTGGGTTCTGGAAGAAGAAAAGGATGATGATCGCGCTCAAGCCACCGACTGGCAGGTTGATATAGAAACTGCATTCAAGACGTTCGTTAGCCGCCAATCACCCGGTATGCATAGAGTGTTCAAGGTGAATGCTTACCACCACCGCCACGTTACATGAGTCGTAAAGACACCGCCGAGCAAGGGGCCAATAACACTAGCACCGGCGTAGGTCGCACCCAGCAGACCGGTGAAGGCTGGGCGCTGTCGCGGGGGTGCCGAGAAGGCAATGATAGTGTACACACCGCTAGCAATGCCGGCGGCGCCGGCACCTGCGACAGCACGGCCCACAATGAGCGTGGTGCTGTTTTGTGCGACACCACAGATCAAGGAACCGATTTCGAAGATAAAGATTGCCAGAAGGAAAGTCCACTTCAGGTTGAAATACTTGTAGCCCTTGCCCCAGGTAGACTGGAAGGAAGCCACGGTGAGGAAGAAAGCGCTGCCGTACCATCCCGTCTGGTCCAAAGAATTGAATTCATCTGTGATTTCTGGGATTGCAGTGGCAACGATAGTCATGTCGAGTGCCACCAGGAACATGGCGAGGATTAACGCGATAATAATGAAGAGGAGAGAAAAACTTCCGGGATACTCGTTCTCATCTTCTGCGGTTGTGCCGTCCTGTGACCCATCTTTGCTTCCACCATTGACCGAGGAAACATACTCTCTCTTTTCAACGTCCAGATCCATCTGGGAACCTTCATTCGGTATCGTTTGCCCGGAAAGAGACGATGCCCTTGTTGCCTCCTTGTCAGCCATGTCTGGGAGATCTGTCGGAGAGACCATAGACGGTTCTTGCTGTGAGAAAAATGAGATAGTGTGTAGATTTTGAAGGAGGGATCTGGCGTCGATCCAATTTATTGTGTTTTGGACCTGTAGCAGCTGCTTCTGACCAAAATCCTTCTTCTCCTTCAGGGGAACCCTCGGACACTTATACAGCCCATCGGCTAGATTTCATATAACGATGACAGCGAAAGGGATCATGTCTCCACACAACACACGCACACATTGGTATGCCTTAATACGGAGATAAGCTCACAGACTTCGGGCTTACTATTTCTCAGCGGATCGGCTGAAAAGAATCATTTAGTCCATGGATCCAACGTCACAAACGGGGCCGGACGTAGACCAGTGGTCCAGATGCTTAGCCAGAGACCAGATTTTGACATCTTCGCGATTGCCACACGAGCCCTCCATTGGAGTAGGATATCAAAATCCAAACATCCCGGTTACCCAACTGGGCAGCCTGTACAACGAATAGGGACTCAGGCTGCTCGATGCGCTGGGTTCGAGATCTTCAACTGTAATAAGCTGACGTCAGATAAAAATAACCTTGCTGACACAAAACCAAATAAGCTGCAGCAGTTTCTGCCTGGCAGTCCAGCTTACAGTGGATCCTCGGGAGAAAACCCTTCAAGTTCCCGTCGGCAGTTCTTCTTCTTGGTCATCGTTAGCAATTCTGACAAGTTGACGATGGTAGCTGTTTTCTTCAGGGCTGAAATGCTGCGCTGCCATTCGATGCCCTTATGGAAGGTGGTTGAAGAAAGCTCGTATTGAGATCCACCCGGACAAAATCTTCGTCCGGTGCTCACGTTATCTCCGTTTAGGGGTGGGCCTGATTAGTACTAGTCAAAACATGACTCATCCGCGGTCCGGCCGAAAATAACGGACGAAAGCTCCTTCCTGGAGCCGGACGAATTCGCCCGGCCACCACCAACAACACCGACAACTTACTACCACACGACGACAACGACGAGGGCGAAGCCAACACCTTACCCTTTTTGCTTCTTTCTCTAAGCAGCGCTCGCTTCAGAGATCTTTTTTGACAGTCTAGACGGCATCCTAGGGATCGATTATCTCTTGTGGATTGGAGGAGCTAGCTAGCTCCTAGAAACCACCAGGTCGAGGCTCCATGGTATCTACTACCGAGCGTATCTCGCACTCTATCTCCTTCGTATTCTCTACTAGATGCTCTGGGTCTAGCCTGATCTGTTTGTTTCTAAATTGTTCCGTCTAGCTCTATAACGTCAGGATCCAAGCTTCTGGGTGTTGCGTGTGTGTGTGGTTGCCTGTTGCAACAGCAGTACTGCAAGGCCGCCCCTGATTATATGATACTATCAGGGCCCTATCTTTGCTGCTGCTGCTAGATCGAGCTTCCTCTCTATATACCGTGGCTTGCCTTATTCTCGCCTGAACAGCCAATAATTCCAGGTGGTAGTTGCATTGCCGACTTGCTGGTCAGGATGAGCTCTGCAAGCCTACTGGACCGTCTGGACGGCCCTCCGCGCAAGCGGATGAGAAAAGGAACCAAGAGCTGCGCAGAATGTACGTTTTGATGACACTCTAGAGAATCCTGTGGCCTTCGTTTTTCATCCGTTTTTCCTCCGTGTTATACACCAAGTACTCCGTACATCCCGGGCATTCTGTCCAGTCGCATGAACGGGCCTTACGCACGTCAGCAAACGAATGAATAACCCATCCTGACTATGAGAGAGAGGCTTACCTACCCTCTAGGCCGGCGCCGTAAGATTCGCTGTACCTACGACTTGGACTCTTGCGGCATCTGCAACGAGTGTCGTCTCCGGGGGTCGACTTGTGTCGACCAGGAGAGCAGTCGGCCTGAGCCTTACAGCGCTCCCAACCACCAAGGAGAACAGACATACAGTCTCCGCGAGCGAGTAACTCACTTGGAAGAGGTTGTCAGGCAACTGGTCAAGAGGTTGGATGATAAGGAGACCGACAGAAGTGAAACCTCTTCACCACCACTAGGGCTACCAACGAAGAACGTCGATCAAGGTTCGTTCTGTTCCCATCTCGGATCTGGTTTCGCCCGATGTGGTGCTATCTTCTGTTATCAGACCTCTGATATCTCCGTTCCAGGCTCGCACACCATCAGGGAAAATCCGACGCCTGCATCTACAGAATCTCCTGCAGATCCTGAGATCGACACGGTGGAAGAGCAAATCGGAAATCCTCCCATCTTGCAACTCTTTGACAACGATGTGGTCCGCCGCGAGGTGGACCCTCTGTCCGGCAATGATCGACTGGTCGGAAAAAATAACATGTCTCCCAAGGCAGCTGCAGCTCGTGCCTCGCTGTTGGCCCTATTTCCTCCCAGGGAGGACATCATCATGTTGACAGAAGCCTCCTGCAGATGGTGGATAACCTTCCAGGCCAATTTCCCCGAAATTTGTGAAAAGTGTTCCCAGAGCCTATCTACGGGGAACCCACCCTCCGAAATCTCCATGGCTCCAGGTGATGTGGGCAAAGTTCTGATCTGCATCGCCATGACGCTGGAACTGCTTCCTGTTAGCTTTGATCTTACAAGCCTAAGATCTCCTCTGGATCCTAAACGGTTCTCCGAGAGATGTGTGGCTGAGATCAGCCGGCTAATCATCGAGGATGATGATTTTGCAGCGACTCTTCCTGGGATCGAATGTCAACTGCTATTATCCAAGTACCTGCTCAATGATGGTCGTCCTCGCAAAGCGTGGCTTGTCTGTCGGCGAGCCATCCAGTTTTCGCAGTTGGTAGGAATGCACCTGTCCACGGCGAAACCCCGCCAATCAGGAGATACCCTGTTTCAGCGTCGATTGCAAACTTGGTGCTCTCTTGTGACCAACGATCGGTTTCTCAGCTTCATCTTGGGGCTACCCTACTCCGTGTCGGATACATTTTTTGAGCCCCAAATCGCACTCACCACGCAAGAAGGGGGCAACTTGATGCAGATGCTGGTGATGCGGATTGCTCTCGTCATAGGGAAACTAGTCGATCGGAACCAGGTTCAAGAGTCGCTGTCCTTATCGTCAACGCTTCGTCTAGACCAGGACCTGGAAGACATCGCCAAGTCCATTCCTGCAGGCTGGTGGAGCTTATCCAATACCGAGGATAAGGAGTTCCAGGAACAGGTGATGATGATGTTCATCTACAATGTGGTCCGGGCTCTCCTTCATCTCCCCTTCATGCTCAAATCCCTCACCGACCGAAGGTACCACTACTGCCACCTCGCCGCGTTGGACTCGGCGCGAACAAGTCTCCGATTGTTCAAGATCGTCCGAGCCGACATCAAGCCCTATTTGTGTAAGCTGGGGGATTTCTTTGCGTTTATGATGACCATGTTATTGTCCATCAACCTGTTTGGGTATTCAGAGGCGTCTCCCACACACAGCCGCGAGCAAGATGAGCATGACTGGCAACTCATCGGTGAGATCACCGACCTGTTTCGCCAGGCCAGCATGGAAAGGGGCGGCAACGTCGCTGCTCACTCGGCCGAGGTTTTGTCCAATATCAGGCCCCTTCGAAATCTCGAGTTGAGCCCGGGTGATAGGGGAACGTGCAAGATCACGATCCCTTACTTCGGAACAATCACCGTTGGGCCCGGTAAAAAGCTCGAGGAGTTGATGGACAAATGTAACGCTCAAGCGCAGGCCTCCGCATCTACGTCTTCTTTTGGTGAAACGCCTACTCAGCTGTACACGCCTCCTCTCTCGGACTCGAAGAATTCTTCCCTAGCAGACAGTCATCCTCTCGGTGGTGCAAACCAGCCCGCGTTGGGCTCGCAGAACCCGAATCCTTTGGTTGACCGATGGATTCATATGGAGAGCATGCCGACGATGCCCAGTCTACCTCTGGACTTCAGCCTTCGGGGACTTGACTTTAACGGGCCAGACAATGGCGTCTGGCCCAATCTCAACCTTGATCTTGGACTAGACCAGGGCTGGAACGTCGACTGGATCGATAGCAATACCGCATATTGATTTGATCTCTTGGAAAATATTCTTTTTGGAATGGTTTTATACTGTATATAAATAATTAGATACCCTACCCTCTTGTTCCCAAAGCAAAATATTGACTACAACGCCTTTTTCTTATCCATATTGTGAGAGTAGAATGAATTTAGATCCAGTACAATTCCTTTACAACTTGAATTAACCACAATTATTATCGAGTCTCGACGTGACTGCTTATAATTATGCCATTAAGCGTATACTGCGGAATCAGGTGCTGCGTGCACCGGACAACGTTTAACAACCTCAGCCGACCACCTCGTCTTCTCCCTCCCCCCTTCTCCCTTCCCCTTTCCTTGAGCTTCATGGATCCTCCCGTTTCAGACGCAATTCCTCATTCCTCAGAACCCGGCCACTCCCTGCGACATACACCAGACATTGTGAGCTGTTCAACAGCTAAAACAGCTTGTCTGAGCTGTAAAGTGACTTGCCTACGTTATTGCATAACCCGCCTTCCCCCCCGAAACTCGCCACGGTCTCACCTCCGCGCAACACGATTTGGCCACGACACTGCCACCTTGTGCTGGTCCACGGAGTCGTTTTCCTCTCCTGAATAATAATATTTGCAATTAATTCTTCTCTGTCTATCGGTGACAGGCCCTGGAAAAAGGCATGTCAGCGCGTCCGTCTACAGCGACTCGAACCCCCACAGCGCCGGCCGTCATGGCAACCAACGGACACTTTGCCTCGATCGGGGAGCAGCAGAGCGACAAGGCGGCGTACGAGCATGGCGTCCAGGTGGTGGATGAGAGCAAGGAGTTCAAGTATGTTCTCTACTTCCTCTCTACCAATGTGAACAACGTGTAGTTTTGTGTCTGCGATGGTGCGATGGTGCGATGCGTGTACTACAGATCGCAGAACATACAAAAGCAGAGTACAATGGCTGACGATGGTCATCTTTTTTCAGTGCCAACCTGTCCAAATACTTGACTCTTGAGAAGGTCTCCCCCGCCGGTTTCAACTACCATCTAATCTCCGTGTTTGGGTCTCAGTCGACTGGCAAGTCCACCCTGCTGAACAACCTCTTCGGCACACACTTCTCGGTAATGTCCGAGCTGGAGAGACGGCAAACAACCAAGGGAATCTGGCTATCGAAGAACAAGAAGCAGAATGAAAATGACGACGAGGCCACCCGTATGGCGGACAACATCCTTGTCATGGACGTCGAGGGTACCGATGGCCGCGAGCGCGGCGAGGACCAGGACTTTGAGCGCAAGAGCGCGCTCTTTGCTCTGGCCACCAGCGAAGTGCTTATCGTCAACATCTGGGAACATCAGGTGGGTCTATATCAGGGGGCGAACATGGGCCTGCTCAAGACGGTTTTCGAAGTCAACTTGCAATTATTTGTCAAGGACAAAAGGTACGTAGCGAGAGGATGGATGCTCAGATGCGCTGCGCTGTATGTGTTTCACACTGACGAATCAGTACCACCCATCGCTCACTTCTGTTCTTCGTGATCCGTGATTTTATTGGCAATACCCCTCTTCAGAATCTTCAAAAAACACTACTGGAAGATCTCTCGCGGCTGTGGGCTTCCATCTCGAAACCTGCTGGCCTGGAAGATTCGACTATCCACGATTACTTTGATTTCCAATTCTACGGCCTCCCTCACAAGGGTTATCAGCCGGAACAATTCGTCGCCGAGGTCAAGAAACTCGGCACTCGATTCCGCGACGGCCATCGCGATCCTGCCCGGGATGCGCTCAAGGGTGAGTTCTCCGAGGGCGGCGTCTTCCTGCCCGAATACCACCGACGGATCCCTGCAGACGGGTTCGCAAAGTACGCCGAAGGAATCTGGGATCAGATCGTGAACAACAAGGACCTGGATCTGCCTACGCAGCAGGAGTTGCTGGCGCAGTTCCGCTGTGACGAAATCCTCCGGGAAGTCATGGTTGCTTTCGATGAGGCTGTCGTTCCGTTTGAGGAGAAACAGGCTGAGGCTGTCCGTCTGGGCGCCCCGGAGGTGCTTGGCGGCCTGGGTGCTGCGATGCGTTCCTGGCGCGCAAAGACCGTCAAGGGCTTCGAGACTGAAGCTAGCCGGTACCATAAGGGTGTCTATGAACGCAAACGCGCCGAGCTCGAGGGCAAGATCGACACCCGGCTGAAGGCTCTCTTCCAAGGCCAGTTGAGCGCCGCGCACAAGAACGGAGTCCATGATTTCAGTGAGGCTGTCACTGCTGCCGTCAAGTCCGGACAGAAGAAAGGCGCCAGCTACGATTTCGCCGAGATTGTCACGGATGAGACCAAGTCAGCTCTGGACAAGTTCGAAGAAGTGGCGAGCGCCACGGTGGTGGAAGACACCCCCTGGAGTGATTATGCACAGGAGCGGATCCTGTATGAGAAGGAGCTGGCCGAAGTCAGCGGACGCCTCCGGCGAGACGAGATGAGGCGCCTCGCGAGCAGAGTCGAACGATGGGTCCAGTCTCGCCTGGGCGAATCCGTGGGGCTGGAATTCAACGCCCTCGGCACTGGCCGTGACTCCGGGGACAAACCGGCCGAGAAAGGGTTCTGGGACCGAGTCTGGAATCTGTTTGTGGAGACCGTTCTCGACGCGGAGAGACGCTTCACCGACCGCGCCAGCAGTTTCGATGCCAGCTTGGAGGAGGTCGATGTAGGACTGTGGCGGCTGCGCCGCAAGTCCTGGGGAGTGCTGCGGGCGAAGATCGAGGAAGAAATGTTAGAAGGCAACCTGCTTCTGAAGCTGCGAGAGAATTTTGAGGACAAGTTCCGCTACGATGAGGCTGGTGTGCCACGCATCTGGCGTCCCACCGACGACATCGAAGGCCTTTACACCCGTGCTCGGGAGTCAACGCTCACCCTGATCCCGCTCCTCTCGCGCTTCCGGCTATCCGAGACGTCGGCGCCGCCTCCCCTCGATCGATGGGTTGGCCATACGCCGAGTTCAGCAACCACTGCGGACGAGGAGGACCTGGCCCCCATCGGCGGCGTGGACGAGCACGAAGGCAAGAGTTTAGAGGAGGAGGTGACAATGCTCGGCGAGGCCAAACGGCAGGAGCTCACCGTGCGGTTCAAGAAGACCGCGGACGGCGTCTTTGTGGAGGCCAAGCGTAGCGCCATCGGGGGCATGACTCAGGTTCCCCTGTACTTTTACGGTCTCCTGCTTGCCCTGGGCTGGAACGAAATCGTTGCTGGTGAGTTTTTTTTATCTTTTCTTTTTCTCTTCGTCTCATTCACTTTTTTCTTTTGCTAATGTCCTTCTAGTTCTCCGCAACCCTGCCTACTTCTTCCTCCTGTTCCTGTGCGCCGTCGGAGCCTACGTCACCTACCAGCTGAATCTATGGGGGCCGATCCTGAAAGTGACCGAAGCTGCGTCACAGCAGGCTCTGCAGGAAGGCAAACGCAGGCTGCGCGAGTTCCTTGAATCGTCCGACACGGGCAGACAGGCCATTGCCATGTCGGCGGGCGAAGAGTATGAGATGTCGAATCTGCAGAAGAAGCGGCCGGCGTCACAGTCACCAGTCGCTGAAGACGAGGATGACTTGTAGAGTATCTTTCTTCTCTTTCTCTTCTTCTTCTTCTTCTTCTTCTTCTCCTGTTTTATTTATTCGTTTCCGTTTGGATAAGTGTTTCTCTGTTGCAGCATATAATTACGCATAGCGTTTGCTGACCGACGTAGCAAGTATATCGAAGTCAGCTAGATAATGAACCAATGTATACTGCCACTATTGCTGTCATTCAAGGAGGATTGTTTGTTTTCTTAAGCTTGTCGACGACTCTTTTGACGTCAACTGGCAACTTGTTTCTTTCCCCTTCCCCGCCCCGGACTTACTCCGTGATGATATCCTCAAGTCCCCCCCCCCCCCCCCCGGCCTCCCCCCGTGTGGTATCCCCCACCCCCCCCCCCCCCCACGCAGTCAGCCTCTATACTACATTAACCTGCCATCCCACTCCAGAGAAAGACAGAGAGCGATATACTCCTGACAGAAACAGCCTTTGGATTAAAGACAAAAAAAAGTTGCTTCTCTCCTTGCTGTATATCAGTCAGTCACCACATGGATTCCATCCCCGCCAAGTTCGATGACCTGCCTGACCGACGGCGATTCTGGCCGGCGAAGGCAGGTTCTGAAGATGAGGGGCTGGGAATGCTTCGCATCCTCTCGCCGCAGATCGTCGCAGACGCAGCTCGGACGCAGATTCAGACGGGAGAACGGGTGTGTCTGAACTGGACGCTGGACAAGCTCCATCCCCCGGGTGAGTGATAACATGATAAACGGATACTGTTCAAGGAGTATTTTCAATCAGACTCATTATGCTAGGATTCGGTCGGAAGGCCTTTGAACACCGCATCAAATGGGTTAGCCCCGGGGTTGCGTTTGATGATGAATACCACTTCAACCCGCAACAGTCGTCGCAGTGGGATGGACTTCGACACCACACGCAGCCGGCGCCTACCGCGGAGGATCCGACACGCCGGGTGTTCTACGGGGGCACGACGGCGGAGGAGATCCAGGACCCGAACTCGGCACGGATCGGGATCGGACACTGGGCGCGCAAGGGGATTGCAGGCCGCGGCGTGCTGATCGACTACCTGTCGTGGGCGGAGCGCAAGGGGATCACATTCAGCGCGCTGGAACAGCACCGGATCTCGCTGGACGTGGTGTTGGAGATTGCGCGCGAGTGTCGGGTCGAGTTTCAACCGGGCGACATCTTCTTCCTGCGCGTCGGCCTGCCCAAGACCTGGGACGGGATGTCGGCGGCGCAGAAACAGGCGTACAGTGAACAAGAGTGCCCCAAGCATGCGGGTATCGAGCAGAGCGAGCGCGTCCTCCGCTTCATCTGGGACAACCACTTCGCCGCCGTCGCCTCCGACGCCGTCAGCTTCGAGGTCTACCCGCCTCTCGACCCGGAGTGGGATCTCCACCACCACCTGCTTGCTGGCTGGGGCTTGCCCATAGGCGAGATGTTTGATCTCGACGAGCTGGCCCAGCTGTGCCAGAAGCTGGACCGCTGGACTTTCTTCATCTCCAGCAGCCCGTTGAACTATGCCCAGGGGGTCTCCAGCCCTCCAAACTGCATGGCTATTTTTTAAGCCCCGGCTGTAAGCTGAAATCCTCCAGATAGGGATATATATTAGTTGTTGTTTTGTTTCTTCAAAAGAGAAAAAAGAAAGGCTCTGTAAGGTAGAGCCGAACGGCGAACTATTTACTCCATCACGTGACATGCCTCGGTCATTCTTACTGTAGGAATATGAAACCCCCCCCCCCCAGCTTTGCGTAATTCTCCGTCAGTTGCAGGCTATCCAGCATGGCCATATCACTGCGGATAGAGAGCCTGCGCGAGACTCTCTCGTTGCTCTCGCCGCTTGCCTCGTGGAAGGTCCTCGTCCTGCTGCTGGCGATTACCAATCTCAAGAACCTCCCCCTGGCCTGGCATGTGAGTTTCCCCCCTATAGCAAGCTCAATAAAGATAGGTATGTTAACTGTGTGTTTTCTCTGTCTAGGTACGCCTTCTCTATCGGTTCATCGTGAATCTCCGTCTTCGTCCCAATGCGCCTCTGTTCCCCGCGGGTCGAGTAATCGCCGATGCCAAAGGCCGGCCGACGCATCCGGTCTTCGTACCGAGTATCATCTCGTCGCGCACGCCGCTGATGGAAACAGACTACAACCTGCACAAGTCGAATAGTACGTATTTTACGGATCTGGATGAGTCGCGTACCGCGCTGGTGACTCGGCTATACAGCCCGGGCGTTGGACTCACGAGCAAAGCGCTCGACGAGGAATTCCTGGAAACAGAGAAGAACCAACCGGGCGAGAAGAGCGAGAAGAGAGAGAGGCTCCCCAAGAAGGCCTTTCTGAGCGTCTTGCTCGGGTCCGTGTACTGCAGCTTCAAGCGGGAAATCAAGCCCCTGGAGCGGTATGAGATCGAGTCGCGAGTCATCGCCTGGGACCAGAAATGGCTGTACATCGCCAGCTTCTTCGTGCGGCCTGCGCGCCGTCCCGGTGGACAGAAGTCTCTCCTCGCGTCTGCTATCAGCAAGTACGTCGCCAAGAAGGGCCGGCTGACAGTCTCGCCGGAGCGGATCCTCCGCACGAGCGGGTTTCTCCCTCCGCGCCCTGCAACAGAGGAATCCGGCGGGGAAGATAGTAGTGATACCCCCGGAGTCAGCACTCCTGCCACGGGGGAAGGGATCACCGCCACTGCCGACAGTGTGGATGGATCTCTGGCGCGCCAGGTCCTACAGCTGGCCGACGGTGAGATCCCCGCCCAGGCAGTGCTCGAGGCGGACCAGAAGGCGAACGCGGCATCCTGGGACCCGGCCGAGTGGACGTGGGAGCGCATCGAGCAGGAGAGACGGCGGGGATTGGAAGTTGTGCAGAGCTATGCGGGCCTGGACGACCAGTTACATAGAGAGTGGGAGTAGACTTTGAGTGCATCAGTGTACGGAGTATAGACTAACGGAGTACTTGGTATCATTATACTTAAATTTAGATCGCAAAATGCTGCTTACGGCTAGGTCTTGTAAAGAGTGAAGTTTTAACCACAATGCATAACTCTCTCTATCCTTACAATAAAACGCCTTTTTTTACAAATGAACACAGTTCTGGAACGAGAAACCTGCCCCATCCAGCCGCCTCCTGTACCGCTCATGATCATGAGTTACCAAGCAAAGGAAAAAATTGTCTTCCGCTCCATCAAGTGTTTTTTCTTTTTCTTTTTTACTCCTCCTTGGCAACCGGTTCGCTCTTGGCCGGCTCAGACTGAGTCTCGGCCTCCTGCTGCGGCGGCTGGGGCTGTTGCTTGTCGGCGTGGGAGTTGTGGTTGTGGTGGTTGTTGGGCTCGTACAACGACTTGTGCTTGGACTTGAGGCGCTGCTCCTCTGCAGCAACCATATCCTTCCACAGATCGTTCTGCTCATTATTATCGGCGTGGTTGTCGACCTCCTGGACCTTCTGAGCGGCGGCGGTGGCAGCAGCAGCCTCGCCCTTGGCCTTCTTGGCGGCCTCAAGGATACCCCGGCCCTTGCGCTGGTCGTGGATCTCAAACGCCGCCGAAGCAACCAGCACCGCGAGCGTCAGTCCCTGCGCGTAGACACGCGCCTGGACGATCTTCTGCTGTCCGGATAGGTACGGGTTGCGGCCCACCAGTACGAACGAGCCGATCATGCTGGCCACCCAGGTCGCACTGACGATCTTGTACTTCTCCCGGTGCGCCCACTTGGTCAGCCGCTCCATTGTCCCCATCCCCGCCATCTCCTCCTGGTGCAATTGTGCTTCTCGACTCTGGTACCATTGTAGCTGTGTGTTGCGCTGTGCCTCGAATTGCCGCGACGAGTGGTCCGCCGCCACGATTCCCACAAACGTCCCTGAAGAGGTCACCAGGAAGGTCTTCATCGGCAGCGTCAGCGACCGGATCGTATGATATCGCCGCGACGCCGCCATCACCCCCGCCACGCCGCCGACGATACCCAGCACGCAGCCGACCGTGCCTCCTTGCAAAACCGCCCTGGAATATTCGCATCAGCATCTTACAAAAAGAGAAAGGAGAAGAAAGAGTCAGATGCGGTTTAAAATAGGGGAAATCCTTTACCGGTAGTGGGCATCTTCTTCCTCCTTGGTCAAAAGCTTCATTGTACAGATAGTATTATGCTAGAGATTGGCGAGAAGGATAACAGCAAGCTGAAGCGCTTCGAAATAGAAAATAATAGCAGAGGAGGCTAGATAATGTAATCCGTGGATTGACTGACGGAGTCGACAGAATCTGAGCAGAACTGAGTCAATATATACTGGCGGAGCAAAGACCGGTGACGTTGGCATTGGGCCTTCGGGGTCTGCCAGTCCCCGGGTACGCTGGGTCAGCGATGGGCCCATCGCGGCCTGAGGAATCCGCGGAAATATCTCGGTGCTGACTAACTGCTATTCGGGCGATCCAGGGTGGCTAATCTTCATATCGGGATGCACATGCCGACCACTACGGGATTTTCCCACTGACATCATTATTGATTTATTCAAATGGTTATTTCAATGTTGTACATTCAGACTAACTATCGACCATGGAAATAATCTTGAATAAGGATCCGCTCAGCGCCGTAACCATCCTAGGGACAAAAAAAAAGAAAAGAAAGAGAGAGAGGGAAATGTTGGATGAAAGAAAAGAATGCCATAGAACCCTGCATGCTGCTGTATTCACACTTTATTTAGTTCATCTCCGCGAACCCTTGGATGCAGCGATCTGGCGTGCCCGCATCTTCCGGAATCGATCCTCACCACTCGCACCGAGCGGGCGTGCGAACTTGCTCTCCTGGATCATCGTCGGGCGCGGAACCACAGTGTAGCTCGTGTGAGTCATTTCCACGCGAGCACGGTTGGCAAGACGGGGCGGAAGAAGCTCGCGAGCGCGTGCCTCGGCGGCGGTGACGGAAGCGGAGACGGTGGACGAACGGTTGGAGAGTTTACTAGATCGTCAGTGAGAAGTCTCGGTGGAAGAAGGGAAGGGGGGAAACATACGTAGGGTCAAACTCAGCCTCCTCGTACACTCGCTTGGAATAGTCGTCACTACGTTGCAAGATAGGCCGGGTCCATTCGGCAAGAAGACGCTCGGCCATACGCTTGATGCCGGGCTCTGGCCGCTTGCTGCGCGTGTAGAAGACGATCACCTTGCCAATTCCGCTGGCGATCAAAGTTTCCTTGTTGATCGGGAGCTTGCCCAGTGCGGTCATCAGGTCCCGCTGGATGTTGTATGCGGGTAAAGACCCATCATCCAGTGGTTCGAGGAAGAACTTGACCGCTTCCAGCAAATTGATCTCCGGGTCAACTAGACTGTTGACATATTGGTTGCGGTTAAGAAGCGACACGACCTCGGGCAACATCTTCAGCTTGTGCATGGCAGGCTTGCCTTCCCGACGGTTGAGGGCATCCAGTTGAGCAGCATTGGTCATACGTTTGCGCATATCTTCGATCTCCGCATCTGCCATTTGCTCCAAGTCCTATAAAATATATTTATTAGCACAAAGGCAAGGCTGATACCCAGCGTGTACAGCAACATACAATGCCGTCCGCCTTGCGGAACCGTCTCTTGGTAGGTTTCTTCAATGCTTCGTCCATGGCGCGATCGAGGGCCCGGCGGCGACCTATCCATCCAGATCAGTCAGAATACAACCCGCCTCGTCACTGACAGGCGCAAACTAAAAAAAAAAAAAAAAAAAGGAACTCACGAGTAGCAGGATCAAGACTCTCATCGTCCTCGGGGGTGGCCTCTCGTCTCTTCCGCTCCCGTCTCCGCGACTTCCCTTCCTCCCCGCTACCACCATCCTCCAGTTCCTTCATTCGACGGCTCTTCTTCTCTCGGCGCCCTTCCTTCTTCCGGCGGGGTCGCTCGGAATCTTCGCCATCTTCCAGTCTCTTGCGCTTGTGCCGTCCGATAAGCTTCAGGTTCTCCTCATCGATGGCCAGCTGAGGACGGTCCTCGATATCCACATTTTCCGGATCGAAGTCTTCGAACTGCGCCTCGTCGACTTCCGAAAGGAGAGATTCGTCGTCTGAAGGCTCCGCGGCATCTTGGTCGTCGTCCTCCTCGTCAGCGCTGGCGACATTTTCCGACTCCTCACGCTTGTTTCCCTCCTGTTCCTGCTCCACTACCGCGGGTGAGCCAGGCTGCTCCTCTGGTGTCGCCGACATTATTCTGACCGACACGTGTGTGGGTTGCAGTATCTAATCGTCCGTGGTCGTGGGTTTCGCGAACTGCCTCGTACGGAGACTGCGCGACGTCTGTGTCCGCTAGCGGTTTAGCCCGCTGGGGTGGGAGAGCCGAGCAAAGACCGACACGGGACCCAGCCACACTGCGAGCTGAGTCACAAATTACAGTAACTGTTTTTATGAGTGTTCCTGTTCAATAGATGAAGAACCGCGTATTCCGTAGATGATGAGAAGATACACCAGCGAGGGGGCTGGCAGATGCGAGGTGGAAAGTGAATCTCGCCCAACAGTAGGAGAAATTGAGCCCGCTCACCGCCTTCCCGTTACGCCTGCAGGGTTGAATCTCAGAGTCCAGGCGATGAACATACTCTGACGACTCAACCATATCTTCGTTCACTGCTTAAATCACTGTTCTTTTCAGTAGTCTTCCCTTGATTACAGATCAAAATGTTTGCACCGGGTGAGTCTCATATATTTTGCCTCTTATACACCTATACCAGCCGGGCTTGGTGTCCCTGTCCAACTTTGTTGACTGTCGATTGCTTCCGCCCTCGACCATTGTCCTGAAATATCTCAAGCTAATATTATGTCTGGCAGGCGCTGAGCAGCTTTCCAAGGAGGAGATCAAGGTAGATATATGCTTCTACCTATGCCATGGCATCCTACTGCGAGAATTCATCGAGCTAACGTGCTGTTACAATAGGCCGGAGAAGCTGAGGCTCGCCAGACCATTCAGAGCGCGATCGTCGGTGGTATTCTGCTGTACCTTTGTAAGTAGATCATCTTCGATATCTCTCGTGGGACAAGAAAACAAGAGCAATTACTTGTGTCTTCTGAAATTACTATTACAATGGCCAGCCACTAATTTAGATCACCTGCAGCTCCTTTCGCCGTCGACTTCGTCAAGAAGTTCCTCTGAGTCCTCTCCATACTTCTTCTTTTCTCTTTCATGGTGCATCGAAAATATACTGGGAACCATGCCTTATCTTCTATCTGTGTTGGGGAACACTTGACTGGTCTGGGTTTCGGTACAATAGAAGCGAACGGTGAACATGTTTAATGGCATCGGTCGATTGATTGCTAGGAGTCATGGCATGATGTATTATTAATGTACAAGTTTCTTCTTTTTTTTTCGAGTGGATATAAAATCAAGTCAAATAGATGGCGAATTGTTCGACGGCTTCAAGTTCATCCATCCACCGGGTGTATCACTCCTGAAACGCCTCGTCTCCTTTCTACATGATGATAAAACGTTAAAACAGAATAAAAGGTACAGGCTCACTTCTCAGATAAGATTCTATCTCAACTGTCACCCAGACCCAGAGATTTTTGGACCTCATTGAATTCTTTCTTTACTGCCTGCAGCTCCTTTTGCAAATGTTGGATCTGGGTGTGGTAATCGTCCAGGATCTGAATATCATGTCAATTTATTGAACCCCATACTTGGAAGTAGCGGGAGAGAGGGGAAACTCACCTTTTTAGCTGTCTTGATGGTGTTCTCGTCCAGCTCATCGTCGCCCTGGGAGGCAGCAGTCGAGCCAGCCTTGTCCATCTCCACCTGCAGCCGTCTCGAGTGTTCCCGGATGGCCAACATTCTAGCCCAGATTTCTTCGGCACGCCCGTTGAGAGAAGGGTCGAAAGCAGCCCGTTCGAGCTGGGCAAGCTTCTTCTTCAATTCTTCTTCGGCCTCATCCATTGCGTAGCCTCGGTTCCTCAGCACCTGGGTCTTGGCGGCAAGAGTGAGACAGCGCTTGCTTAACACGAGATGCCTCCGACGACAGTCGGCGATTTTGACGGTAATCTTTAGGTCGTGACGCGAGAGCAGATCGGATAGAGAATTGTTGATCTGGTGGAGGCGGGTTTGCAGCATGGTTAAGAAATCCTTCTGCCTCTGAGCCCGCTTGCCCAGTTCCCAGAATCCCCTCACGGCTACTGGCACATAAGCCGGACCAGGTCTCTTGCGGAGGGCCTCTTCCCACTTCGACTCGTCATCTCCCATGCCCGGTTGGTAGAGCGGGATGGTGTCTTCCGAGGCCCAGTTGTACAGATATTCACGGAAGGGGGAACCAGCAGCCAGAGGGTCCCATTTTTCTCGAAGTATATTCATCTGCATAGGCACGGTGCGGTGTACTATATGCGAATTTGTAAGCCATAGCCATTGAGAAATAATACCTGATAAGATGACATACCTCCAGTGATTGCGCGACCAGGAGACCATAAGCTCGACCCCAAGTTCTGCTGCTGGGCTGTACTCTGCCCTAGCTGGGACTGCTGGGGTTGTTGTTGTTGCTGCTGTTGTTGTTGCTGCTGCTGCTGCTGCTGTCCACCAAGCAACGGCCCTCCAAACAAACCACCTCCCTGTTGTTGAGGCGGTTGCTGCTGCTGCGCGGTAGAGCCAAGCCCACCAAATAAGCCTCCCTGCTGCTGCGGTTGCTGCGGTTGCTGGCCCAAGCCGCCAAACAAACCACCGCCACCAGTCGGTTGCTGAGTCTGTGTTGTTGTCGGCGCAGACCCGAACAGACCAGCTTGCGGCTTCTGCTGCGCGGAGGAGCCAAACAAGCCACCAGTCTGCGGCGTTGTCGTTGTCGTTGAACCAAACAGTCCGCCGGTCTGCTGAGGCTGCGCCGTCGCAGAGGCACCAAACAATCCTCCCCCTCCTCCAGTATTCTGCTGCTGCTGCTGAGGTGTTGTCGACCCAAAGAGTCCACCGCCGCTCTGTTGGGTTCCTGCTGTCGTGCTGGAGCCGAATCCTCCAAAGGGACTGGGTTTGTTCGCAGTATTGCTACCAAATAGCCCCCCCGACTGGGGCTGTTGATTCTGCGAGCCGAACAGAGACATGGTCGTACGCTCGATATCCCACCGTGACGACTAGAAACGAACGCGAGGCAATGTAGAGCAGCTCGGAGGAAACCGAGTATATTCGGCTAGAAAGAAACCCCCGGCGCAGGCAGTTGTCTAAATTATTTTAATTCAAAGACAGCAACTCAGGAACTCATGGCAGGATACAGGTAGCAAAAATCGCTGGTTTTAGATTTTCTGCAGACAAAGCCGGCGCAATAATAGCAGGTTGAGACAGCAACAACCTCCAGCGGGTTTGTTTTTCGGCGGAGCGTTTATCACGTGATGACTTCGCGGACTCGAGGAACGTCCCAGCAGCACAGCAAACCCCCCGTTCAAATAACACTTGACAGGTGTCGTGAAGCTGCAGGGCTGCAATTGAAAGAGCTTCACTCGTCTCAAAAGTAAACTACGTTCTGGCGTCCCTAGACCATCCATAATACAGTCTGGACCTTATACAATTACAGAAGCGATCGTTGACGGTGAGAATCCACGCTTACTTAATCAAACGAGCGACATTGACCAATCAGCTCCAGGGCAAAGAACTGACCTCCAAACTCGCAGCTTTCACCAGGCACTTCACGAGCCGGAACGAACCGTTCGAATTGAAACGAGCCAGGCACGCGAAACCGGACAGATCCAAGCATCCAAAATGTCTCACAGGCAGGCCCAGTATGTGTCACTGAACATTGGGTACACCGGGGGAGGAACGGGGCTGTTTTCCAATTGCTAACCTTTCTCTCTCCTGCACAGGTTCAACCAGCATGTCCTCGTGGACACGACGCCGATGCCCGACCACATCCCCAAGGTGGAGGAGATCGGAACGACGTCTGCGCCGCTGATGAGCGCTGCGTACTTCATCGGCGACCGCTGCAAGGCGTTCAATGACGATTACATGAAGTGCAAGGCGGAGGCCAACGGTCGCGGAGAGCTCGAGTGCCTGAAGGAAGGTCGCAAGGTCACCCGCTGCGCAGCCAGTGTGTACGTCTAACTTTTGTGGTTGGAATTATCTTGGGGGGGAAGGGGTCCATATGCTGATTATCGCGTAGGATCAAGGACATCAACACCAACTGCCTGAAGCAGTTCAATGCGCACTGGGAGTGTCTCGAGAACAACAACCACCATCTGTTCGAGTGCCGGAAGGCGGAGATGGACCTGAACCAGTGTGTATTTGATAAGCTGGTATGTTGGAGTTTTTTTTTTTTTTGGTATCATACACAGATGAAGCCCGCCTGCTAACAGCAACCAGGGACTCAAGAAGACCATTCCCGATACCCCGGAGAACGTTGTCCCTGTACATCTGCGTGCCAAGCAGCTGTATTCTCGATTCCCCGGCCCTCAATGGTAGAATGTTAAATTATCTTTTCCTCTTTTTTATCCGTTTCATCTTCTTTTCCGTCTGATCTCGACCGTGTTTGTGTATATATTAGCATTAGGAATGGTCGTCTCCGAGTCATAGATACTCAGTATGATAATGAACAGCACGTCATTAAAACACGCCGGGATGAAGACCAGTATATCGCCAAAGGATGCCATACGATTGATTCTCGCACCTTTTGACAATGTCACACTGTTATTGACTGCTCTATATAAAGTACAGGGTATATAGGTCTAGATATGCAGACAAGATGCCCAAGATATACAGGAAAGAAAAATCCCGAAGAGAAAAATGAGAAGTTACAAAGAAAATCCGGCATGTATCCATTATGTAACAGACAGTGAGAATAACAAGAATAATATATATAGATATATATACCTGATGGAGAAAAAGAGAGAGAGAGAGAGAGAGAGAGTCCTTCGCGAATAGAGGGGAAGGGGGGGGGGGTGTATCATGGTAATTCAGGAAGACGCCGGACATGCTTCAACTTACCCAGCCGTGCTTTGATCGCCGACCAGCCGACCTGTAGTTTCTCCTCAAGACGCCGGTCCCCGCGGAGACGCATCCAGATCAGGACCATGCTCAGGACGGCGAGGTCGACAAGGATTTGCCTCGTGGCCGCCCAGATGAGCCATTTCAACCACGCCAGGAGGCCTGACCGGCGTCGGCTCGCGAGGGTCCGAGCCTCCATCTGTTCTCGTACCGCAGCGATCTCGGCTGTCATCTTGGTCAAGGCCTGCTCGACCCGTTGGCGCCATCGCCGGGGGTTTATATCGCGGTCAGGGTCTTTCCTCCCGCCTCCTGAGCTGTGCCGCAGGACGGGTTGTGAGTCGCTATGCGCCGTACCCTCGTCATCCTCGTAGAGACTATCTCGAGCCTCTTCGTACTGCTCGTTTTCGTCGTCTTCGTCTTCCTCGTCTCCTTCATTTTCTTCTTCTTCTTCTTCTGCTTCTTCTTCTTCTTCTTCTTCTTCTTCTTCTTCTTCTTCTTCTCCTCCTCTTTCGTCTTCTTCTAGTGCATGTTCCTGCTCTCCATCATTCCCGCTTCGGATACTTCCCATTCGACGTCGATATTCGCCTTCTGGTTGACTGACGGGACTTAGGACACGCAGGCGTGAATTATCCTCGATATAGTCAGCCCGTGCTAGTCTCCCTGCGATACTAGGATAGGAAGCCGTTTGTTGGTGTAACGGTGGAACTGCCGTGGGTCGTAACGGACTAGACGACGCCGAAGAAGAAGATGAGGCGTTCGACTTAATCTGATCCCAGACGAATTCAAGCTCACTCACTAGCTCCCGCGCCTCGGGAGTCTGCGACGCGTACTGATGCATCGTATCGATCAGGGTCGAGATGTATCGACGCTTGGCCTCTGTACGACCTAGTCCGCGTTGAGCGTACCATGAATCCCTACATCCGTTAACACCATTCCTCGTTTCGTTTTGAGTCTTACCGGGGACTTATTAGAAGTACCATTTCTCGCATTCTGCTTGCACGTCCGCCGCAGTGCCCACCGGCCTACCCATCACACCCTCGACATCCCCCTCTGCACACAGTCAGATCACCTATAGTTCCTCGTATGAAGTGTTTTTCCTCTTGTAGATTACCCACCCATGCTCTGTTTGTATAAGCCATATAGCTTCAATCGCTCGGCGGCGGGGGGTCTGGCGGTTCCCGTACGCGGGATTCTCTTAACAGTGTTAAGGGCATGGACAAAGACTCGATCTAGGAAATCAATCAGCATTGGACACTTGACACCAAGTAACGTCTATCTATCTTAGGGGAGGGGGTGAAATTCGCACCAACAGAGTCCGACATGGCGAGATAAGAAGCCAGTCGTTCATCAGAGCGAAGGGGCGCGTGAATTTGCATTCGTAGGCCATACACGAGAGATAATCAACCCGAAAGTCTCATCAACAGTAAAAATATGGAAAGAAACCCAGTGGTTTCTAGGCTTCGCGTTAAAGTGGGTGGTCAACGCGGAGTGCTGTTTGCCGGATGATGCGATGCTCCGGCACACGAGGATTGCTTCTCGGATTACCTGTGACTCTCTTGCAGTGATTTCTCAGTCCGAAAAGCCCACTGCTGGACTCACATGCTGCTCTTCCTGACGCCGGCCACGAGTGTTTTGGATAGAAGCAGGGCCAGCGAAACAACGATGAGCAAGACTGTTGTTGCTAGTGAGTGGACCGCGGCTATCGGAGTGGAACATCTTGTGATTATCGATAGATCAGGTAGCAATAATATCTACACCTCGACCTTTTTTTCTTCCTCCGCACTTGTTTTCGCCATCAAAATGCCACGGTTTCATAAATGATTTCATTGAAAAAAAAAAGAGAAAAATAAGTACTTCTACGTGGCTTATTACAGGGTTCCCTCGGATTTCTTCGTTTCCTGTGCTTCGTGACCGTTCTCTGCGTCGATCACCACAGTACCGGTGATGGCCTCTGGGTTGGTAACAGGGGGCCCTGTGAAAGCCTTTCGGGCATATACGAGGTACCAGATGAGACTGATGGCAGCGAAGCCGGAGAAGACGACGCTAGCGTAGTTCATCGACGAGGCGCTGACGGGCAGGGCGACGGGCATGCAGAACAGCACGACGGCGAGAACGATCCAGACGAGCGTCAGGATGTTGATGGCGTATCCAAAACGGCCAAGCGAGAAGGAAGAGCGACTGACGGCCTGGCGTCCACGCAGGACGGAGATGAGGATCGGCAGACCGTACGAGGTTGACAGGCAGATGGTCGCGACGCCGGTGAAGGAGTTGAAAGCGGCGGACGAGCCGAAATAGATGAGGCCCAGCAGGCAATCGACTGCGGTAGATAGAATGATGGCCCAAAGGGGCACGTCGAGCCGCGAGTCCACCCGCCGCCACAGGTGGAAGCCCGGGATGGCGCCGTCACGAGCAAAGGCGTACGTGCAGCGGCTGGCGGCCGTCAGGGCTCCGATGCCCGCGAACATCAAGATCCCCAGGATAAGGAAGAGTAGGCCGAAGCCGCCTGCGGCAGAGCCGGTGACAGTCTGGAATAACAGGGCGATCGGTTGGTCGTTGGCTGCCTGCAGCAACAGCTCAACGGGCGGTAGCACAAACAGGATGGGAATCAGGTAGAGCAGTCCGGTAATGCCGGCGGCAACCACTGATAGCACAATGGCCCGGGGCACCTCGCGCTGTGGATTCTGCACTTCCTCACACATGGCTGCCACCATTCCATACCCAGTCATGGTGTATGCTGCCTGCAGCAATCCCACGAAGAAAGCCCATCCGGAGGGCCTATAGTCACAGTCAGTTAGGGGGGTTTATTTTTTGAAAAAAAAAGGCAAGTGTTGAGGAGGAAAAAAAGAAAGAACGAAGGGGAATGTACCAGCCACTGGATGAGGCGTCATAATGGGTAAAAACAAACTTGGCATCGTGCCGACTGTCCGCCATGGTCAGGAGGGTGATGAGGATGATGATGACGCTGGTGGCAGTCCAGAAGATGCAGACTTTGTTGATCAAGTCGAGATACCTGGCGGCAAAGATGTTCACCAGGGCACAGATCAACATGATAGCCCAGAAGACAACAATGGTCTGCCAGGCGGTAGGAACAAAGTCAGCGTCCCACAGGGTGACGGCGCTGAGGATCAGCTGTGCACCAGAGAAGGCGATGCTGAGGGTGACAGTCCAGTTGCCGACGAGCGTCAACCAGCCGTCGATGAAGGACATGAGAGGCGCCCATTCCGGGGTCGACAGCACCGCGCTCCAGTAATAGACGCCGCCGGCAGTGGGATAGACGGCGCAGATCTCGGCGAGCGAGGCAGCGATGGCGATGGAGATGAGGGTGACCAGCACCCATCCCCAGAGCACCGTGACGGCCTGGCCGTCTGTCAGGGTGATGTACAGGGTGGTGCTGAGACCAAAGGGGGCCGCCATGATGGCAAAAGAGAGCCCCAGGATGCTCAGCATGCTGAGGTGCCGCGGCAGTTCGCTCTGGTAGCCCATCCGGGCGAGGGCTTCGTCGGCCCTCGCATCTTGCTGCATTGTGAGACTAGTTGATTGAAATGGAGCTGGGCAGGTGGGTAGGTTCACTCTCTTGTCTAATATACCCTTGTCCATCTGCAGCTCATGACACCAGGTTATGACACATAGAAAATGGTGATAGTATGGGGGACGGGCACTACCGGGAACTGGGGCATCGTCGGCTTGAGACACTTGTGGGGATGATAACTTTATTCGGGAGATCAGGATGAGAAGAATGGCAGAAACGGTTTGCTGTAAGTTGAGGCAGTATAGATCAAATGATAATAGCCTATTGTTGTTTTGCTTATACTCCAGGAAGACTTTTCACTACTGTACTACATGGGTAGGCAGCGGAAAGACGACCGGAGTGGCAAAAGGCCCAGTATTTCGTCTCGGTGAGTGTCCGAGATATGAAATATGGGTTTCTTGAAACCAATTGACCATGCTTATCAGTCGGATGACTTTTCAATTCATTATTGTCATACAAACCGTTCGATGTGCTCATCAGAATGATGTGATGTGGTCTCGAGGTCGACAGATCCTTACAGGTTCAACACTAGGAACGAGGTGAATGCTAAGCGAGTCAACCATGAGTCGACTCTTGTTTCCCTACAGTACTCGGCATAAAACTATATCAAGTCCATTCAAGAACGAATATCGATTTGCCTTCCCATCCCATCTGAACACCCATCCAAAACCCATCCGAACACCCATCCGAACACCCATCTGAAACCCCATCTGAAAACCCATCCGAACACCACATCAAGTTTTCTCTTCTCTCCCACACACATACTTCTCATACCGCTCAAACCAGCTTCCCTTGCTCGCCCGGATCTGCACCTCCTTATGCTTCCTCGTCCACCCGCGCGCACTCGGCCCCAGCTTCGCAGCCCCCTGCACCGCCCCGCCAACCATCACATCCAGCGTCTGGCTGACCTCGCGGTTGCCAGGACTGACAGCCAGCGGACTACACAGCGTGGTCGCGTTCTCGGCGCGACACTCGTCTTCCATGGCTTGGACTTCGCGCTCCGGTGCGGTCGTCGACGGGTCGTACGATGAGAGATGATGCGCTACCTCGTCGTCTGTCCCGGACTGGGAGTTCTCGCTGTGCTCTGGGTGCAGGGCTTGTCGGGCTAGATACGTTTCTGTGTGCGTGATGGCTAGCATCGACCGGGGGGTTATAGACGAGAATTTCCTCATTGTGTAGATGTAGATGTAGATATCTAGTTTGTTGTATTTTTGTTGTATTGACAATGCATTGTCAAGTGTCACTTGTTCCATGGATGGAGGTCATGATGTCATGACTTGAAACTATACTTTTTCAAGAAACATGGGGTATAGGGATATACCCAATGTATTGTGTATATCTATTACTGTCATCCTAAAAAAAGGGGATGAATGAATGAAAGAAGAAGAAATCATCTCCTACACGTACAAAGTATGAAAAGAATATATATAGAGTACAAAAATAAAAAAGAATCGACCGACGCAGGATTCGAACCTGCCATCTCTCGCACCGGAAACGAGCGCCTTAACCACTAGGCCAGCCGGCCTTGATGGTAGCTCTTTACAGAATGGCTTGATATTCCACAACTCAGTAAATTGTAATTTAACCAGTACGGAGTATACATATCGTCGTACTCCGTACTTGTATTAGTCTATGACTCTATATTCTTCCATACTACTATATGAACTAGGTATATTAACTGGTGACAGCTATTATCTATACCATTGACATTTGATCCTCAATATATAAGTATATATATATATACTACTGTAGTACACCCGGACAAGCACCAGTAATATCTAAAGAGTGTATTTACATGGACGATCAGACTACCTATTCTATCCGATATCTACTCAAATTCAACTATCAATCCAATACAGAGAAGGTCACTGACGTGACGGCTGCCAACACCGCTCAACCACCCCGGAGCGAAGCCGGCGGCGAGTTCTCCCGCGGGCAGTGCCTAGAACACAATGCTCAACGGGTGTGGTCGAGGATGAGCGCCAAATAACAAGGCCAACAACACGAAAAAGAAAAGGGGGGGGGGGGGGGGACGGGGTAGTACAACACTGATCACATTGTCACATAGGGGGATAAAAAGGGGGGCGAGGGGAGGTTGGGGAGGTTGAATAGGGTTTGGGGGTATCAACGGGACAGATGAAGTTTTGTTATATCGTCGCGAAGGCGGTAGGATATGGGAAGGGGGGGGAGAGAGGGGATTGGATTGGTTCTGTTTTCCGGGTTGGAGTTTTTCTGTTTCCTTTTTGTTTCGACTTATGTGCTTCAGAGCGGCAGTAGGCTCTGAACAGACTGGTAGACCCAGGGAGGACCAAGTCTGGAGGCGGGAGACAAGAGCCGACCAAGTCTCAACCAGCCAGCTAGCATCAACTCCATCGGAACGGGAACAGAAGGGAGGGGAAGGAAAAAAAAAAAAAAATCAAACGCGAACATGCAGGGAGGAAGAAAATAAAAAGGTAAGAAACGCCCATTCATGCAGTCGTCAGTCCGGATACATCGTTACAAAGATGCGAGTCAACTCCGAGGCCAAAAAAAAGTGTGTAATGCGGGGGGAAGATGCGAAGGAAAAAAAAAAAAAAAAGGGAGGCATTTTCTTTTCTCTCTCTCTCTCTATGGACTCAAGTCGGCGCAGAGATCGTCCGGCACGTCGAGACCGAAACCAGCCATATCGACGGAGTGAAGGGAGCCCGGCCCGCGACCGAGGGAGATGTCGGATGAGGCGTAGTCGTGCTTCAGGCGCTCGTGGGGGCCGAAGAAGGGACGGTTTTCCTCATTCGGGGTGTTACCATCGCCCGCCGCCCAAGGACCATGTTGCCAGAACCGCGTGTTGGCCTGTTGGTCGCCGAAGAGATCATGATGATCTTGCGAGTCAGCGTGGGGGACAAAGTCATGGTTTGGGGACGGGAAGCGTAGATGCGACCGGCTGAAGCTGGAGGTTGGGGAGTCGGCGTGCAGCGGAGGGTCAAGAGCGGCGAGGGAGAGATGATGATGACTGGAGAGATGATGAGTAGAGAGATGAGGATGATGAAGGTGAGGATGATGTTGAGGATGTTGAGGATGTTGAGGATGGTGGTGGTGGTGGTGGTTCAGGTGGTGGCCATCGCTGCCATCGTCATTGGGTCGGAGGGAGGGGTGCACATCGGAGCCGTCAGCATCGAGGATGATGGTGGGACCGCCGCCGGTCGCAGCCGCCGCCGGGGTGATGTCGATGATTGGGTGGTCGGTCTGACGGGCGAGGGCGGCGGACAGGCGCAGGTTGGACGAGGAGGAACCCTGGCGGCTGTGATGACGGGAGGAGGTGGCGCGCTGCTGGACGAAACTCCCACAGGTGCGGAGGATGAGCTCCTGCTGGTCCGGGGTGAGACGGGCGAAGAAGTCGTTGGCGAGCGACGGGAGCACGGGGCGGTCGGGGGCGGGCGGGGCGGGCACCAGGCCGTAAGTCTGCTGAGCGTAGGCGGAGAAGCCGGAGGGCATGTCGTAGGGGGACTGGTAGACGGTGGGAACCTGGGTGCGTTGCTGGTCGAGGTATGCGTACTTGCCCGGCAACTTGGCGGCGGTGATGGCGGCCTTGTCGACGGTGGTCTCGGGACGAGCGGCGTCCCGCTTGTGCAGGACATCCAGCCGTTCACGGTGACTGACGAGCGAGAAACGTAACATCTGCAGCAGACGGGTCACCTCCTCGGATCGCATGTTGAGCGGCTGTAGTGGCAGTAGGGTGCCGTCCGCCGCCCGCGGCTGGACGCGACGCTGGGCCATGGCCAGCTCCAATTTTTCGAGTCCTGTGGGTGGTGGTACGGAACCCATGGGTCCCAACAGGATCTCGACGACTTGTTCCGGGCTGATGATCGGATAACCCGCAAACACATTTGCATGTTCCGTGATCTGAGCGAGCCGACGACGGGCGATGAGTTCGCGAACGTTGGCAAAGGTGTGGGTGGGTAGGTCACTACCACCACCGATCCCATTGTTAACTCCATTATTTCCACCGGTAGTAGTGTTGTTGTTGTTATGATTGTTGTTGTTGTTGTTGTTGTTGTTGTTGGTGGTGGTGGTGGTGGTGGTGGTGAGGTGATGGTGCGGCGGTAAGGTTTTTGCCACGGAGACGGACGGGTAAGGAGCATGACGATGATGATGATGATGAGAATGATGAAGGGAATTATTATTGCGATTATTAGGCAAGGATCGGTGGTAGGCAGGAGGCATCGCAGCAGCAGCAGCAGAGGGGGGAGGGCGCTGCTGCAACGGGAGCGAGGAAGGAGGGGCAGCAGCAGCAGCAGTAACAGCAGCATAAAGATGGTGGTGGGGGTGCGACGAAGACAAGGAGGAGGAGGAGGAGGACGAGGGGGGGAGACGGCCGGCAGCGGCCAGGGCGCCCAGCGACTTGACGCTATCGAGGAAATTGGCCCGCGGGTTGTGGACGGGCAGGCTAGGGTTGTGCGTATACTGAGCCCTACACTCGGTCGACGAGGCGCCCAGGTAATGCCACAGCTGCTCGTGCCGGTCAAGGTCGACCAGCACCGGTGGGGCAGCGTCAGAAGAGGCCCGCAGTGCGACCGACTCGAATTCGGCCCACTGATAGGGGGCATCGGCGTCGCAGAATGGGCGCCCGGGCAGGGGCAGGCCCGTGTCGAGATCGCGGCGAGGGTCCGGCTTACGCGCGAGATGCGCTGGGAGGGGTGCGATGCCGGAGGGCAGAGGGGGGAAGTTGCTGCGCCGGACGATGAGCATCCAGCGGTAGGGGAGCTCGATGATGTCGCTGATAATTAGCATAAATAAACATAGGGGAAAAAATAAGAGGAAAGTTAAAAAAGACGAAAAAAAAGAAAAAAAAAAAAAAAAAAAACTCACCCCCGTGGGAGAACCTTGAGAAGAGCTGTCCGCTCCTCCGGTCGGTTCTGCAGGACAATGGCTCCGTTGATCTCCTTGTCGGCCTGGAACTGGACCAGGTCGCCCTGGATGAGACGCGAGGCACGTTCGATCAGACGCTTGTCGGTGTCGGCGGTTTCGCCGGGGTACCAGGCCTGGCGTTTCTGCCGGTGGAATTTGCACTTGAGATCGACGCTGGGCACCGAGTAGGTCTGCCCGTCATCGGCCACGACGGCGAGCGAGCCCATCTCGACTTGGACGCCGGCAAGGAGGGCGCAGGTGGCGTGGTACGCCCGCGTGCATTTGCCAAAGTTGCACTGGAAGCAGGCGCCGCGCACCTCGCGGCAGAAGAGGCATTTGAGGCCCAGACGAGCCTTGGGGATCTGGTCGATGTCGCAGACGACCTCCCGACCGGTCCCATCGCGCAGTATGGTCGTCTCCTCGATGTACAGTGCACAGCGCCGGTGCGCGTGCGCCTTGCCATCCTCGGTCGGCAACAGATCCTCGTAATCCAGATTATTGGGACACAACACACAGGGAAGTTTGCGTGAAGCATCTGGGCCCATGCGAGTGCGTTTGCCGGTGCGCGGCTCACCGTTATCAAGCTTGCGTTTGCGACCGCGAGTGCTACCGCCGGTGGTGGTGGTGGTGGTGGTGGTGGTGATGGTACTACTGCTGCTCCCGGCCTTCTCAGGGACACTCCGGGGCGGGGTGAGAAGATCCGAGGCGCCGTCCATCTCATCCAGCTCGCTTTCGAGTTCCCCGTAGTAGTAATACTCCGGAGTGGACTCGCCGCGCAGCTTCCGCTGGATTTCCTCGACGTCGATCCACACGCTATCGGCCTCGCAGTGGCACTTCTTGGCGATGCGACCGTAGTCGAGCCATTGCTCCGTGGCGAAGTTGACCGACTCGGCGCAGTTGTAGCCTAGGTTGAAGCCCGAGTGGTAGCCGTACGGATATGTGATGACGAATTCGCCCTCATAGTGGACGAGGCGGTTCACCGTGATGCCGTACTGCGACTTGAGGATGCTGGGCGAGACGAGGTAGGTCTTGTGGCGTAAGAACTGGTCGCAGTTCTTGGCGTCGCTGGGCCAGATGCTGCGCATCGCCTGCTCGAAGCGCGGGGCGTCGGCCTGCGAGATGCTGTACCACTGCTTGGGAGCGCCAAAGTGGATGTAGTTGATGCTGTACAGGTCCACGTCCTCCAGGTGCCAGGCAAAAGTCGCCTTCCACATACCCAGGTAGAGGTAGGCTGTGTTGACACCGGGGACCTTCTGGCCCAGCACGTCGAGCAGGTTGGGCAGCCGTGCGACGTTCCAGGACGTGGTGGAGTCGTCAAAGAGCGAGCCCGGCATGTCGGCCCCGTACAGCGGGTTGTTAAACATGAGCGACTTCCAGTAGGCCGTCTCCAGCTCCTCGCACCGTTCTGCGGTATAGTCCTCGCCGTCGGTGATGTGGTAGTCGAACCCCTTGAACGCCTCCTCATCGATGGCATCGATGGCATCACCGCGGTTGTTGGTTTTGCGCCGCGCAGTCACAGACCGAGGTTGCCGGCCCTTGGGTTTCGGCGCAGGCAGGGACTCCCCCTCGCTCAGCTCCTCGGACTTGGCCTCCACCGGGTTTGACTCGGGCGAGACGGGAGTGGGCGGGCCTTCAGGCTTGGTCTTGTCAACCAGGCCATCATCGGCGGGCGGCTCCTCCTTGATCTTAACCTGTTGTTGTTGTTGTTGTTGCTGCTGGTTTGACCGTTTCGGTGGGCGACCGGGTCCACGTTTCTGCTGCGGTTCGGAGGAGCGTGTCGTTGCCGGCCGCGGCGTCGGGGTTGCACGCGGCGCACGCTCCTGGTTGCGACGGCGCTCACCACGACGGGCAGGCGGCTGATGACTGCTCTCCTCACACAGCGCCTTCCACTGGGGTAGATTGTAGGAGCGTTGGCGTTCGATGTTGGCCTGGGTGTACGTTCCATGCGAGCCATGGAACTCTTGCATGATAGGGTTCTTCACCCGGATCTTCTTGACGGCTTCGTCGAGGGCAGGAAGGGAGCCGGTCCTAAACATGTCAGCTCTGGTGAATTCCTTCTTTTTTTTTTTTTTTTTTTTTTTTCCATCTTACCATTCCTTTGGGGGGATGACTTTGACAATGCCCGATTGCATGCCATATTTGTCAACTTTCTGGATAAAGGCTTGAAAATCCCGGAATTGATCCATGGTCTGCGCAACGAAAATCAGTGATACCGCCTCCTAAGCTAGGGGAACCAAGCTCATCTCCTACCGGTTTGAAGACGGGGACCTTGCCATCGCCGTAGTAGTGGTCTGGGAGGATCTCCTCGACCTCGACCTCGGCCTCGACCTTTTCCTCCATTTTTTCCTCCTTGATCTGCGGGATGGTGGCGCTCGCATTGTTGGGATCGAGCTCGAGATCGGACAGCTCGGAAGGGACGCTTTCCGGGGCATCCTTCTTGCCATGGGCGCTTTGAGGGGGGGTCATAGAGTCTGCCGGGGCGGAGGCGGCATGGTCGGTCGCAGGGCCCGCGACGAGCGACTCGACAGCTGAATCGAGCGCTGCCGCCATGGTGGGCGGTGGGAAGTTTTGCAGGAACGCTTTTCAGCGGAGAGAGAGAGAGAGAGAGAGAGAGGAGAGAGAGAGAGAGAAAGAGGGTATGTATCTGGGGAATGCAACGACACACCCGGACCAGAGGGGTTGGGGTGTAGGTAGATAGAGCGGGTTTGCCGTCGGAGTTGAAGTGACCGCTGATCGACGGCAGGCAGTGAGGAGGAGTTCCCAGCGGTCGGGGAAGCAGCGGTGGTGAGGCGAATGGAAAAAAGGGAGAGCGTGGATCAATCTAGTGAGTTTATCCGTCAATCGTCTATGTTCCTTTTGAAGCTGATGGAAACGAGGGAGAAGAGAGAGAGATAGTTCAAAGAGACTGCATGGGAAGTACTGGCTGGCAGCGATCGCAGGTCGTGCTCCCTGAAGTGGAGCGCAGAGAAGTGGCCTGACGCGGAGCCTCAGGCAGGAAAAGGCGACATACCTTGTGTGTAGTATGTTGTACTCTTTGTTGCTCTCTTCTTCCAGAGCTTCCGGACAGTGTCTCTCCGTCTCTCGCTCTGCCAGTCCGTCTGCCTCTCGGTCTGTCTCTCGCTCTGCCTTGGGTGTACTCTGCTCTCGATGATGCGAAGAGAAGGAGTCGGCTGTCACGGGTACTGGGCCGGTCACGTGAGTGCTGGATACTACGCGGTCCGCGGTAGAGCTGATCATGCGAGTACATAGTATAGGTAATGGATACTGTACTAAGTACCTATTTTGTCGAGACATTGGTTACAATTAATTGATTAATAGTTACCTGTTAATGACCAATTGAAACCTATAAGCAATCATGACTCTGTTGTACTGATCGTGGAGCAACTAATGCAGATCATAGTGGATAAGGTACATAAAACATCGCAACCTCCTAGTAGTAATGTTTAGCCGGAGATAATACGGTAGAAAGTATACTACAAGGTAACTGTCTGTATCTAGAATATTTCCAGCAGACTCCCGTATCGAGACGCCGGCAATTGATTGGAAATGTAAATGCATGCAACCCTTACTACATACACGCGCATACTAGGTACATCCTCCATGCTCTGTACGGAGTAGCCCTGTGCACAGAGCACAGAGCACTGCACCATCTACTGGGCCACGTAGCGCTGCATGTCCGTGTCCAGCCACTGAAGCATTGACCGCGATAAGATATGTAGTAAGTAGTCTGCCTGTACGAGTATGGAGTACATACTCCATACTCCATAGTTAGTCTATAGATGAAGTGTATAGTTAGATACTATAGTACTATACAAGTTCATGGAAGGTAAGCTTTGTACACGGTAGTTACAACATATTCATAGGGTATATAAGATAGACTCATTGTATACTCTGTCCTCAATATTCATTTAGCTGGAGCTTTTTCCCCACAAAGCGTCGCTTGGCAGGCTTGTCGCCTCGGTCCCGCTCGCTCACGCCTTTCAATGCGTGAAGCAGCATGCCGGCATCGAAGAAGCCATCTAGAAAGGTTAGCAAGTAGAAGATATATATGAAACAAGAAGCATAAAAAAAAAAAAAAACTTACATCCGCCCATCCCATCATCATCGATGTCCCCACTATCCGCCGTGGTCGGGGTGTCGGCCCCTCCCCTGGTTGAATTGGCGTCCCCGCGCACAATCCGCCCGCGCCGCTGGTGGTGATGGTGATGGTGCGTGGTATCGGAGTGCAGGCGTTCGGAGAGGATCTCGAGCTCGCGGGCGCGGCTGGTGCGTGGACTGACGGGTTTGCGGGTCGTGGTCGCGCGCAGCAGCTTGCGGATCTCGTGCAGGTATGACTCGAGGGTATGCATGAGGCGGGCGGTCTGGCGGTGCTTGGAGCTTGCGCAGATGGAGATCGAATCGTCCTTGATGATGTACCCGATCCCAAACCCGTCGCCGGAGGTCGGGCCGAACCCGAAGTGGCGCAGTGACGAGTTGCCGCAGTTAGATGTCGACAGAATGGTGTTGTTGATCTTGTCCCAGCCGGGGTCGGTGAAAATGCTGGGTGTCGTTGTCCGGAGCCGTACGCTGCTGTAACCGTTTGAAACGGACGAGAGGCCGTCGTAGTCCGAGACTGGGGAGGCAAGTCGAGGAGAGTTAGAGTCGCCGCCGCCGCCGCCGCCGCCGCCACCACCGATGGCAGTAGGAGAAGAAGAAGAAGAAGAAGAAGAAGAAGGTATTTCAAGCACCGGGCTGGCAGAATCCTGAGAGGAGCCGGTGTCGCCAATACTGTCGACAACCGAGGTGTTGTCTTCAAACGACCGCTGCCAGAGACAATACATGGCGTAGAGGTGACGGTCGGGTCCGTGGCCGCGGGCACAGTCCTTGGTGGTGGCCGAGTGCTTTTGGGTGGCCGTGCGGAGAGCGTCGACCTTGTCTTTGGCCGGATTGTCGCCCCAGAAGATCTTGACAAAGTCGAGCGACTCCGAGGTGACGGTGCGGATGGCCTCGGTGCGGCCGTGCAGGAAGGTCTTGGTCATGGCGGGTTCGTAGGTGTTCTCGACGCGGCCGTAGAGCCCGTAGTAGGCGGCCTGGAAGGCCATCTGCACAAAGGCATCGGGCGAGAGACCCATGGAGGTGATGAAGGTCTTGCCGTAGCCCTCAAAGTCGAGCACCTGGAACTCGTGTTGCTGCAGCAGGTCGGCCAGGTGCGACTCAGCGAAGCGCAGCGCGATGCTCAGCTCGGGCGCCATGTCCCACTCGAGCTTGCGCGGCGTCGTGCTCACGTTGCCGAAGCTTCGTGGATCGCGGCGCGCCGGGTCCGGGCTGGTCGTCGCCCACAGGCTGGGCGCCTGCCCGTTGATCGTCTTGGCGAAGCGCAGGATGGTGTCGGTGTAGAGGTCGCTGGCGAAGCGCAGCACGGTGTGGCCGTCGACGCCCGTGTGCTCAAAGTTGATACCGGCGCTGCCGTTCTTGCACACGATGATCTGCAGCTTGTCGTACCAGCGGTTGGTACAGGTGCCCACCTGCACGCCGCGCACGACCTCGCTGGTGCCGCACAGCATGTTGCCGCACAGCTCTGCCGTGCTCGACGGCTCGGTGTAGTCGAGACAGAGGACGAAGAGCGCCGTGTCGACGATGTTGAGGCACTCGGCGTTGTTCGACCCGGTCTCCTTGGTCAGGATGTCGCGCAGGCCCGACCACACTTTCCGGTTCTCCGTGCTGAGCACGCCGAGCGCGCCTTTGGCCGCATCCTGGATGGGGGTTTGCTCGGCGTCGCCCACGATGACCTGCAGGTTGACCGAGATGTCCTTCTCGCTCATGATCAGATCGTGATTGTTGTCCAACACATCGAACCAGTAGAACTGGCCGCGGCACAGGACGACGATGTGTTTCGCCGTCGGATCCTGGCTGATGATGCACCCGTTGTCCGTGGGCACGCGCGCCGTGCCAAACAGGCGTGAGTACTGGTACATGCACAGCGGCGTGCCACGCACCGTGTCCGGCGGCAGCTCCTCGCGACGCACCGCGCGCACAAAGGATAGTGCCGAGACGACGAGCGAGGCTGCCCGGGTCACCTGGTTGTTCCGACTGGGGGTTGGGTCATCTTCCAGCAGAAAGAAGGGGTTCAGATTGAGCACGACGGCTGTTGAGTTAGTCAATCGTAAGCCAACGCATTCTTGGGGTACATACGATTGTCATAGTTGAGATACGAATCGTACCCTATACTGTCAGTCTATTTTCACCTTTCTTTCTTCACCTTTTTTCTTTTTTCTTTTTTTCAAACATACAGAACTGTTCAATAAAGCTCGTCTTGGAGGAAGCATAATTCTTCAGTCTCTCCTGCAAGAGAGGCCCATCTGTGCGGAGAAAGTCCTGGACGGCAAGTCTCGACTCCTCCTGCTCTCTGGCTGTCTGTAACGGTGCCAGCGCCTCCAAGTACTTGCGACATGTCTCCTCGAGTTCCGGGATAGGCAGCTTGGGCAGTGATTCCTGGTTGGCAAATGTCAGACCCCTGCTTTTACCGTTGGTCATCTGCTGATCCAAAGTCGTGGTTGAGGTCGACGAGGATGACGATGTACTGTTGTTGTTCCCCTTTACGGGACTCTGGGAGGAGGGGATAATCTTGGTATCCAGCCCATGCGAGGCCTGGGAGGAGTTCTCCATAGCATCACCTAGGGGTTTGGGAGTGGTAAAGTAGCGCACTGCAAGCGATGAGTATGACATTATAATAAATTAGCCCTATTCCAGTCCAGTGTCCAGTATCCAGTATTCAGAATTCAGAATTGGATAGCTAAGCAAAGAGGCAGGCGAGTAGGGTAGGAATAGACAAAAGACGAAGAGCACTGCGGTAGAAGTAATGGCAATCCTGCAGACAATATGGTGGCATGGATAGACAAGAAGACGAAGAGGTAGAGAAAGGGAGAAATAACGAGGTAGGGAGATAGATACAGAGAGGGAGACAAGGAAGAAGACAGAGAGATATAGACAATGAGGCAGAGAGGTATGCCTGAGGTATCCCGCAGCACGTGCAGTCGGGGCGAAGGAGAAATAGCGTCTCAGCACGGGAGAAGGGGAAGACTTACCAGAGAGACTGGGAGACTTTCTTCTCCAAAAAGCCAATGACTTCTTTCAGTTTGCTGACCGGGGGAACGGAGCCAGTCAAAGAAAGAAGGAAAAAAAAAGGGTCCTACCTGACTACCTAGGTAAACTATTGTGGCATGCCGGAGGAAAGGGTCGATATTGACGCCAGAACACACATAGAACCACCAGGTAGTGACTGCCCAGGGAGAAGGTAGACAGGTACCTCTTGTATTCTGATACACGCCAGACTAATGTCGGATCAAGTAGATGCAAAGACTAACGGGAAACACTAGACTATCGAGTGATAAGGATGGATAAGGCGTGTGGAGAACCTGAAGCAGATCCTCTGGGGATGGCGTGGAAGTTTCCCTCAGGGTCGTACTGAGTCAATCCGTAGCTCCGTTCTGTAACAGCGTGTAGGTAGGTCTCTCTCTCTCTCTGTGTGTGTGTGGTGAAAGTTTCTGTTTCTATACTGCAGGAGATGATACTTGAAGAGGTACTCTGTAGGATATCTCGTCTGCTGTAATGATCCCCTCGTCTTCGTTGCTGCAGGCTTCGATTTGACGATGACGTTCGGGCGAAGGGAAAATGAGTCACGTGATGAATTAAGAGACAACAACAAATGTCTAGCAGTCAGTACTCTTCTACTGTGCGAAGAATACGAAGTACGATTACTCGGATACTTTTAGTCTATAGACGACCAGGTACAGTCAATACAATACAAGTAATATTGACAACGAAGCAGACGTGGTCTGGAGAAGGGAAGAGAACCATAGCGACGAGCTACCAGGGACCACACGAAGGCGGTGGTGGCAGTCAAGCCCGAGTGTACAATCTCCAAAGTCTTCACTTAAGCGACGGAGTAGTAAGGCTGGCCCAGAGGCTCGCCCACGTTGTCGGCGTATTCTCCATCGTAGTTACCTATAATTAGTTAGTAAGACACAGTTTGAGACTAGATCTGGTGTAAAAACCAGATATAAAGCAAAGGGAAAACGCACCCGCCGGGTAGTAGTTGCAGACGGTGAAGGGCAGAGCTTCGTCGGCGTCAACATTTCCGAGAGTGTCGCAGGTGACGGTCACGCAGGCGACCTCGGTGGTAGCCTTCCACACGATCTGCGAAAAGTGGCCCCAGTTGTCGAAGTAGGTCATGGAGGGGTCGGCCTCGCCGTACAGGCCCTCGAAGTAGCCGAACTCGTCATTGTACATCAGGTCGGTAAGCATCTCGCCAATGTTGTCCGCGCTCACACCGTAGCCGATGTTTTGGCCGTAGCCGCCACCGTCAATCGAGCTAAAGAATTAGTACATCACTTGAAAGAAAAAGAAAGAAAGAAAGAAAGAAAGGCAGTACTCACGTGTCGTGCTCATACACGCAGGTCTCAGCCAGCACGCGGGCGCTGGCCTCCAGGCTGGACGACCAGGTCACAGAGTTGGCCGAGTGGTTGCTGCGGTGGATGTTGTGGTTGTAAAGCACCGCCTCCTGGTAGGTGCTGGTGGCGGTAGAGCTGGCGGCAGCGCTGGTAGAGGTGACTAGGGTCGAGCTAGCAGCCGAAGAAGTCGAAGTGGAGGTCGAGGAGGTCGAGACCTCCAGCACAATTGGGGTCGACGTAGGTTCCGCCGAGGAGATGGCAGAGGTGGTCGTCTCAACCACGACGGCAGCGGCAGAAGAGGTGGAGGTGGGATCCACGGCATCAACATCAACCGTGGTCACGTAGTTCTCGGCCGCTACGGGGGTCTCGGTCACGGTCACGACTGGGACCTCCGTGGTGGTCGTGGTCTGGGTGGTGTCGAGGGTCACATAGTCGGTGACGGTCACAACCGTCACGTCAGTCACGACCGCGCGCTTGTCCACGGGGTTGGCCAGGACACCGGCGGCGCAGACGGCACTCAACAAGAAGGCGGAACGCATCTTGATTGGTATGGAATTGGAATTGAGGGGTTTTTCTTTGGTTTTGGGAGATTTAAATTGACGGCTGCTTTGTTCCCCAGATCAACTGGATGAATTATTCCACCGACGATAGCACAGGCTTCCACAGGAAGTTTTGGTCGACGAGACTGGCAGGTCGACACTTGGGTAGGAAGGTAGATAAGAGTGGAAGGGGAGAAAGGAATGACAGCCCTGCCGACACTTTTTGAAAGAATGAAAAAAGTGCAACAAAGGCGAGAGAGAGAAGATAAAGACTGTGTGAGGAGAGAAAGGGAAAAAAAAGAGAGAGAAAGAAAGGGAAAAGCTCGAGGCTGGATGATATAAAGAGTCTCTCGCTCGAGTGCCTTTGGAGATGGAAAGGAGTCGCCGCCGTCCAGTGGGGCAGAAGATCTAGACAGGACTGGCTGGACAACAGGTCAAGGCAATCAAACGTAAATTAAGGGAGCGGGGATTCAGGCAACTGGCGGATCCTTATTAGATTGGTTCCATCATATTCTGATTATTATTCTGGTGATGTGTTTAGGATCGGTCAACCGTTGGTGTATTCACCGTTGTTCAGATGGCAGAGGAGAAGCAGAGAGGAATCTGAGCTGCCAGAAAAGCACAATCAATAGGCATGAACTGTATAATAGAAGACTCGTTTCAGGAATGAGGCTGGTCTTACCCCCCCCGGCATGCCAAAACAGTTCGTCTTGCCGCCCGGCCATCAGGGACAATGGCAGGACAACGAGACAACAACAACTAGCATTCCTGGCGTCGAACCACCAACCGATGGCGAGCGACCCATGGATCTGCAACAGCGTCATCCTCCAGCGATGGCGCGTCAGATTCAGCCTGGAGTTCGGATTGCTTGTCTCTTATCCCTGGGTTGTTCCTGGCCCTGGACCATGTTTTCCCTCGTCCTGTCGTCGCTTCGTGTTGACCAGTGCTCCGAGCTGGCGAGGCCCAGGCCGAGATTTGGTTCGTTTCAGGTCCGTTTGGCGCCGGCCCACCGAGAAGTCCAAGTTTAGGATGGTAGGTAAGAAGTACCGAGCGCAGGTAGTAGATAGATAGACGTCTGTTCTATTAAGAATAATTTGTAGTAGATTAGAATAGTGAGGAGGAGATTGGGATCAACAGTAAGGGATCAGCCTATACCATTATTACCGCCTACAGTACCCGTTATTACCTCTGATTGTATGCTTTCTTTTGTATTTTACGTTTTTGTCTGTTTCATCCTCCGCCACAGTCACATGACCTCCCCTCTCGATGCCTGCGCGAAAATTAATCCAGGCCGTAACAGACGAACTCATCCACTCTGGCAGGACTAAACACTGGACAGGGAATGTACTCCGACTCCGTACATCCGAGGCATCATGTCGGACCCTGGTTTCGTTCGCTCCATGCCCACCGTCCACGCGTTGGAACCAGATCCCAGAGAGCCCCTCAACTCTATCGCCGATAAGAACCACGGATAGCGGTTCCTCGTGGTACGCAATGCGGAGAATTCTTGCGCAAAGTTCAGAGGGAATAAAGAAGAAAAGGATGATTCGTGGCGAGTTTCTTATCTACCTAGGTACTGTCTCTACTATTGTACTAACTAGTTGTCCATGGAACGAGAAGATCAGATCATATTCTATGCAAACCATACTCCGCCCTGCACCGCGTATGCAAACCATTGCAATAGTATCCAAGGAAGGGGAAAAAAAAAGAAGGAACCCATTAGACATCCACTATCCGACAACTGCCCGACTCGCAGAGCATCAGGTGATTCTTCTTTTGACCGGTAGACCCGCGCAGCGACTTGAGCAAGGGATTTCGCCCGAGCAACCAGAAGGAAGGGTTGCCGACAAAGTCGCCCGCGTGTGACGGCCGCACGTCGACCAAGGCTGCGTTGGTGGTGCACGTGGACGAGACTGCGAGCCGGCACTCGGCGCGGATTTTCTGGACAATCAGCTCCCACGCCGAAACGGGCTGCTCGGTCTTGTCGAGCAGGCTGTCCGCCCGCGGCACGCTCGTCTCCGTCACGTCTGCGCTGCAGAAGACCCCCGTCACGCTGCGAGCGCCCGTCTCCAGCGCGACGACTGCGTCCAGCAAGCCGACGAAGAGGAATGGGTGTTGCAGGATCTCCACCGCGAACGAGTTGCACGTCTGCCGTGCCTGGTCGCGGTACTTCTCGTCCGCTAGTAGGGCTGACAGACGCATCAGGTTGCTCGCTACCACTCCGTTGATGGACGGGGTCGCCGAGTCGGTCCCCGTCTTCAACCGGATCAACGGCCCGGGCGCTCCCGGAGTAGTCACCGATGGTGTGTTGTAGTACCCTGCTGGCGTGGAGCCGGAGATGGCCTGGAAATTGGCATCCAGATAACCTAAACATTGTCAGTCTATATCGAGAAGGGAAAAATCGAGACAAAAGAGAGAGAGAGGGAGGGAGGGAGGGAGGGAGGGAGGGAGGGAGTACTCTGTAGTTGGTCGGCAAATTGAAGATAGCTATCGTCAAAAGTCGCCTCGTACAGATCGAGCAAGCCGGCGATCAGGTAGGCATAATCATCCGCGAAGCCAGGTGTTTCGCCTCGGCTACCGTCACGGTAGATGCGCCAGAGCCTTCCGGTCGGCTTGTCGAACATGTGATTCTTTATGAAGGTGGCGGCCTTGGTGGCTGCCTCTCGGCATTGCAGGGCTTTGCCGCCATCGATGCTTTCGAACAGGATACTCGCCTTGGCCAGGGCGCCGATGGCAAGCCCGTTCCACGCGACGATGATCTTGTCGTCGAGGTTCGGCCGCACGCGCACTTTGTTGCGGTGGTCGCGGAGCCGTTGCCGCGCCGACTTGATGATCTTGACCACTTCTTCTTCGCTCAAACCAAACTCCTTGGCGAGCTTGCTGGGCGTGGCCCGGATGGCCAGCACGTTCTGGTTCATGAACTCGTCGTGCGGGTCGTGCTCCGGCGAGACGTTTCCGTCGGGGAGCACCCCCCAGTGGCGGGCGCACACGCCGGCGTCTCGTTGGCCGAGAACCTGGGTGAACTCTTTCATCGTCCAGACGTAGAATGCCCCCTCGCGCTTTTCCGTGTCCGTAGGGTTCGGTAGACTGTCGGCATCCTCGGACGAGTAGAACCCTCCTGTCGACGACTGGATCGGCGCGCTGGTCAGATATGTGATCAAATCGTAGACCGCCCCGAGCAGCTCCGGGTGATGGGTCAGCCGGAAGGCATCGATGTAGACGGATAGAAGCTGCGCCTGGTCATACAGCATCTTCTCAAAATGTGGCAGGCTCCAGTCGGCCGTCACGCTGTACCGGGCGAATCCATGGCCGATGTGGTCGCGGATCCCGCCTCGGGCCATGTTGATGAGGGTCTGCACGGCCATGACGGTCGCCTTCTCGCACTCGTCCTGGCCGACAATGTCTAGAACGGCAGTGGGATAGCACCCCAGACGCAGCAAGAAGGCCAGATTCGCAGGGGCCGGAAACTTGGGCGCGGTCGAGAACCCGCCGTTGATGGAGTCATACCGCGAGACAAAATGCTGGTACGCCTCTTCGACCAGCTCCAGCTCCAAGTCTTCATCCGCCTCACGCTCGCCGTGCTGCGAATGTGTCCCTTCCTCGGCGAAATCCTGCAGCTGCTTTGTGATCGTCTTGCCGCTGTCGCGACACTGCTGCTCCTGCGTCTTCCATACGTCCCGCAGCTTCTCCAGGATCTCCATAAAACTGGTCGTGCCCGGTCCGATCGACGAGGTGTTCGGGCCCGGCCAGTAGGTGCCGCCAAAGATTGGTTCGAGGTCTGGGGTCAGGAAAACGTTCAGCGGCCAGCCGCCAGACCCGGTGGTTGCCTGTACATAGTTCATGTAAATGTCGTCGATATCCGGCCGTTCCTCCCGGTCCACCTTGATAGGGATGAAGAACTCGTTGAGAATCCCCGCCACCTCAGACGACACGAACGACTCCTTTTCCATCACATGGCACCCTGTTCTTTGTTAGAAAGAACTAGATTGAAAAAAAAAGAAAACAAAAACCCAAGAAGCATAACATACAATGACAGGCCGAATAGCCGATACTCAGAAAAATCAACCTGTTATGCCGCTTCGCCAGCTCGATGGCCTCTGCATCCCACGGCTGCCAGGCCACCGGATTGTCCCCATGAGCTCTGACCTAGCACCCAATCAGCAACCTCCAGGCATATTCCAGAAGACGCGTGCCTCATCGCCCAGAGACGTTGCAACTTACGTAGGGCGACTTGCTCTGCTGGAGCCGGTTGACCAGCTTTAGCCCCGTCTCAGATGACCCACCGCCATGCGTCCGTTCATGATCATGTATCCCCGTAGTGGCTGTTGCCATTCCGTTCGATCTCAGAAGGGGAATGCGAGTGGACGGCAAAGAGTCTTGGTCTTTTGTTGGCAAATTCGTGGCCAGTTGGCTGTCGGCTCGAACGCCAGAAGTCCCTCTTTTCGAGTGCGGGGCTGAAGTCCCAAGGCGAAGACAGCCCGCTTCAAACAACCAACGCCTCGATCGACACGACGAAACTTGGTTTTGGACAGGACGAGGGGTCTTTTCCCCTTCCTCAATTGATGGCGTGAATAAGCAAAGAGAAGTGGCAAAAGCTCACACACACTAGATTCACTAGAGCATGTGAATCGGGGGGTTCTCGCCGTTTTAGTTGCAGCAAAGAATCCTGAGGATCTCTAAGTGCGTCATCGCTGCATCAGGAACATGGATCACGTGGGATCAGTCAGCAGCTGCCAGCCAGTATATTGGGTCAGTAGGTATATTGATTTATATTTTATATTTTATAACATGGCTTATTTATTTTCGTATTTACATATATGTTGTCTAAGAGACTAGTCGTCCTCCAAAAGCTCGGCAAGCTCGCGTTCTTCTTCCTCCGTGAGCAACGAGTCGCCCGGCTTGTTCTCCTCTTCTACCGGGGGCTTCCTGGCTTGCTCGACAGCGAGGCGGAGCTCGTCGGGCCTCAACGACCACTGGCGGACGGTTCCGTCGATCCCAGCACTGACGATCGTCGAACCGACAAAGGCAAGCGAGGTGACCTCTTCGAAGTGACCGGAGAAAGTGTGGTAAAGCTCTCCGGTCTGTAAGTTGTTAGTTAACAAGAAAGGCGACTCGAAGAAGAGCGAAGAGAATGGAGATACATACCGATCGACTCCAGACGCGCACTTCCTCGTCTCTGCAGGCGGTCACCACCCACCCGCCGGCTTCGTAGACGACCACGTCTCGTACAAAGTCCGGATGTTCCAGCACCAGATTGGGTTTCCATTCGTCATCCCTCACCAGGCACTTGGAGGTCTTGTCCGCGGACGCGGTCCACAGGTCCCCATCAGCATCGAAGAACAGCCTGTAGACACTAGTCTCATGGGCAAGCAGAGGCTCGAGGGCTGTCTGGTCGCTGCTCTCCAAGGACAGATCGAAGCGGCGGATCTCCCGATCACTCCCCGCGCTGACCACGACCGGTTTCGATGCTGCCCCGACTTCGAGCGAAAGCGGATCAAGAACAAGGTCTTGGATTCCACGCGCATGGCCCTTGTGGACCGCTAGCCGCTGCCCGCTAGCGATGTTGAAGATGATAATCTGCGCGTCCGCACCGCCAGACACCAAGACTTCCTCGCCAGCGACCCTCGCGGTAACCACCGCCTTGACAAAATCTGTGTGGCCCTCGTACCGCTTCATCGGACGGCCCGAGTCCACCTCCCAGCTCCAGACTTTTTTGTCCCAACACCCTGCAAACACCAGCTTGCCATCTTCACTGAAGCACAGGCTCGTCAATGGTGCCGTTGGTCCTTTGTATACCGTCGTAGTTTCTCCTGTCTGTAGCGGGGTTTAGTATACCAAAAACACCGAACAACAGAGTGATAGAAAAGAGAAAAAAAAAAAAAAAAAAAAAAAAAAAAAAAAAAAACCAACACACCTCGAGTAGCACCCTCCGTACTGTACCGCCACTTTGAGCCACAAAAACAGCCCTCGCGCCCCCCGGGTCCGCTCTCAGGGCAAGAATCTTGCTCTGCAGATTGACGGGGCGGCCGTGTGTGTTGCCAGCCTTAGCATCTTTCCGCTTCTGCTCCTCGAGGGAGGCACTGTAAGCGAGGTCAGTGACGGCCAGACGGCGGGCGATCACAGTCAGAAAGGCATCACAAACGTGGTCTGGAAGAAATCGTCTCGGTTCGAGGACTGCGACATGGTGGTGACGATAATAACGGTGCTGAGATCGGCCAGTCGCGAGACCCCAATTCTATTATATAATGGATTCGCGTCTCTGCAAAAACCCTGCGCTTTGAGCTTCTGCCGCCCACCGTAGTCGAAGCCACTTTTCCTCCACAAAAAGCTTTTCCTTTCCTTCTTCTCTTTCTTTCCCTTCTTCACTTCTCCCTCCCTCCCTCTCTCTCTCCCTCTCTCTCTTCTCCCTTTCTCCCTCTTCTCTATTACCTCTAGCTTTCCACTGTTTACTGTTATTTCCTTTTATTTCTTTTCTATTTTTTATTTCTTTCTTTCTAATTCTTTGTCTCGCGGGTGTCAGTATGGATATGAACCATTTGATCGGGTCAGTCTCTTGTGCCTCGAGGCCCTGGTCTGAGCCAGGGGTTATGCGGCTGGGTGGGCGTTAACAGCTGGCAGTCAGAGGTTCAATCTGATTTCCAAAAGCGATATTCGGTAAGTCACGTCGCCGTCGTCGTCGAGCAAAGGTGTCGGGTGTTCGTGCTGTACTGACTGGGGTGACAGCTATGTGGGCACTTTACATGAGATCAATCCTGAGGCCTCGACGATAGCTCTCGAAAATGTGGTTTCGTATGGCACGGAAGGAAGGCGAGGCAATCCTGCCGAGGAAATTGCCCCGTCGACTAGTGTTTATGAATACATTGTCTTTCGAGGCAGCGATGTAAAGGACATCAGTGTCGCCGAGGAAGAAAAGGAGGAAGCACAAGCAAACCCGCCTCAGGTTCCTGATGATCCTGCTATCCTAGGGGTAAGTGATCATTTTTATTTTTTATTTTCTATCTGCCATCTTTCTACCATGCCACCTGCCGGCAAGTATGATCATATGATGAAATATTTCGGATGTAAACTCACAGACCTGTTCTGAATGCGCAAAACCGTGTGGAGATTTCCGTTGCCTTCCTTCTGATGATCATTGTCGCAATTGTTTTCTTATTTGTTTTTTCAAAGAACGCCTTTGTTTTCCAAGAAATAAATAACTAACGATCGCAGAGTATGTCTAGACCTGGACCAGGCCAAGGTCCGCAGGGACCGCCACAGCAGCCACCTCAAGGCCCTCGTCAGACACCTCCTGGCTATCCCCAACAACCGCCCCAGTTCCAAGGTTTTTACCCACCTTACGGACGCGGCTATGGGCCCCCTCCTTTCCCCCCTGGACCTGGTTTTCCCAACATGCCCTATGGAGCTCCGCCCGGATGGTTTCCTCCTCCCGGACAAGGATTCCCACAGGGACCAGGACAGTTCCCCCCTCCCCAGGTGCCTCTCGGACCCCCTGGTCCGCAGCAGCAACATACCCCTCCTCAGCAGCAACGCCCGGGTGGGGGTCCTGTAAACCCTTCCAAGCCCACGTCAGAGTTCCCGGCTGGTGACAAGGCTTCAAGTAAGCCGGCCAGCCGAAACGTTACGCCTGCTCCTGCGGCTGCGGCGGCGGTATCCGTGCCTCCCGTGGAATCTAAACCATCCGTAGCCGGAGCCGTCCAGGCATCCTCTAATCCTCATGTTCCGACCATCCCGGCTCAACCCCCAACCGGACCGAAGAACGGACGTGTGATCCCTGCCATCCCTCTCACCGCCGCTTCGAAGCCTCCAGTCCCTGTAACAAATGCTCCCGGCGTCCCAGCCAACAATGTGTCCCAGGGAACGGCTCAGTCCGCAATCACCGAGGCTACTCGCGCGGCCACTGCAGCTGTTGCAGCCGCTATGGCCAAGTTGCCCCAGCCAGGTGCTCAGCAGAAGAAGCCCCAACAGGGAGATTCCAATGTGGATAACCTCACTAGGAAGATGAATGAATTGAGGCCGTACGACGGCTCTCGGCCGCGTGGTGCTCACCAGCAACAGCAAACGCGGGGACGTGGCGGCCACCGCGGACAGCAGTATCAGGGTCAGAAGAAGATTGAAGTGCCCGATACAGACTACGACTTTGAGACGGCGAATGCCCGATTCAACAAGCAGGATTTGGTCAAGGAAGCCATTGCTTCTGGTACCCCTGCGGCTGAGGTCGAGGAAGCGGCGGCTCCTGTGGAGACGGTTTCGCATGGTGATTATGCCAACGGCGAACAGCCCGCACCTGCCACGTCCGGTGTGAGCTACAACAAGGCCAGCTCGTTCTTCGACAACATCTCGAGCGAAGCACGGGACCGCGAAGAAGGCACGGGCACCCGGGCCGGCGGGCGTGAGTGGCGCGGCGAAGAAGAAAAACGCAACATCGAGACCTTTGGTCAGGGCAGCGTCGACGGCTATCGCAGCAACTACCGCGGCCGGGGCCGGGGACGTGGACAAGCAGGCCGGGGCCGCGGGTACGGCCGTGGAGGCTACACCAATAATCCTCGTGGCCGCGGTAATTTTCGTGGTCGTCCTTCGCAGGCGACCGGAGTCCCAGCGCAGTCTGCGTAGCCCTTTCCAAATCCTCGATTCAACTTCTTATGATTGGACTGCCAACGGTGTTCCGCGGTGTTTCACTGTTTATTAGCCTGGTTTCTCTTATCTATGCATGGATTGACCTGCAATGTACTCACGACTGATGTATTGATCTTTTTTTTTTTTTTCTCTCTCACGTTCATGGTTTCGTCTTCAGCTCGGCGCAGGAGGGATGGAAGTTGTCGGACAGAATCTTGTCATGCCCGCCTATGCATGTACCATAGGTAATCAATGCCATACTAGTACTACTCAGTATTACTGCATAGTATTTACTGCATAGTAGTTACTAAATCAAGACTACCACTGCCACTTCTACTATTACTATTTGATTCTTGTAGAGGGACTACTAGAAGTAGTGAGTTAGTAGACTAGAAAATATCATCCGGCCACTGAAACTCGTCTACATGCTTGTTCTCTTTCCCATCCTTGGGTCCTGTCATTGTCAAGCCCTTGCCCTTCTTCTTCTTCTTCTTAACAGGCGATGCTCTCCCAGCGAGTTCTTTCGGAAGTGGAGGGACAGGAGGGATATCATCATCATCATCATCAACATCATCATCATCGTGTTCGTCGTCGTCATTGTTCTCAAATGAATGATTCTGATCATCATGCTGATGATTCTCGTGTTCTTGTTCGTCTCGACACAGGGTAGTAGATAGATCATGACTTGACAAGGTATGCATGTAGAGAGGTCTCGTCGGATTACTGCCCGCGCGGAGATCCATCCGGCCTTTCTTCATGCGTAGACACGGGGTAGGCCCATTATTACCTGGACTGAGAGCTGTAGTGGAGGCCGACGCACGGCCGACGCTCGACGACGATCTAGGCGGACGGAGGTATTTCGAGGCATGAGACTCGTCGTCGCTAGGGGTTTGGTCTGGGTTGTTGTGCTGTCGCTCGACTGAGCCCGGGCTGTCATCCTTGCGGTGTTTCTGGAGCTTATGTCTTCGTGGGGTGGTATGGTTATTATTCTTATTATTATGATGATGAGGTTGCGCTTGTTTTGGTGATTTGCGCGACACCTCGGGAGACTTCCTCTTACGGGATGGACTGTCGAGAGCCATCGGCTGTGGGGTTGATGGCTCGGAGATCTCCATGTCCGCTGCTTGGGCGTCGAGCAGTCTCTCCGAGGGGAGAGAGGGGAGTGCCCCGGGGACAAAGCGGCGGGGATATGTATGTGTTTGTCCCCTTTGATTGTCTCTTTGGATCTCCCTCTGGTCCGCCATGTCGACATCTTCTCCTCTGGCCAACTCGCGCAGCTCGCGTCGTGCCCGCTCCAGCTTCTCCTCGAGATTACTCACCTTCTTGAGCAGCTTCTCCTGGCGCAACAGATCCTTGCGAGACTGCTGCTTGCGCACACCCGTGCGGTCCGACTCCTCAGACCCCCGCCCGGAGTACAAAGTGCCCAGCGCGGATTTGGCACGGCGTAGATCGTGCAGCGACGAGCGGATGGAACTACTCCCGCTGTCGTGCCGGCGATGGCTACCGCCAACCTGGGTTTCGGTGGCGGCAGAGCTCTGCCTCGAGTGAGCTGCAGACCACTGGGCCGGAGGGGGATGCTCGGACGACGTCCCGTGATCCTGTAGATAACTCCCCTTGATGGTCCCCTTGTATCCGGCCTTCTTGAGCTCCGCGTACGCGCGCTCCGCCCGGGCGAGGGTATCATCTGCGTTCCGCGTGTCGGGATTGCCAGCACCGGCACCACTAGGGCTCGCATGCGGACCGCGCCAGATATCAGAGACATTGCTCCACACGCCGAACGGGTTGAACGCCGAGACAAGCGCCTTTCCAAAGCGAAACACCCCCGATGCACGCTGTTGCTGCTGGTGCTGGTGCTGCGCTTCGTCGCGTAGGAAGATACTCGGTGGTTTCTCGCTCACGCTGTCATTCATGCTCGCCTCAATGAAGCGGGACCGTCGACCTGCACTTGCACTTCCACTTGCCGCCCGTCTCCCAGACCGTGGAGACCAACGGTAGGATGTACTGTTGTTGTTAGCCGCCACCCGGCGGCGAGGCTCATTCTTGTCTTCCTGGAGTGGCCAGTCGTTCGATCGCCGTCGTTTTGCCGAGGGGGAGTATTCGGCTACAGGGACATGGTGATGGGGATGGTCTTGTTTCCGGATGACATCCTCCTGTTCTTCGAAAAATTCCTCTGCATCGTCGAACCGTCCGGACTCTGAAGAAGCCACCCACGATTCATTGCCATCGTGATATCCTTCGTCTCTGTGCGTGACCGGCGATTCCGGCTCGTCGGTCTCGGTCAACTGGAGGGTCTGTTGGAGTTGCAGGTCTGCGCGGAGGGGGTCCGTGTCGAGTGTGACCTGTATAAAGGGCTAATCATTAGTTTTTTTTTTCCTTTTTCACTTCTGAATTAAATAGATGTTTTGTCTCTATGTTTGGTTGGGTAACAAACCTCGGCCATGGCTCCGGTGCTTCCCAAGACCCTCACTTCAACCTGTTTCAGTGTTTTACCGCCCTCCCCCCACGAGAGTTGAACCGGCGACGCAAGAGATAATAAAAGCGATGCAGCGGAAATTAAAAGAAAGGGGAGAGGAATGGAGGAGGAAAGATACCCTAGACACAGGGGACCTGGCTCCTGTCCAGGACCAGTGCTAGATAGAAAGACAGATGAGTTTCCCTAGTGGTAGCAAGGGCGGGGGTTCGGAGTGTTATTGTTGTTGTTATGGTGGTTGCTTAGGACGCGAGCGCGTCAAAAAGCCAGAACAGTAATAGTTAATGGGGGACTGCCTGCGTAGTCACTCGGTCATTATTTCCAAAATAACTAGTCGAGTGACTAGGAGTTCGGCTGCAAGGGCAATTAGTTAACTGTATGCCGAGGTAGTTAATGGTTATGTAGTATGTTGTATTCTCCGAGTCAAGCAAGGTTCTACCTTCGAGGCATCCAACTATTTCAACGGAGCATTCCAATTCCAATTTTACCAATGTCGCCTTACAGGAGAAGAAAGAATTAAAAACAACGGGAAAATAGTTAAGACATTGCCTCTTCAAGAGGTCGTTCGTCTCCTATGAATAATAAAGCAAACCTGGGCCACAACCAGCAGGCGATTATAGCAAAAAGATCATATCATGGACGACCACAGGTCCCTCTCACAGCATACTCAGTCGAAAAAAAAAATATGAATAGACCGGGATCAATCCACGGTTTTTTTTTTTAACATTTGCCAAACGAAAAAGAAGAAGAAAAAAAACATACAGATGAAGATAAAACAGGCCACCCAGCCGCATAGAGTCGAAAGGAGAAAAACTCAGGGCATGAAGGAGACAAGGAGAGATTTACAGTGAAAGTCTGTCTGGAATGAACAGGGTCGAGTGCATGCTGATGTTCCCTTGACAAGGAGAAGATAGATGAAATCAAGCACTCGGATCATACAGGAGATGTATCCATACCATGAGCCTGCAGGGAGAACTCTAATTGTATAAAAGCACGTTGAAAAAGATCACCCGATCTTGCATGCAAGAGATGTGCTGTATCAGAAGACAAATCGAGAAGAGAGAAAAGAGGTTATTGGGGGGGAGGTGGAAATAAAACAATAAACAAAAGAGGAGAAAATAGACCACTGGAAAGAAAACACCTCCAAGATTGCCAAAATCAGCCTTACAAGAGAAAAAAAAAAGGAAAAGAAAACTGGAAGGATCGAAGAGTTCAACCCAAGGAAAAAGGACCCATCATGAACGTGTCTTGGGCGAGTGATTGAAAAACAGGAGCCAGACAAGAAAAAAAAAAAAACAAGAAGATCAAGGGAATCATATACAACAACAATAACAACAAAAAGAAAGGTATCCAAAAGATCGATGGTATCATATCAGCGAGCCCTGGCGCGAGCTTTGTTAGCCTCCTCGAGCGTGGGCGGCGCCCGCATCGCCGTGCGACCGTTGGCCCGCTTGTACTCCATATCGGCCTTGGGGTCACGCCGTGCAGCAAGGCGGATCGCTTCCAACATCTCACGGGACGGGTAGCTGTCCGAGTCTGGTCGGGCACCGTTCTGTAGCGAGCGCTGTGACTCCGGGCCAAACGAATCCTCGTGCGTGCGTTTGGACAGGGTGTGTTCCGTCTCATAGTACAAGCGCTTGGCGGATGTGGTGGTGTCGAAGGCGGAGGAGCCAGGTGACGCGCAGCGCAACGGCTGCTGCGGCAGGCTAGGCGCGTAATCCATAGTAGTTATGGGCGGCAACGAGGGAGCCGGGTTGGAGTACGTCGTCGTTGAGTACGTCGGGGTCTGTGCGCGGACTGGGGTGGAGGGTGTCATTGACTGGTAAGCGTTGGGGTCGGATAGGCGGTGGTGATGATGCTGTTGTTGCTGTTGCTGTTGTTGTTGTTGTTGTTGTTGTTGTTGTTGTTCTTGCTGCTGCTGTTGCTGCTGCTGCTGCTGTTGCTGCTGCTGCTGCTGCTGCTGCTGTGGATGATGAAGGTGACTATGATGATGGCTGTCCGGGTATGCGTGCAGACCCATAGTCTTGGGCAGATCCAACCGCAGGGGTGGGAGGGCGGCCTTGGAATACGATGACGAGCGCTCAACGGGGCCCGTGGGAGCCGCTGGTGGTGGTGGCGGCGGCGGCGGCGGAGGTGCTTGGCGCGGCTGCGGGTAAGGGTATCCGTTAGGCAATGTGTCGTAATAGGGGGTGTTTGACAGGCTGCGAGTTGAAGCGGTGTTGGAGAGGCGAGGGGAGTAGAGGCTGCTGCCGGTTGGCTGCGCGGACGGGAGCGGCGGCGGATGATGATGGTGCTGCTGCTGCTGATACTGAGGCGGAGGCGGCGCGATCACTGCTTGATGCAATTTGGGCGGCAACTGTGGCGTCTAATACTGCGACTGGGACGCACCGAAGGAGAGATGCGACTGGTACGCCGGAGGCGCAGAAGGAGGCGGGGCGGCATGATGGGTTGGCGGCGGGGTTGGAGTGGGCGGCGCGGGGGGTGCTCGCTGGTAGGCAACAGGAGGCTGTTGTGGGTATCCTCCATATTCACCCGGGGCGGCCGAGGGGCGGCGCTGGGCGGCGAACGGCGGAGGTTCCACGACGCTGCTGTTGCTGGTGGAGCGGGGCCGGTCGATGACGGATTTGACAGGGAAACCTTCCGGAGTGGGATACCGATCGGTAGCGAGAGAACGGGCGGCGAGAGCGTGTTGGTCATCCTCGTAGTCGTAGTCGTCACCGCCGGCGGCGCCGGCCTGCTTGTCGCTGCGACGGCGCATGCGGACATCGCGGCGGATCCGCACGCGGCAACCCTGCTCGGCGATGATGCGGCTGAGCGAGGTGCTAGTGGCGAGACCCGGGAACTTCTTGGCGCTATAGACGTTGAAGGCGAGGGACTTGACGTCGACGCGGAAGTGCATGTGGTTTTGAGGCGCGGCGGGTTTACCGGGATTGGCGTTGGCGGCGGTAGACAGGGGATAGTTGGGATCGGCATCCTTGGGGTCCTTGACCTCCTCGTAGAGATGGAAGTTCAGGCGGTAGCGGCCCTCGTTGCGAACCGACAGGTCCGGGAAGATGAAGTAACCGGCTGGGCTGGGGCGATCCAGATAGGCAACGCCCGCAACGGGGACACCGGTCAGGACGGGGGTCTGAGGGCTACCGGCGACCCGGCCGTGGGCGATGGGACGGGCGAGCTCAAGAGTCGCATAAAGGAAGAAGTTGGCATTATATTGGAAGGTGATGTCTGTTCCCTGGTCGGTATCGTTGACTTCGGACTGGTGGATGCGCAGCTCGACAACCGGTGGCGGGTCAACCGGACGACGGTCGGCAGAGGCTATGACTGTGAGTAAACATCTCTCTCTTTCTCTCGCATCCGTTGACACAGAGACATACACTTCGCACCCGATCCACAAGCTCTGGCCCGTTCCGGCTGCTGCATAACCGTCAAGGTGTAGGTGAGCTTCTTGCCCTCTCTCGTCACCCTACTGGCCGAGTTCCGGGTCTGGTTGGCCGGGTCCATCAGAGGCATTCTGGTCGTCATTGTATCAAATCAATCGATATATATCTATCGACAGGTCAGTATAAGACAGAGATAAGACAGCTCAGCTCGAGAAATGAAACCATACATATATACACGCAGGGGGGGGGGAAGATGAGGTGGTGATATGATGGCTCAGACGTCAAGCCCGTTAGGCGTGTGCACAGCAGACAACACCAGTCGTCAAGGACAGTTTGAAGGTCGAAAGGATATATAAACAGAAGGATTATAAAGGCGAGACGATAATTTTTTTCCAGTAGAAAAACAAAAACAAAAAAAAATTGGTGATGGATCAAGTCAAGAACTTTCTCAAGTCTCCTGACGGTCGGCCCCAAAACAACACACACGCACTACTCGCACTCTCTCTCCCTCTCTCTCTCTCTCTCTCTCTCTCTCATCCAAACAGACCGATAATCGCGTGAAGACCAGTCACGAGTCACAACCCCGTCCACCAGGCGAGAAGGCAGAGTGGGGTTATCAAAAGGTCGAAGGCCGGATGAACAGAAGAGGGGAGAGCGCTGAGCTGAGGCAGACCGGGGGGGAGGTGAGGAATAAGAAGAAGAGCAGAAGGGAAGTGACTAAGTACGGAGGACTGGAGGAACAGGAGGAGAGACGAGCGAGAGATGGACGGTGAGTGGCTCGTGAGGGGGACGGAGGCTTGTTAGTTTCGGGCCAGCCGTTTTAGCTTTGGCTGCCGCATTCCCGATTACAGTACGGTATTGTATGTTATAATTGTAGTAGTATTAGTATAATATTTGAAGATCTTTAAATATTTATTTTTTATATCTCAATTTTGTCTAAATATCATCATCTAATACCTACCTCTACTACATATGTGGTACCTATGTCTCGGTGGCAATGGTCTGTGGCCCGGGCGCAGGCTAAAACTAGCGGGAAGATCGTTGAAGCAGGTTTGGTTTGGTACTGACAGAGACTGTCTACGCCATAATAGTTGGGTATTATGTAGTAGGTAATTAACTATAGGTAGTATAGGTACAGAGTATGATTATGATTTAATTGGTACTGGTATACTAGGTTAATGGTAATGAGGTAACTATGGCAAAATTGAAGCTTATTCTTGGTCGAACAATAAGACCTAATTGCTTATACTGAAGACAAAGTGGGTTTCAATGTCTCCTAGACAAACGCATAGTGTCGTCGAGATGGACCCGACTTCCCGTCAAGCTGAGCCTGAACCTGCGTGCTGGGCACCCAGTCCAGCGGGTCGGGGTTGCCACCTGTCAGCACTACAGTACATATACATAGGTAACTACTAGGTACCTAGGTATGTATGTAGTAGTTATAGTAGCTCAGAGAAATAACTAATACAATATGTAGTAATTATTAAAAAATAATAATCTATTATTACTCCTATTTCTTACTCCGTACTCACAAACCTGTTTAATCTATTCATCCCTTATTCTCATCTTCTCGCCGGTATCTCCTATTCTATACACTTGTACTATTCTGGTTAGTCCCCTACAACCTTGTCGTACGCGTACGGCTAGTACTTAGTTACTACTGACTATGTACAAGTAGGATAGATTTACGTCTAGGTGATTACTATACTACATAGTAGCTAAAGCAGACAATTACTCCATAAACAAACACATAGTTTAGATCGATTGCCAGTACTGATGCTCTGTCTTGGAACTCTTTGCCGACCAAAAATGACCTGTTGCCGTTTGGCGGAACGCGGGAATCGATTATCTTTGGGGCCCTGGAGAATTTGCTGGTAACTTTGGTAAAGTTAGGCGCTATCCCCACCTGAGCGGTCCGCAGGTGAGCCAAACTATATCCGGCCTATGGGGAATGTCCCATCCAATCATATCTGCATGCAGTGTGACCTAGGGGCAGCCTCCCACGGTCCCGGGGGGCCCATCAGCATCAGTTAGCGCTTAAATGACTGTCTGTGCGTCGTATACTCCCCGGCCATACTCCGTCCGGACCGTCCCATACGTAATACATACAGAGTACTTTCTAAATGAGGGTGCTTTATAGTCATAGTGGTGATCCTAATATATTAATAAGACATTTATTAATTAGTTGGCTAGGTAGTTACCCTACGGAGTACTACATAGTTACATATATGGAGTACTCAGTACTCTGTAGCTATGTACTAGGTATGTACTGTAGGCTTAGCTATGATAAGTCTAATCAACCCCTGTCCGGTTAAACTTGCACCCGAAGACAGGACAGAAGCTGCAAGGAAGTCCATGCACCCTTTGCTGAGACTTGAAGGTCCTGTCTGGAGTACAGGCGTAGCCTAGCGCTAGAATCAGATCGTACTGCGGTGTTACTGGTTGTACCTGACTACTGGCTAGGCACATAACTACTAGCTACAGTACATAGTACTACAGGGTACTCCATGCAATACTACATATATTATATGAGAAGGATCAAGTTTAATCTCAGGATGAACTAGTTGGTTGCTAACTTGCTAGCTAAGTAGTTAGTTAACTCCTAATTATGCTCTGCTTGTAAATTTATGCCAAGTTTCTGACTCGGATCTATCCGTGTTCTACAAGCCGAGAGAGAGAATACCACCCAATCAAGATGAAGAAGCGCACCTTGAGCTAGGCCGGAAAGGGTTACTCAAGGATTCCGGGGTTTGAACCTCGGAGGTGGAAGGATTCTACTATCTGTAGGTATACTCTATAACTAGGTAACTAACTATTATTGATCTCTCTGGCTTACTCTGGTTCAGTGGTAAGCAGTTATGAAAGTGGTAGTCAGAATACTTCCTAGTAATTATATAATAGTAGTACTAATTATAAATCTATTCTATAATTGACTATTAATAAGAGTGAGCTACCTTAGGCTGAATTATATAATTATTTGAGATCTACTTTAATTCATGATTGTCCATGTAAGAATACAGAGTAACTATACTATATGGTCTACTCTAAGAAGTCTTATGCTAGGAAGTAATAGACATTTAATGACTGCCTAGTAGTCAGTTATATATCAACAGACATGACTAATCATGATATGTGATGATAGCACTGGTCCTACCTTCTTTGGCACTTCCTCCACCACGCGCTTGGAGTCCGCTCCTGTGCTCACCTTCGCGATGCAGCGAGTCGTACAAAAAGAGGCTTCGATTATCTGCATACCTGGAGTTCGCAGGGGCTTGTCTACCTCTCTACCCTTTACTTCTTGCCGTCACCGGATCTACCTACCGTCGAGTCCGAGAACCAAATCCGTGCCGCGTCGAACATTTCTGTCGGCTTCACGGTGGTCAAGCACTCCGAGAGTGTTCCCTAGCTCAGGATTTGAGTTGCTTGATCAATCCATCGAGCTTGACGAAGAGACCTTGCCCACATACCGGCCCGAAAATTATTATCCAGTCCATCAAGGCGAGATACTCAATGATCAGTATCAAACTCTTGCCAAGATAGGGTATGGGGTGACTTCAACAGTTTGGCTTGCGAAAGACTTGATGTAGGTACGGTTTGTTCTATTCATGTTATCCGGATCATGGCCATTACTAACAGGTTAATGTAATATGAAACAGCGCATCGACGCACGTTGTTCTGAAGATCTACGTGACGGGTGAAAATAGGGATCACGAGCGAGAATTGGATATCTACAAGCACATAGATTCAGTGGAGACAAGACATCCAGGCAGAAACCTCATTCGCAAACTTCTCGACCACTTTTATATCCAGGGCCCTCATGGCCGTCACGTCTGCCTTGTTCACGAGCCTCTCGGAACAAGTGCAGATCTTCTGGTGAAGACGTTTCCTGGGCAGACAATGACCCTTGATGATATGAAGCCAGGAATCCGACAGATACTTGTCGCTTTGGATTATCTGCACTCGGAGTGTCATGTCATCCATACCGGTAATACCCTCGGTCTCCTCTTATAAGTATAAATAGGACTAACTGTCGCAGACCTTCAGCTGAAGATCTATTGCTCCCCGGACCAGATGCAAGCTACCTTTCTCGATTCGAAGAAGCTGAAGTTAGAGAACCGTCACCAAGAAAGGTGCTCAACGACCGAACAATCTACAAGTCTTTGGGCTTCCGTTCACGGGGTGGGCTGCCACTTCTCACTGATTTTGGGGAAGCTCGACTGGTCGACAAGGAGCACAATGACGATATCATGCCGAACATCTACAGAGCCCCCGAAGTGATTCTGAGATCGAATTGGGGGTACAAGGTTGATATCTGGAATCTTGCCATGGTCGTGAGTAAAGGATTGAGACTTGAGTTGACTATAAGATGCTAATATCTTGATTATGTGAAAGGCCTGGGACATTGTTAGCCCTCGCACCCTGATCAATGGCAAGAACCTGGATGGTATATTTGACGACCGCGTCCATATGGCGGCACTGGTTGCCCTGCTAGGTCCTCCGCCACCCGAATTCCGCAAACAGAGACACCTGAGTTCGGTCTTCTGGGATGAGCGGGGTAATTGGAAAAAAGTCAGCCCGATTCCAAATATCACTCTCGAAAGCCTCGCCGAGAACGTTCAAGGGGAAGACAAAGAGGGGTTTTTGCGCTGGCTCCGAATGGCCTTGCAGTGGAACCCCGAGGACCGGCCGACGGCTTTGGAACTCTTATAGGATGAGTGGATGATGAAGGGGCTAGGTGAATAGAGAAGAATAGAAATAGAGATTCAATGCACCTTTTTTCATTTGTATATACTGAATAGCTATCTGTATTTGGACGTATCTGGATTACAACTCTTAGAATCGTCAAAATATATATTCTAGATAGTAAAAGGATACTTGATTGCAAAAGAGTATACATTATTATTATTATTATTATTATTACTAGTAGTATATTACTATGATGAGTAGTATTATTGTTATTATTATTATTGTCTTGGTAGGCTCATCTCCACTAGGCGGCGTAATTGATTATTTCTCCCCGCGACGCGCTCTTCCCCAACAGAACCTCGACACGGATCCTATGGATCTGCTCTCAGTCCTGCCTGGCTTTTCAACCACGTCCTACGGCCATATCCTGCCATCCCTCGAGCGGAATCAGATCACCACCGTCGACCTGGTCACTCTCGATGCCCTTGAGATCGCCAAACGCGCCCACGTGCCGCCCGCAGACGTTCGACGACTGTGCACCCAGGTCATCGAAGCATTGCACCGCGACGTCGGCTTTGAGATTGAGAGGCATGAAACCGAGCTAGACGAGACTCACGACGACCCTGTACCTTCTGCACAACTGGATCTGTCGCGATGGTGCACCATCAGTACTCTCGATCCGGCTTTGGATGCGGTGCTGGGCGGAGGGATACCGAGTGGTTATTTGACAGAAGTGACGGGTGAAAGGTGGAAACAACCAGAAAAAGAACAGAAAGGAGAAAAGGATTCAAGGCTAATTTTTCCCCAGTGGAAGCGGCAAGACCCAATTCCTCCTCAGCCTCCTTCTGGCCGTACAGCTACCACCCCCCCACGGTCTGGGCAAACGGGCCATCTACATTTCCACCGAGGCGCCGCTGGCGACATCACGCCTGACGCAGATGCTAGCTACGAACCCATTGCTGATGGAGACCGCCGACAAGCCCTCGCTCGAGAACATCCTATCCATCAACGCCATGGACCTCGAGACACAAGACCACATCCTACACTTCCAGCTGCCCGTCGCCGTGGCGCGCTACGACGTCGGCCTCGTCGTCCTCGACTCCATCACAGCCAACTACCGAGCCGAACACGCCGCAGACTCGCTGCTCGCCCTGGCCGCCCGCTCCTCCCACCTCGCCAAACTAGGCCACCTGCTCCGCAACCTCGCCGCGCAGGACGAAGGTCTTGCCGTCGTGGTCGCCAACCAGGTCTCCGACCGGTTCGAATCGTTCTATCCGTCGCGAACGCCTAGCAGTACGCGTGTATCTGTTGCGCGTCCTGCGCCAGCAGGAGACCGCCTGTCTATCACCTCACATCTACTAGATACCCCCCCATTTCCTTCCTCGCCAGCCCCATCCCCACCCGCTTATCTCGATGATGACCGCTTCGACGGATCTTATTACCTTGTCGGCACTGATCCGCAGCGTAACGAGCTTCTCAGCCTCGCCCACCAGCAGCGCTTCTTCACAGGATGGGGAGACGACGATCATGATGATCATGATCATAATGGTGATGGTCTCGGTCTTGCTCGCCCCTCGCTACCGGGGCGTGTCAGTGTCCGGCTCTCTTCCGCACCCAAGACACCCGCCTTGGGATTCGTCTGGTCGACGCAGATCGCCTGCCGGATAGCCCTGAAGAAGGAGGAATCCCAGATCATCGAACCGGTGCCTTGCCTCCCGCAACCAACGGTGGAATCTCAAGACGCGAAAGAGACCCGTAAGGAGTCTACTCCGGAGCCAATACTTGTAGATACACATATCCGCCGGACTATGAAGGTTGCTGTTGCGCCGTGGACGGCGGTGGGGGAAGTCGATTATGAGATCTGGGAGGGCGGATTACGACACAAAGCCTACATGGTAGAAAGATAGTAATGATATCTATGGATACGGAATATTAATATCCATGAGGACGTAGTGATATCCAGGGAAAAAAAAAAGGAAAATGCATTTTGAAAGAAAAGGAAAAGAACAACAAAGCTAAAGCATCTACTTCTATATTCTAGATTTCTAAGCCTTGGGGATCTTAGCCGGCGGAACACCAATACCGTTATGGTTCCGGAAGAAGAGGACGCCCTTGCTCTCGCCGGTGGCGCCCTCGGTAGGCTCAACCCACTGGCAGGTACGGGCGCTGGTCCACATCGCGCGGAGGAAACCGGTCCAGCCCGTCTGCGCCTCGGTGCGGTAGTGTGTGCCCATCACCTTCTGGATGGCCTCGGACGCCTCGTCGGCGTGGTAGAAGGGGATCGTGCTCACGTAGTGGTGCAGGACGTGAGTCTCGATGATTCCGTGCAGGATGTGGCGGCCCACGAAGCCGAAGTCGCGGTCGATGGTTGCCGCGGCGCCACGGGCAAAGTTCCACACTTCGGGTTCGTAATGGGGGAGGGTCGGGTCGGTGTGTTGAAGGAAGGTGATGGCCACTGATTCGTTAGCATCAAACAAATATAGATAGATAGATAGATATCTATGTCTTACCTAGCCAGTGGTTAACCCACACGTACGGAATACCGTACCAGACCAACAGGTTCATCCAGCCGAAGCGCGAGCCCAGAGTGTACAGGATGAGGCCCATGATAAGCAGGCCGAGGTCGCTGAGGAAGATGAGCTTGGCATCCTTGGCCTCGTACAGGGGGCTGGAGGGGTTGAAGTGGTTGACGCCGCCAAAGTAGCCGTTCTTCTTGCCCTTTCCACGGCCCTCGGGCTGACGCTCATGGTTGTTGTGGCCGGTGACGTTGGTCAGGAGGTACATGGGCCAGCCGAACAGCTGCTGCAGGAGGAGGTTGGTAGCCGTCAGGATGGGGGTCTCCTCCATGAGTTCGGAGATCTCGTGGACGGCACGGCCGACGCGGGTGCCGAACTGGGAGCGGGTCTTGGGCACGAAGACCATGTCGCGGGCAAGGTTGCCCGTGGCCTTGTGGTGCTTGCCGTGGGAGATCTTCCAGGAGAAGTAAGGGACCAGCAGGAAGGAGTGGCAGATCCAGCCAACGGTGTCGTTGAGCACCTTGGAGGGCGAGAAGGCCTGGTGACCGCACTCGTGGGCCAGGACCCAGACGCCGGTGGCGACGAGACCCTGGACGACGGTGTAGAGAGCCCACAGGGCCACGCGGAGCGGGTACGAGGGGATGGTCTCCGGGGTCACATAGTTGTAGTAGACGGTGAAGACGGTAGCCAGGATGGCGACATCCCGGAAGACGTAATACAGACTGGTGGCGGCGGAACGCTCAAAGCAGTGGGCGGGGATGGCGTCGCGAATCTGCTTGATGGTGAAGTCGGGAATCTTGAACTCATTGCCGTAGGTATCCAGCATCTTACTCGGCTTGGACTCGGAGTCCGAGGCGAGCGAGGAGAGCGAGGTGCTCGAGGGGGACTGGCGAGGGCTGTCGAAGGGAGACGCCGTCACCGAGCTGGCTGCCGACGAGTCCGTGGCGGGAGCACGATGCAGCGCAACGCGCTTGGGGATAGCGGTCGAAGACATTTTGTAATGTATTTGAGATGAATGACTATCTGTTATCTAGTCAGCGGGTACTCAATAGATTCCAGAGTATATAGGGAAGGCGTCAACCAAATGATTCAACCAAATGATTCAACCAAATGATTTACCAAATGATCTGATCCAGTGGTCGCCTTCAGGCAATCCAAAGCTGAGGGACTTACCACTCAATAGCAATCCTGGGGTTACACAGCTCCAATCCCTCCAATTCGATTAGAGATGCACACACACACACACACGCAGCACAGTGAATGGGGACACCTGACCACCCTGGCGTGCCTGCAAGAATCGATGGACAGGGAGGGGGGAAAAAAGATGAGGGACGAGGACGAGGGGGGAGAGGGAGAAATAAGAGGCCCGGGAGAAAGGAGGGAGGGAGGGAGGGAGGAGAAAAAAAAAAGATAAAGAAACGGGAATAAAACGCAGGGAAGGGAGGAAGACGGTACCTAGGTAGGTACTAGGTAACCGCTGGGGTAATTTTCGTACTGCAGTAATTTTGGGGCCTGGGCTGGGTTTGTTTTTTGCCCCTCTGGCCCTGAAAACCGCCACCCAATCATCGGCCGCCCAAGACTCATTTTGCCTCAGTCTCAGGGATTGCGAGCCAATCAGAGACAACATTTATCCATGTGAAGGATCGGCAGGCCCCATAACTTTCTCTGTGCCTCCACCGAAGGTTGAGATAGAATGTCCCCTTGGTATTTACCATACGGTAAAATATCGTCTAGATCTCAACGTAGTATATGATAAACACTGCAGCTTGTCCCGCATGGATCAACTGGTTTACTTTACTTCTGATTTACTCTCAGGCTGGTATGTAAAGTAAGGTTCACAGGGGTCTATCTGTAGAGCTGTCCTCTGCAAGCACGGCGTCTCCGTGCCAATCGCTTCAGATATCTAAGAGAGAGGTAGGTACCTAGTAGGTTTGAGGGGTTTCTCCAGATCACACCATTCGGAAGGAGAAACGAAAAAAAAAAAGTGAAACGAAAATACATTGCCGTCCTGACCGCCTGTCGAGACCAGTTCTATCAGGACTTCCTCCCAACATTATTGTACGGACGGAGTACCGCAATCAATCTTGTAGGACCGAGGCACATGCAGGGAATGTGCTGAATTCCGGAGTCCTCCGTACAGCTGAACCAAGGCTCATCTGCTAAGACGCCACAGAAGTTCCAAGGTTGTTTGTTCTTCCTACGGAGTACTGTAGTACTACGTCAGTTGTAGGTACTCGTCTATGGATGTCTTCAGATATTTACATTGCATGTGACAGATCAGTAGAAGACTGTAGTACTCCATTCAATATTACCCCGTATTTTGTAGTTCTGTATACTGTACGGAGTACTCTATACTCTGTATACTGTGCTCTATTCTCTATACTCTACTCGATACTCTGTATACTGTACTCTGTACACTGTACTCTGTATACTGTGCTCTGTATACTGTTTGCTCATCCGTCATGTCATCCGACAATCATACGATTCGTCTCTACTCTAGTTACTCCGTACAGACCGCAAGAGAAGATCATAAGGAGTGTTTCTTACTGTCCTGTCCGTATCAAGCTTGTTGGGGCAGAAACAATTTTGTTGAGAATTGGAGTTGTGGGGCGTCCCGTCACTTCTCTGCGGGCGCTAGTCCGGATACGGCGATCGCTCAGGGATAGTAACTATATAACTACGGAGTACGGAGTATATAACTAACTATATAAGAGTATGAGTAGAGTAGTGCATGAGTATACTACATATGAGTAGAGTAGAGTAGGAAGGAGTATAGGGTCAATATCTATTATTATATCAGTACAGAATATGTAGTCAACTATCATCTCCGCTCCGAGTCAATAAGCCACGACCCTCCCCCCGGATTAGTGCCGCTCGACGCGCAGAGCGTGACGGTCGTCTTCTTCAGATCCGGCAGCACCAGCACCGTCTCCCCGTGGTTACGGTAGTCGACCTCGCATGGAACAGGTTTGCGTTGCAAGAGAGTTCCAGCTGCTGCTGAAGAGGAGGAGGAGGAGGAGGAGGAGGAGGTGCTCGTGGCCGCCCCCCCAGTCGGTACAAACGTCTTGATCTCCACGCCAGGCAGGAGGAGATGGCCTGCCTTCTGCGGCAATAAGATCAGCGAGAAGGTTGTCGTCTCGCCTTCCTGCGCCGTGAAGTTGCCCCGTCGCCGCCCGCCGACGAGCCACACTTCCGGGTTGGCGTGCATCTCAAATGAGAACTCGAGCGCCGCCCCTGCAGCCTCCAGATTGTCGGCGTAACACCATCGCCGCGTATGACGTAGCCGCAGCTCTGCGGCCACCATCTGACCAACCGCTGCATGCGCCGGCTCGTCAGATAGGTTGAGCAGTCGAAGTTCGGCGGTGTGTACCACCTGCACGTCAGGGATGTCGACAGGGATGACGATACGTCGACTGAGAATGGTAGGATGATCGGGGAGCTGAAGGGTGGGATGGGCCTGCAGGCGTTATTTTCTCTTCTTTTTTTCTTTTCTCTTTCTTAATCTTCTTAATAAGAGGGTAAAAGAAAAAAAAAAAAAACCTACCTGGTGCCAATTCACGAGCCAGTCGCGGAGGTTGTTGGTACCCCCCTTCAATGAACCCAATAGGCTCTCCCAGTGGATCGTCTCATACGACAGCATCTCGATCTCTCGCACGAGTCCGATCATCTGCATGTCAGAGGTGGTCAATTGCATGCGGAACATCTCCACGACGTGGGAAACCAGGAGTCTCGAGTATTGGCGGAACGGGCTGCTCTCGATGTCCGCCTTGAACTTCTTCTCTACCACGTCCAGACATTCGTCGTCCACGCAAGTAAAGTCCACGCTCAGTCGCAGGGAGCGCCGCGACCCGGGCGATGGCACGCTGTCAGTGCGCTGGCGGATCTTGTAGAGGAGGGAAGCAGGCTGCTTGGGGAACACGCTGTACGCCACCGGACCGGTCATGCTAGGTTCCACCTCATACACGTCCGAACTGGGGATATTACACTCTAGAATCCGGAGCGGGATCAGCATGGCAGGACCGACGGTGAATCGGGAGAAGAGAGCATCGTGCTTGAAGATATCCTGCACGTTGACACTGATGGGGAGGGCCGAAACAATGTTGAAGGCGGAGGAGTAGGAAAATTTCCCATGCTCCGTCTCGTATCCCACCTCGACTCTCGCGGAAAGCATGGCGTGATTCTCTTCCAGGGTGTAAGGGATTCGGAACCGGGCAGACGACCGTGGTCCGAACCGATTGAACGCGATGGTGCTGGTTTCGTTCTGCGCATCAATGTTGATGATCCCCTCCACGACTTCCGCCTCGGCGACTCGCAGTCGAAGACCAGCCGTGGCTGGCCGCACTCGAATGGTGCCCGTTTTGATATCATTCCACCCGCTGTAAAGCTCAACCTCCAAAGTCCGCATTTGTTCCAGGTTGACATGGTGCGGAGACATGATTTTCGCATGTAGTCCCTCGGTTGGTGAATAACAGTAGATATGTGGCCGGTTCTCCTCTTCCTCGGCGCCCCCGGCGTCCTTGGAGAAGGGAAATGTGGAATTGTTCTTGCCAACCAGGGAAAACACAAGGTTGCCAGTCCTCATATCAACTCGATCCACAAAATACTTGCCTTGTAATGTTGTCTATATTTTGTCAGCACTGAAAAGAAATCAAATGCTATATAAAAAAAAGAACCTACAGAGGAGTTGATTAGAATCTTTGTCAATGATGACTTGACGGTGAATTTGCTTGACTTCTCGATCCAGTGTTCATTCTGCGAGCCCACCGCGTTGACAAGGCGAACTTTGATGGAGTCGACGTCGATCTGTTTCCCCAGCAAAAATCGCAAAGACATCTCGATTTGAAACCCGTCCCGATCTTCATGGTGGATAATTGCTGGACTGAATTGCAGATCCGCAAAAAAATCCGTCAAAGGCGCAGAGACGTCCCGTTGAAGAACACCGGACGTATCGAATAACTCTTGTACATATGAGGCGACTGGCGACTCCTCCGTGAAGATGGAGGAGGCCTCGAGGGTCTTCTGTCTCTCTGACAGGCGAGATTGTGAATACGCGGCATATTTGGCCAACAAACGGAGTATTGACCGCGCGTACTCTTCGGTTCGGTTGAGTTCCTTCAGACACTGAGCATACATCTCCAGCATGGTTCCTTCAAGAACCACCCAATGTTTGTTCCCATAAAAGGGAGCAAGCTGGTGGAAGTACGAAGCAGCAGCGGCGTAATCGGCCTGTCGGAACCGTAGCAGTGCAATATCGGCGAGGGCCATCTCCCCTGAATATGTGCGGTTTCCCACGATGTAATGCCTGTGCATCTGATCTGTAAGCTCCTCGTAGAGCGAGCGAAAGGTTCTCCTACTCCTCAGGGAGGTGTTCAAGATCGAAAAGTCAACGCCAGAAAGAGTGGATGTCGACTCTGAGCCAATCTTTTTGGCAGCTTCACCCTCTGCTCGAGGGCTTTCATCACCATCGCCATCATCTAGTGATACTTCTTTAAAGTCTCCGCTGCCCGCTCGATTTTGATTGAACAGGAGGTCAAGATTATTCCATCTTTCCGACCAGCCCAGGCGACCAGCAATCTCTTCGAGGACGCGCCGAGCGAAAGAAAGCAATTCGCCCCTACCGGAAGCCAGCTGTTCAGACCCTGTCTTTGGAGTGATCTTTGGCGGCTGCTTTTGCGTGTCTAGAGTCTGACGTCTCAATTGATGGCCCGCAGGAGCCGCCTCTGCCGGGTGGACATCCAGGCTGGCGGACCGATTGGAACGCGTCGCAGACGGTGTGAGCAACGAGCTGGATCTCCGGGGCACATTTGACCGGGCCGCTTCAGGCCCACCACCAGCTGCTGTCCCAGGTGTACTCGACGGACCCCCAGGATGGAGAGAAGACTCGGGAATGGTGAGACTATTGGTGAAGATCTGCCGGAGGATCTGGCATACCGCAGCATAGGCCCACGAGGAGACGATGTTACCGATCACGTCTGCCTTGACAACGTGATCGACATCGGACAAACCACGCGTCAAGTCATATCTCAGGATGCGCGCAGCCATGGCGATAAACTCTGTGCTGCGATCACAGATCTCTGCGAGAAGCAATAGGTCTTCCGGCTTCTTGCTTTTGTTAACCGGTCTTTGGTTGCTTGCAGCCTCTTTCCCAATCAACCAGGGGGCCCTGGCTGCCCGAAGTAGTAGAGTCAATTGCCGGGAGAAGACGTAGGTTCGGAAATCGAAAATCGAAATATTGTTCGCCAGGATCATCTCGCGATACGGCTTCCTAGTGGAATCGAGAGGGAAATCCTTTTCTTCGATGTCCAAGGTTGGAATAAACTCTTCGTTGTTGTCGTTGTTGTTGTTGTCGTCGTCATCATCGTCATCGTCATTATCATTGTCATCACTACCTCCATCTTTCTTCTTCTGAAGATTGGCCGATGATGACTGTTCCAGCGCCTTCATTGCCGTGTCCTTCCATTCCGGAGTGCTGGCCAACAGCGCGCTTCCAAGCTGATCGCCTGGCGCCTGCAGTTGTTCGCGGATGGCAATATCCAAACCCAGAGACAGCTCGTCATAGCCCGCGAGGGCGTCTTCAAACAGACCCACGTTCTCAAACCCACGTGCCAGACCCTCTTTCAAGATGAAGAATGTGCAAAAGTTCCACCCGGGCAGACTCCGCTGCGAATCCTTCTCCTTGATATCCTCTTCGTACTGAGCGACCCGCAGGTCGAACGAGGCGAGGATCCCGTTCTGCACCTTCTCGACCAAATCCTCCAGCTGTTCCGCCAAGTCCGCAGCCTGCTGCTGCAGCACCGGTGCTGGAACCCCTCCCCCTGCCTGCTGGGGCAGTCGCAGCTGGACGACGCGGTCGACGGCCGACTTGGACGACCCATTGAAGTCGGCCTTGACCTTCTCCAGCACCGTGGTGGCCGTGCGGCCCCATTTCGAGGCCGTTGTCGCCGCTTTCCCCGCGCCCTCAGCCTCCGACACCACATGGATGATCAGCCACTCGAACGCATCGTGCTTCTCCTGGCTACTGCTGCCCGGCGTGCTCGACAGCGGCGTCGACCCGTGCGCCTTGATCCATTCGCGCAGCGCCTTCCTCGCGCTCGCCTTGTAGGTGTCGTTGTCATCGCACCGCAGTAGATAGATCTTCAGATACGGCGTCTGCCGCAACCCGGGGATCTGGTGCCGTCGGTGAGGCACGGCTGTCGCCGCCGTCAAATCGCTGGACGATGCCACTTCCGCCTCATGCTTCTCCGGCACAAACCCGATATGCAGCGACTCGATGGACCGTGCCGGCCGGCTCGGCGACTTCCAATGCAGGTTTCGCAGGGGTAGCTTGCGCTCGATGATCGGCTGCACAAGCGGGAATAGCCCGGAGGGATCGGTATACGCGACTGGATAAATGGAAAAGAATTAATCAAGACCAAGTTAGCTGGGTGAGGCCTTTCCGACGGGCGTGTGTGATGATGTCTGTAGCTGCATCGTACCGGTCACATTGTTGGAGCTTGCCGGAGGTGAAGTCTCCATTGCTAGTTTTTTCTTCTTTTCTTTTCCTTCTGTCTTGATGCCCCTGTCTTTCAAGCGCTATCGGGGATGTGGCATGCCACTTCTATCGCGCATTCCGGGGCGAGAGAGACAGCAACCGTCGTGGACATGATATACTGGGAAAGCACCAGACCTCCGTTAGGGAGTTGCGGCCAGAGACAACAACGCACAGGCCACGTGATCTCCGCCCGGGTCGAGTCCTGCGTCTGCCAATGATTTTGTTTTTACAAGGGAATGATTATTAGTCTGGATGGTGGAAGATTCTAGTTCTAGAGTGTATGACTATAGTACGGCTAGAAAGAAAAAAGACAACCGCTGCGCGAAAGATTGATCTGCGCAGTTCATAGAAGCCCCCCCCCCCCAAAAAAAACATGGCCATATCCCATGATGATATCAAATACCAATGATCGATCAGACGACAGGTAGAACAACTAGTAGTAGTGAAGACCAGGGAAGGAAAGAGAGATCAACGCCAAGCAGAAAAGGATACCATAATCGAATTCATTAAACAGAGGAAAAGCCAAAGGAAAGAAAGAAAGAAAGAAAGAAGGAAGGAAAGATGAGAAATACACCCCCATGCGACCTATGTACTGACATCCAAAGCCTGTTGCGTGGAACCGGACATGATAGACTGATACATGTCTGATAACCCGCGCCCAATACCCGGAACGAAATTTCGCATCCATGCTCCGAGGACAAGAAGGAGAAGGGGAATCTGGAAGAGAGAAAAGGGAAGAGTTAACGATTGGAAACGTAGAAAGAAAAGAAAGAAGGAGGACAAGGCTTACCCAAATGAAGTACAGATTCCGATCGTTACCAAGGCCCTTCATGCGCCGGGCATGTTGTTCTCGGAGTTGTTTCTGCTGCTCGCGTGAGATTGACTTTTTGCCAATCCTGATGTCTTTGAGTTCCTCAGGAACAGGGGTAAGGGTAGGGGCAGTGGTGACGGCGGCGGCGGCGGCGGGGGAGGAGGAAGATGAACCCGCTTGAGCCTCAAAGTGCATATCGACCACAGCCTCGGTGGCGGCCTGTAGCAGTGAGACCTTCTTTGACCGTATAGCGGCTTCGTCGGCCTCGTTCCCTTCATTGTGTGGGTAGAGTTCCTCGTACGACGGCGGCTGGTTAGGGTTGGGGGCGGAGTTGCTGCCCGTCAGGAGATCCCACCAGCCTTCCTTACCCAATCCGGCCGCGTTGGGCCGGTGGGGAACGAGGTTGGTGATGCGCCGCATCATCGGGTGTGCTTGGTAGTCCGGCAAAGCGGGCATTGGCGGCAATTGAGGAAGGTTGGGTAGGTGCGGGAAGGCATTCGACACGCTCTGTTGGAACTGGTTGATCTGAGCAGCCAGCTGGTTTCGCCAGGCGACCAGCGCCGCCGGGGGAGAGAAGGGGCGTGCATCTTCTTCTGGCGGCGGTGCCGTTTGCTCCACCGGGGTTTGCACTGCGGGAATGCTGTTGGCACGAGAAAGTGGGAACCGACGTGGAGGAGCAGCGACTGCTGCTGCGTCTTGGCTGATGCTCGGCCGTCTCGATGTAGACAAGTAGACAGGAGACTCGGACTCGGCGTCGGTACTCTCCTCGTCCAGCTCATCTGAGTCATCAGTGACAGCATTGACAGATCCTGCCACCGATGAGACTTCCCACTGGGAGCTTAGCGAGGCGGAACTGCTGCTGTATCTGCGGCCAGAGGAGGACAAGGATCCCACGCTGCGCGACCGGTAGTGGCGTGAAGGGATCAATGCCGCCTGGTGAGCGGCAAGCGAGGTCGCGAGGTCGGCAGGCGTGAAGCCGCGGATGCTGCGGTCATTGGCACCCGCACCGGCTAGTCGAAGTCTGTGGACGATGTGTGCGTGACCACTCAGCGCGGCGAGATGCATCGGCGTGTTGCCATTGCTATCTTGGACATCCGGGCTGGCGCCTCTCGCAAGAAGACCCGCCACAAATCGTGTGAGGCCTAGCGAAGATGCGAAGTGAAGGAGCGTCTGCCCAGTGGTACAGCGTGAGTTGTACTTCGGGGCTCGTGGACTATCATCCAGATCGACAAACTCCAGGTAAGTCAACATCTTCGAGTCAAGATCACTCATCTTCCCCTGCAAATCCAGCCCCGGAACCTGCCGCTGGTGACCTCCAGAGCCGCTCTGATAGTCCTTCTGCAGGTTGAACATGGAGTTCGTGTCGCCACCCATGATCTGCTGTGCGGTTTGGAAGGCGTCTGCTTGGTTTCCGAGCTTGTGTCCGAGGATTCCAAGGGCAAGACGGTACATTTGGAGCTCCCGGTCGTCCACGTAGCGAAAGAACAGTTGTTGCTTAGGTAGAATAGGTTGACTTTGTTGTATCGGCCCGAACGTCGGGTGCTCATGTTTAAACACAACGGATACCAGACCTGGCTGGAGCGCAGGCGGAGTCAAGCAGTTTAAGCATTTGTCACCCCAGAAGGTCGTGGTTGTGGCGAGCGTATCACCAAACACAACCTCCATACCGGGATAGAAGCCGCTCCCCAAAAGCGTGACTTCAGTGCCACCGGTGATGGAACCTTCAGCAGGGACCAGCTTGTGAATGACCGAGGGCAACCGGTTGCCCGTAACCGGCAACGGAGGCCACATCTGACTGGTTGTATTTGGGCCTAGCGGTATACCCAGGCCTTGATCTTGGAAGCCGTTGCGGTTCGAGCCGCCAGGCGTCCCGGGACGGCTGGGTTGCGCTGAGTTTGGTGCCGACATCAGTTGTTGCTGAACAATGGTATCCAAAGTTTGATGCTGCGCCGAGGGGTTGAAGAAAGGGGTGGTATCATTCCCATTGGGGGTTGGCGGTCCATTTGCGTATTGCCCGGACATGGCCGAGGACGTCACAAACGGCCTCTCAATCGGGGAAGCGAAGCCACGCGTTGGATGGAACTGGGCGTTGTTGTTGTTGTTGTTGTTGTTGTTGGTGGTGTTATTATTATTATTGCTGTTGGTGTTATTGTTGTGACTGGTACCGTTGAGGGTTGGAGAGGCCGACGACCCGTTAAGGGTATCGAGTTTGGTCATTGCCAGTTCGGACGGAACCCTTCCAGAATTGCTATGCTTGCGTCGTTTACTCGACGGACCCTGGAACTCAACAGGCGATGCTTGTCGTGACAGGCTGCGTGGGGTTTGCGAATTTGAGACACCATTAACGGAGTTCTGGGGAACCGCAAAAGCGCCGGAGGAATGAGGATACTGCGGACTGAGACGCTGTTGTAAGCCCTGCAGATCAGTAGTCGAATGTGACAGACGGAAGGACTGCTGGCTATTGATAGATGGCGTCTTGCTCACATCGACAGTGGGGCCCGAGGCAAACACGCCGACGCCTGGCAGGTGTGTCCCATCCGGAAGAGCAGGAGTCGGACCTGGCACCGGAGGAGCTGGAGGCGCGTGAGTTTTGTGGTCATCCGTGATCATAATCGAGTTTGTGATGGCCTGGGCGATCACGTTGTCCTCGTAATCCTTGACGGTAAAGATGACCTGAAAGCCAAGCTTCTCATTCTGGTGTCGACAGTAGCAGGCAATACGCATCGGCAACTCGACCTGTACTGCTCCCGGAGGGACGATCGGTGCCGGAGTGTCATTGTAACTGGGGACGGCATTCTTCGACGGCTCGGCCCAATCCTTGATCTCGTTGGTGTTGAAAACGATGACTCGCTTGTCCTCGTCTTTCTGGAACAACTCGTCCTCCTCCGGCTTTCTCTGCTTCTTCCGCGACGCACGCTTTCGTTCTCGTTGAATGCACCCGTTGCAGATCTTAACTTCCCCGCCGTCCAAAGGTTTGTCCTCCTCTGGCTGTTGAGAGTCCTCGTCGATCTTTGGGCTCGAACTCGATGAACGATGGTTTGTCTCGCCTCTGGCTCTCGCAAATGCCTTTTTGAGCTTATCTTGATCCTGCATGGCGCTGGTGCAGACCAGACTGGTGTATAGCTCCAGGGTCTCGGGGGAGCGTGCCGTATCGATGGGAGCGAGAAACTTGGGCTTGGAGATCGTATGGGTGGGTAACCGGAGCCTTTTTGCGCCTTTAGGCAACGGAAAGAGGGTGAGTCTGATGGGGATCTGGGTTTCCACTCGCGACTTGAGCGAAGTCGGGTGGACGGTCAACATGTAGCGGTGAGGGTTCTCGGTCTTCAGGGTCGTCTGAGGCGGGGAGGGAGCCAAATTCATCCCAAAGGCGAGCCTGTTGGCCCCGAAATTCAAGCCGGGTGACAACGCAGGGTTCATGGGAGAGCCACCGTTCACATCGATTCCTCCAAAGTCCTCTAGGACGGATGATGGTGATTGCCCTCCCCATTGGCTGGAGGCTGACTTTGCTTGGCCAAGGGGTCCGGCAATAGAAAACGGCGAAATCTCTCGGAAACCACAGGCGGCAAAGGATTGAGCAGCTGGAGGAAGCTATTGGAAGAGACAAAATAAAGTCAACCAAGAAGAGCAGTTTGTTAGGGGGGGGGGGGGTCAGAAGAAAACTTACAGGTGAGGCGGACTGTCTTGTGGGATTTGATGGGCTGCGCATCTGGGCCTTGACTCGTTTCCGCATCTGTGGCTGCGGTGTCGTCTCGCTCTTCAGAGGACTTGGGCTACTCGCAGCGCTCTCAAAGTCGAAAGCGGCATCCATCGCTCGGTTGCTCGATTCGAGGTCCGTATCCATGGCAAACCCCCCATCCAGTGCGGGCAACGAGGCATCCAGACCAAACAATGGATCCCCCCTCATCGACAGAAGCCCATTATTCATCCAATCCGCCGAGGGAAACTCCGACGGGATCATGGTGTGATCGCTGTAGACCGCTGAATTGGTGGAGGCGACGCTTGTGTGCCGAAGGTGGTTCCGGGGCGATTCCGACGAGGAGCTGTGGCTCGAGGTGCCTGGCGAGTCGGCGGAAGAGTCTGAAGCCACGGTGTGCGGCTGGTTTAAGGAGTCCGGTTCCTGGTAGTGCCTCTTCCGGGACAGTTCTGCCAGCGAGAGCGAGGTTGAATCCCCGTTAGCCATCGCCCGCGAACCTGGCGCCCGAGAGAAAAGATCGTCAAACTCTTGGCCCGCCGCGTCCGTAGCCATCTGCAGCCGCGAGGGGTCTAGAAAGTCCATATCGGTATCTCGGTAGGGATTATCCATTTCGTCGTCGATGACGATCGGGTCCAAAACAGGGAATGCGGGCGAAGAAACCGTTTCCACAGGCCCCATCCTTCGACACTCGTCGAGGTAATCAAGCCAAACGTCCACGGAGCACAGGGGGAGAAAGGTTGGAGATCTGGGTGTGTCGTTTGGGAGGAGAGGGAGATTCGGTGAGGAGTCACGCGGAGCTTGGGGACGACAGCGGAGGCGGACTTTGTACACGATACACTCTGTTGATTTAGAAGGACCAGCCTCTTTCAAACATCACTTTTATTATCCCCTTATTTTTTTTTGAAAATTATCCCAACGATGATGAGATCAACCTCAGAGACTGTCGCTGGCGTACGTGCGGTGGCAGGATTGTGGATGACCGACGACTGGAGGCGGTTGCAAACTCCACCACGCAGCGGTGGGAAAAAGGAGGAGAAACGGAGCGATGGCGGGAGGCCAAGGAGTAGCGGGCTTCCTTCTCGATGGCCGGGGTGATTAACGGTGGATGCAGAATGGTACTCCGTAGAACAGACGGCGGTTGAAAACCCGAGTCCACGAGAAAGAGTCCCGGATTGATTGATCCCAGCGGCGCTGACTCTCTCGCTCGCTCGTCTGTCCTTCCTTCTGTCTGTTGCTCTGCGTTTCGCGGTGAGAGTCGCTCTGGCGGTGCACGGGAGGCGCTAGTCCTATTTAGGCTAGACTATTGCCACCGTCAACATCGCCAATGATTATGAGGGCATTCGCCATTCGGCTTCAGGCAACAACCAGTTGTCGTTTTCTTTCGATCGTGAAGATCAAGCACTTTCACCTATCTTAGCCAGTCGAGCAAACCGGATCGTCACGGAGCGCCTGATCGTCTCTATCCATGGGTTTTCAACCGTTCTCTCGCTTATCCGTGCCTAGGCGTATCTATTCCCTGCCGCTGGACCCTGGATGTCGAGTTGGATGAGATAAGGGCGTGTGGTACAAACATATCAGGTGTCCTACGGAGACGGGTCACGGAGGGTCTTGTACACATACTCTGCAACCATGGACCGGGCTTCTGTTGTCCCGTGCATGAATTTCTGCAGTACAGAGCGCAGAATGTACTAGAAGGCCGAGCTGGAATGATTTGCGCTGGATGCAACGAATGATAAACGACTCGAGGACGGTCAAGAACGAGGACCAGGTACTTCTATCGGTTCTTGTGACTCCTCGATTCCTTGATAGTAGGGTTACAGCAGGACAGCGGTTCAACGGCAATGGCGCCTTCATCCCGCCTGCGTCTCTTTACTCCGTACAGCTAATAGAGGGAGGTCCGCGCACGTCATAATGAGACGTGGATGCAATGTAACTACCCCATGGAGCTTGGAGACAGTCTCATTGGCCTGCCTCAGAACAGCATAGAAGCTTCCGGACCTGAACTTCAGTTGTATGCGTAATTTGTATGCGTTATATCCGAAGTATGTAGTACCACTGAAGATGTGTTATCAAGGGTCTAGATACCCAGACCAAGCGACTACTCCCAAACCTATGTGGTAACATGGGAATTAATAACCTATAGATACCCAGTTGATGACTGATGTGTTGCAGATGACAAGTTTCCTTCCCCACTCCCAGCCACTTCGCTAGGTGAAGATTCTAATATGAATATCCCATGAAACCAGGCTTCCATATAGATTCAAGAATGTATATGTGAGTGATTGGAAGCCATTCCATGCCAAAAATGAGACCGAGTCTAACAATCTGCGTATGATTGCAACAGGATAAGAAGTCTTGAGCTGGGCTAGACCGTAGGCGTACTTGGTTATTTACCCTATCTGCAAATTGATCAATAACTGAGGGCAGTACTATGCCGGCGGCAAGTCTAGAGAGCCATCGTCTCGAAGTTTTCTCTCTTTGACCTACAAAAGTAAGCTGTCCTGGCATGAAACAAGATCAGAGTCGAGGTAAGGAACAATCGACGGGGTCAATAAGAAATGTCGAAGCGATTGCTCGAAATCGAGGTACTCAATAGAGCATGCTTCTGGCGCCCTGTTGGAGAATAATATATCTGAATTCAACTCTTCATTAAGAGAGTCTCCCTCACCCAGAGTGAAAGCATGATTCGATGATAACATTTAGACCTCCAGTAGCGAAAATTAGCGCTGCAATCTTCACCAGACATGAATGATGACACAATGTCACTGAAGTAATAATAATAGGCCCACTAAGACTATAGGAAAGTCCGGTACACTCGGTAGAGCCTCGATGGCGCTTTGTCGGAAGTTAGCAGAGTCTGAAACAATCGAGGCCTTGACACCACGTACCGGCAGTTTCATACGCACAGCAGGCTATCAAACAGTGACGAGACAGCCTTATCCCTCTATGTAGTAAAACAGTTATTTCAGTAATTATATCTTCGGCCCCCGATCAATTAATCTCGGCGTAGACGTGCTGTGAGGAGTACTAAGCAGGAAGGATGCCGTCAAGGCTGGGCTGACATGACGCGAGCAACTTCGAAAATTGCAATCAATAAAGTCAGTAAACCCGTCAAATAAACAAGACACTTGCCATATGCAATTCACAACTCAGGAGACCCCCGATTGGGCCCTCGACGAGAAGCCCTCGAGAGGTGAAACTCGGGCTGTCACAGAGAGCCGCCGGAGGAAGGCCCACCTTCATCTATCTCAGCCCGCCAAGACGTGCCCCCGTTGTTTGTTCACGACCACCCACCGCCAGAAACGACGGACAGGGTTGACAGATCAGTCGCGAGGGTCTGGAGAGGGGCCGGGCCCCTCTGCGTGCATGGAGACAGGTCTGCTGAAAACCAAGGAACCAGTTCACCCTTTATGAGTTCATCTATCCCAGACCTTGCTAACCTTACTGTTCTACTCCAGAAGGACGTTGCCCCCTATCAGAGCATGACAATATCTGCCTTCCTGGCAGGCGATCTGGAATCTGGCTGCTGCACGGTGCATGAGTAGATCCCTTCATTTCATCAGAAATGCCGGGCAAGTGGTTATATAACTGCGCAGATGGACCGACTCTTTCCTCTCTCTTCTCTCCCCATCAGTCTGGTGACTTCGATCCTTTGCATCACCTTCCTTTCTCTTTCTCCGGGTTTTATACCGGTCTTCCATTCTCTTAGGTCTCTGGTAGACTTGAAAGCCAATATTCATTCATTCTCTTTTTTTTCCCCCCCACTCTTTTCTAAGCTTCTTTCGGTGACTTCGCTGTGCGTTGCAACGACTACTATCAATCAAGATGACTGTGTCTAAGATTACTGGTCTTATTCTGGGTTCGGCGGCCCTTGTAGCTGGCCACGGCTATGTCCAAGGTATTCTCATCGATGGAGAAAGCTGGTACAGTGGCTACATCGTGACCGAGTTCCCCTACGAGTCCGACCCCCCGGAGGTGATTGCATGGGCCGAGGATGAAACCGACCTGGGATACATTGACGGGACCGAGTATGCCGAGCCCAACATTATCTGCCACAAGAACGGCACCCCGGCAGCCCTTTCGGCTGATATCAAGGCCGGTGGAACGGTTGAGCTGCAGTGGACCGACTGGCCCACCTCCCACCACGGCCCCGTCATCACCTACCTGGCCAACTGCAATGGAGACTGTTCCTCCGTGGACAAGACCGAGCTGGAGTTCTTCAAGATCGACCAGGGCGGCCTGATCAACGACACTGCCGAGCCGGGAACCTGGGCTTCGGACGAACTGATCGCCAACAACAACAGCTGGACCGTCACTATCCCCACCGCAATTGCATCAGGCAACTATGTCCTCCGCCACGAGATCATCGCCCTTCACTCCGCCGAGGAGCTCAACGGCGCCCAGAACTACCCCCAGTGCATCAACCTGAACATCACCAGTGATGGTACGGACACTCCGACCGGTACCCTGGGAGAGGCCCTGTACAACGACACCGACCCGGGTATCCTCATCGACATCTACCAGTCTCTTAGCACGTACGTTATCCCAGGACCGACGCTCTACTCTGGTGCGATCACTGGCACTGCCACTTCTGCCGCTGCCGCCGCCGCCACCACCTCTGCCGCCGCTGCTGATTCCACCTCTGCCGCTGCCGCCGCGGCCGTGACCACCACTGCTGCCGCTGCTGATTCCTCCTCCGCCGCCGCCGTGGCAGCTTCGACCCCGGCAGCCGAAGAAACCTCTGCAACCGCCGCATCGGTCCAGTCTATCTCCAGTGCCGACGCCCAGCCTCAGGAGACTTCCTCCGCTGCCGCTGTTGCCCCTAGCCAAGTCCAGTCCCAGGGAGGCTCCGGCGCCGAGGCAACCGTGACCGCTGCTGCGGCCGGTACTGTCTACACGACCGACTACCTCACCGCAACCGCCTACGCTACCGAGGTCGTCACCGCCGGCAGCTCCCCCCAGCAGACCGAGGCAGCTGGTTCCAGCGATAGCAGCAGCAGCAGCAGCAGCAGCACTACTTCCTCGGCTTCTTCTGCGAGCTCATCCACTGCCGTCAGCAGCAGCAGCCTGACGAGCTACTTTGACTCCCTGAGCGCCTCGCAGCTTCTCGAGGTCATCGAGAGCACGGTCTCGTGGCTAGTCAGCTCTAGCAAGGTCCACGCCCGGGATCTTACCGTTTAAAAAGAAACGCAGAGTCCCCGATTACCTTTTTTTTTTTCCACTTCTCTTCTTTCTCCCCCTTTTACATTCTGGATCAGGTATCCCTGTACTTTTGTACGTTTGTTAGCAAGGATTGTGCTAGGCTTGTCATTATCTCTCGTCCCTAGATCTGTATCATATGTAGAAGTGGATGTAGATGTAGTATTCAATAAAGATACTTTATTTCTTCTTCTTCGTCTTGTCAACGACATCAATCCACTGCCCTTTTACCCCCCGTCTCACCAACGCCGACTCAATGGCCCGCCGCTGGTCCCCCTGCACAAGCACCTCCATCACGCCGCGCGCCTGGCCCGTCGCCTGCGCCACGCTCGTGCTGCTCGCGCATTTCTTCTGCAGCTCCTCCGCCAGTAAGGTGGGGATGATACCGAAGATCTCCAGCCCTGTGACTTTCGTGACTGTCTTGGAGCCCGTGCGCCGCTCGAGCGTCACGGTCGCTTTGGGCGCTTGTCCGGCTTTCGGTTTGACGTCCCGGAGGGTCTGGCCGGTCTTGAGGATGACGTAGTGCGGCGCTAGGAGAGTGGTGTCTTCGGTGATCCGCTTCAGGAGGCCGTCTCGCGTTACTTTGCCGCGCGCAAGGGTGCCTTTGTCGTCGGCTGAGGACGAGGTGAACACGCTGTTGGCCAGAAACTGGTTGAGAGAGATGATGCGTCGGTTGTCGGGCGAGATCAGCGGCGGGTCCTGTGAGGAAATGTACTGGTCTAGCCGGTTTGAGACGTCTGAGTATTTGTAGTAATTGTTCGGGTCGCCGCTGGATAAAGCCGGGAATAGCGTTGGCACTAGTCGAGCGGTGGGCTTGTACAGGCTTTGGACGGTGATCGTTTGTCCAACGGAAGGGTCGCTGTCAGTAGGGGCAGCGGCGGCAGCGGCAGCAGAAGGCACTGTTTTCCCTGCATTCTGGACTGCGTTCTGCGAGGGGAGCCGGTACGGGACAAAGCCCTCGACTCGGGGGTCATGGAAGTCAACATCCAGGATGACTGTTTCTTGGCCGTTGCGGTCTTTGGATTTCACCAGCCGTTCTTTGTCGAGGTATTTGATGAACTTCTTCACGTTCTTCCAGCTTGTCTTCTTGATCTGGTAGAATGTAGCTTGCTGGGGCGAGAACACGGGCAGGTAGGGAGTGATGAGACTGGAGATCAGAGCGGACGGTTGCACAGGAAGAGACAGTCCATGGTTCGGAGAAGACGGATTATCTTGCTTGAGCTTGTATAGCGCATAGAGAAACGCTTTGACAAAAGCATCATCGATATCTATATTCGTTGTCAATGGGCTGACAGACAAATTGGGTGGGGGGGGAGGGGGGAGAGAATACCCTTTGTAGAAGGCTCCTGAATCTCTTCCACCGTTTCCACCTGCTCCTCTGATACTTCATCTTCCAGCACGAGGTCCTCCAGCGGCTGCTCTGTCGTTTCTTCCAACGTCATCTCGCCGACAGCTTGGCCGACCTCTTCCACCTCCTCTTCCCAGCCTTGTAGGTATTCCGGAGCCGGTCGACCAGGCCGAGATGACGAGCTCCATGCCCAAAGCTCGTCTCCCTCCCAGTGTACGCCTCGAACGGCATGCCCCTTTGTTCCCTGCACGTCACCCAGCGCAGCCACTTCGATCTCACAAATGCCTACAAAGAGCGGCACTGTTGGTCTGTCTAAGCTGGACACAGCCGCGACAGCACCCCGCACCGCCCGGTCCGGAAAGGGCGGCTCGTTAGCCAGGCCGGGAGTCATCAAATCCGCACCCCCGCGGAGTTTCCCCATGACCATCTCGGGGGTGTACAGCAGCGGCAATAGGTGCGGGTTATGCCACAGTGTATAGACCGTCGGATACAAGCGTCCATCTGCACCGGGTCCATGCTCGAGTTTAAACCATAGGATGCGCTCGTCTCCCTCTGCGTGTGTGCCCACATAGACCGTTCCCTGGACTTCTCGCAGCTGTGGCCCTACAGTCGTTGCAAACCGGGCCGAGAGGGAGTTTTCCGGCAGCAAAGCATTGCGGATGGAGGTGAGGTTCGGACTGGTGGTGGCGGGCGTAGGGTTCGGTGTGGCGGGGTCTTCGCTGCTGGGTTCCGCCGGTGCTGCTGCTGGGATTTTGATGTTATAGTCGCTGATGATCTGGTCGGCTATTTTGCGGCGATCGGAGCTTCGCAGAGGAGATAAATTTTTGATCTATCCACGTCAATCAGAGGGTAAGCTGTGAGTGCGGGGAGTGAGGGGCATACAAACCGTAGGCTTCTTCTTGAACATGGCGCTTGGACTGGAGGGGGGGAGATTGGATATAAGAAAGTGAGAAATAGAAATAAATACAGAAGAAGAAGAGAAAAGAGGAAGAAGCTCAGATAGATAGCTGGAGCGTTGTCTGATTCAAGTAATGGGGTGATCCGCGTCTGTTGAGTTCTTGTGGATCACGGCCGATTGTTGTTGCGGGACAGCAGCAGCAGCAGTAGTATACGACAAACTCGAATTTGTAGAGCAAAATTTATATTTTCACTACTCTAGATGATATTATATAATGGGAATACATTTAATCTTGTGTCAAAGTCTTTTATGAATGTGGTGTACTTGTCAATGTGCTCTACTGTCGACTAACCATGTCGAAAGAATCACTATAGATAATACAGTGTTTTTCTAGATAAATCTATCCAGATAGCTACCTAGCTATGTATCTTAGGTAGATACTAGATAATCATAATATAATCCCGTGGTACTGCAAGGAGCTGTGCTAGTAGCTACAGAAAAACTCGAGACTGCATTGACTCCCATTGATATTTTAGACATATTTCTCATAATAATAATATATAGTAGCAGATATCAAATCTACCATGAAAGACAGTAATAATACCAGTAATAATAATACTGCTGAGGGCTTAGTACTAGGTATGTAATACTGGGTATTCATGGTAATTATAATACTTGATAAGCGATAACCTTCTTCAGTACTAACCATAAACAGCTAGTCAAGAAGTGCTGACAAAATGATTAACAAAAGATGCGTAATCTTTAGCTGAGCATTAGTTGGTGATTATTATTGCTTTCGTCGATGAGGATCTTCTCGAGGGGCTTCTCGAAGCTCTCAGCTTGTATAAATAGTGTAGTGATACGAGGTTTCATTCAATTCAATTTTCAATTTTTTCTATATACACTACTACTCTACTACTAGTACTTTCTTAACTAGCACTCTACTAATCTACTACTCTATGGCATCCGTCATGAAAGCTCTCCCTCACGCAAAGATCATCCCCCGCCGCTCCGCCGCCCGCGGCCACGCCGACCACGGCTGGCTCAACAGCTTCCACTCCTTCAGTTTCGCAAGCTACTACGACCCGGAGTTCATGAACTTTGGTAGCCTGCGCGTACTCAATGAAGACCGCGTCGCAGCCCACAGCGGGTTTCCCACCCATCCACACCGCGACGCCGAGATCTTCAGCTACATTCTTAGCGGGGAGCTGACGCATCGGGACAGCATGGTTCGCAAGGGTGACGAGGGGGTAGAGGGGAAGAAGTTCTATCATATGCGAAGGGGGGATGTTCAATTCACAACAGGAGGAACAGGTAAGATAAAACATACCTATATATCAGTGTTGCAGAGCTTCGATAGACAAAAAGTTGATACTAATATTACTAGGAATCGCTCATTCGGAAATGAACGAGTCCGATTACCCCGTTCACTTCCTTCAGATCTGGGCTCTTCCCTGGTCTCAAGGCCTGAAACCAAATTACCACACGAAATCGTTCAGCGAGGAAGCTAAACGCAAGTCCTTCCTCCCGATTCTATCGCCCCTCGCGGCTGGAAGGGGCGCTTCCCCCGCTGAAGAAGAGGCGGCAGTGCCCAAAATCCCGGATACCATTCCCATCCACGCGGACTTTGTCATGGGCGCCGGTCTGATCGCCCCGGACAAACGGTTCAAATGGACGGTTGGTGGCGGTGCGGATGTCGTCGACAGCATCAAAGACAGAAAGGTCTACGTCCATGTGCCCATGACCAAGAACGGGAGCGCGAAGATCCGTCTCGATGGCCGGGAGCAGGCCGTCCTGGGAGAAGGCGATGGCGCGTTTGTCTCGGGGGTTAATGTCGGCGACGAGCTTAGCGTCGAGAGTATCGGCGAGGCGGAGGCTGAGGTGATCATTCTGGATAGTAATTAAGGGGGGGGGGACGTATAAAAATTGTATTCTAATGATTGTTATGACAGGCTTAGGTTTTTTTCATTTATACCTGTATTCTAGTTCACTTTTCCCACATTACACTCAGCTGTAAACACGGTCCCCAAGTCTTACAGAATACCTAGAGGCTCAACTCAGCTTCAATGAAAGTACAGCACTTGAAGCATCTCTAGTTAAGCCTAAGTGAGGGCCTTAAGCTGGTGCAGCTTAGCTGCTTGTACTACTCAGCTAGCTGATCTTCCTGGTTCTACTTAGAGTCTTGTCTGCTCTACTAACATTTCAGATTAATCCCCTGCCTCTTCTCCCCCTCCCTATGCTCAAACATAATCTGCGCGCTCACAAAAAGACAGGTCACCGCCGCCGTAACGAAGCCGGCACTAGACCAGCCTGCGAAGATGGCCTTGACCATCTCCTTGACTTCGTCGACCCCCATTACGAAACCTACGAGACTTGCCGCCATCATCATGAGGATGTTCCCCACTGCCCCGATACCACAAAGAATCCTGAACGTCTCAGGCCAGTCCCTCCACTTGCGTTTCGGGAAGAGAATCATAGCAATCACCTCTGGCAGGATGAACAAGGTGGCAAGCCAACCCCACGCCAACAGCCGCAGATTGATGTCATGCCACAGAGCAATGAAGGTGAACACTGCCAGAATATTCACCATGGTTTTCACTTTACTCCCCTCTCCGTTCCCGCCAAGAGGAACGTAGATGTACCGAACAACCCACCTGTTCAGGCTTCGATGCCAGCCTCGCCAAAATGCCAGTGTCGAGTAATTGTCAGACATACATCTGACCATGTTCTCCGGCGCGTCCAGTCCGTCGACCAAGGCCCACAGTCGGAAGAACCGCCACGGGATAAGCAGTTTCAGCCAGACGGCGTGTAGGTTGAAATTTCCAAGCATGGCGAGCTGGAAGGGGGTATACTGTGCCCATGAAGGTGAGCTCTTGATGATCGCCACTGCGTAAGAGTAATGCAGAACCACTTCCATACAGAGCAGAGCAAGAAGAAAGCGTAAGCCGTACAGAGAGGTCCTGGCCGTGGTTGTGGTCGGTAGGCAATTGCGCGATTGAAAGACAAAGTCGTTGAAGCTCAAAATTGGTCCCGCGAGGTAAAGAGGTGAGTAGAGCGTATAGGCAAGGTACGTTTTGAGGTTAAAGTCGCGTAATGCGGCGCCATGTGAGACTCGATCGCGTTCGCTAAATGCATCTACATGCTTCTTAGGTTAATTTAATTACCTAGGTAGCGATGATCGTCGAGTCTTGGTTCGATACTAACCTCGATTGAATTCAAGCTCCCTTGAGCCCAATAGTAGTCCAAATTGAACGAGACCAGCCGTAATATTGAGATCTTAAAGAGCACCTCCCACCGAGGCATGAGACCACTGTAGCCGTCGACTTTTGCACCAATATCCTGCGCAGCCTTAAGACCTGGCAATAGACCCCCAGCGATCACGGCCAAGGGGTATCCGCGGCAAAACTCGTTCGCGAACAGAGTACCAAGATTGAAGACCCAGGTGGCGACAGGCACGTAGCTTCTGGGAAGCCGTGTCGCAATCTTGAAGTTGGCATAGAAGATCAGAACAACTTTCGCCGCCGAAACGCCGTGCAGCGCAATGAGAAAGATAACCCCGAAGCCAACATCAAACAAGGTGCGATGTTCCAGTCTGGCATTTGCAGAGAGACCAACATGACTGACATCCTCAAATCGCCAGAATATCCCATGCAGCTTGCGAAACAATGGATGCAGTATAAGAAGGGCCATGAGGTAAGGGAGGTTATCCCGAAAACCAGCATACTATGCGTCAGAGTTGTCGATCTGGCGACCAGGGATCCAGCCTCGAGACAATCTCTTCGAAAAAGAGTCCCAGTCAGGACTTCCCAGATTCGATATATCATAGACCTGCTTCACCATTGTCGGAATAACGACGGCGAAGACAAGATAATAGATATAGTACTCGATTGTCCTCCATTTGGACGACTTCGTGTCGGGTAAGGGTGGACGGTACTCTAGCTTTAGAGCGTCTCTGGCAGAGCTCGGAGACTCTGTGGTCGATCTTGTAAAACGAGTATCAAGGGTTTCCAAGGAGTAGAGCGACTTCAAAAGGTTCATCAGCCACTGCATCGTGCGTATACTAGGCTAACAACTTCGTGCCAGCGGATTTGAGAAGCAGATATAAAGAAGGATTCGCCAAGGACCCCCCCCTGATTCAAGTAGCTTGCACAGCCTCTATATTCTGTATGGCTGACAATATGGGACGTATAAAATTTGGATTTATAACAATTGTTATGACAGGCCTTTAGGCTTCCACCATTAATCTATCTACTCATGTCTTTTTAGAGCTTCGCCTTTTAGTCCCTAGTCCAGTTCTCTTGTTTTCGAATAACACCCGAATCAACTGCAACATCTCCATAACCAATATCGTCAGCACGCTTCATGTAGAAGAAGAAGAGGAGTCATGTAGTAGCAAAACATACCTAGTAAAAACCGTCAGACAGCACCTCTTCATCAGTATCATCCTCCCAGATCATCTGCGAAGACCCGCCAACAATCTCAACACCAACGTCACCATCGATCTCCTCCCTCCAACGCCCACGCGGCTCTTCGATCTCATCCCGACGCTCCTCTTCAAACACAAACTCATCCCAGCGAATTCTCTGGCTCGCTTCGAGACAGGCCTGGATAATCCCCTCCTCGTCGGCTCCGATGCCGTGCTCACGCTCCCACGCAACCTGTGCTCCGTCCTTGATGTCCTCGAAAATAAGTCTGGCTTCTTCACATTCTTCGGCATCGTGCGGCTTGAGTCCGTACGCGATCATGAACTGGTCCATGCTTTCGAAGCCCGAGTCGCGGAGGAATTCAGCGTTGGTCTTGTCTTTGGGTTGGATGTCGGTTGGGACGGCCATTTTGGCTGTAGTGGAGGTATGCGTATATAACTAGGTAGTGTATTGGTAGTAGTAATGGGATAGGCAAGTGTTACCAGGGATATAGAATGGGATCAATTATTCTGGATTGATGGTGTAGAAGAGAGTGGGAGGTCAGCCAGGAAGAATTATAAGTCTCGCGCTTTCCTTTTAGGGAAGGTCTGTGGCACCTTCTGTCTTTATCCTAAGAACTGTGTATAAATAGGCAACTACCTCTTATTAGAAAAAGCCCCCAGGTATATCACTGCTATAAGAATATATGATGGACAGTCAAAGTCAGATATCATGGTCTTGCGCAGGATGAAAAACTCCCCCGTCAGTATTCTGCAGCTCGGAAATGTCGTGAATAGCTTCAGGTAGCTCTACGGCCCTCGACGCCGTGACAATCCCGAATTCGATGGCTTCCATGAATCTATCAGGCCAAATACTGCGGCCATAGAAGCCAACAATTCTTTCATCCGAGGCAGCTTCTATAGCTCAGTTAGCCGACACCAGGAAGTAGGTCTCATAGAACAACAAACCTAATGTATCGACATCGCCGTTATTCTCGTTCAATTCACCGGCTACTTCACCGTTGGACAGATAAATACGCATTCCCCAGAGGTTACTGTCGTCATGGCAGATTTCCAGCTTGCGGATCTCCACTCCTGGAGGAATATCGATCTTCTCGGATGCGTGGCCCCCTAGACAAAAGTTAGAAAAAACAACTCTCTTGATGGAATAAGGAGAATTATCCTTACCCAAACTGTGGGAATCTCCATTCTCGTCTACTAGAGGCCCACAATTGACAGTCTCGCCGTTGGCAAAATAGACGACAGCGCCGTCGAAAAGGTATCCGACTCGTATGTCGACAGCGGTAGCCCGGACGACTATCATGATCAGTTGGGTCGAAGGTTGATTGTGAGAGGATGCGCTTACTGTTCCCATCGGTGCTCCGGTGATTGAAGAGCACTCCCCATTCCCAGTACCGCTCATCGGCGGTATCTCCGTTGACCTCGTCAATGGCAATGGAGCGCTTCTGAAGCATGACTGAAGATCCAGGGATACGAATGACATCCGCACTGCGAGTCAGTCGCCAGAAATTCCGCACTCTCTTGGTCTTGCCATTCATTGCAAGAACCTGTAGGGTTAGTTCGGTCGTTGGATCGAACCTCTGCGCCAGGTCAGAAAGAGAATACTCGACTTGCGTCTGTGGCTGCGAAACGGATGGCACGGGCTCCATAGTACCGCCGAATTGAATGCACGCGATACCAGCGACATGTTCAATGACAATCTTTGAGCTGGCTTCACCGTCGCCGTGGATTAAATGCACGGATGGAGAGGTCTTTCTCAACGCCAGCGGCAGCAGCCGGTCACCTGGAAGTCGGAAGTGAGGTTGCGCGCTGAACGACAAGGCATCACCCAGATCCCAGCGAGCATCATTGTCACTCTCGGCAACAAGTTGGCCCGGTGCTTTCGTACGCGCTGAGTAGGCCGTGTAAGGCAAGAAGTGCTTGGCCCAGTGGCGGGGATACCCTCTGGCCATGATACCCGTGGTGTGCGGCGCTCCAAAGGCATGACCAACTTCGTGCAGGAAAGCACCCTGGCCGACAGTACAGGCTTCCCATGCCGTCTCACATTCGCCGTTGTCGTTTCCCATCCCATCCTCTCGGGGTGTGGTGTCCAGCAGACATGCAGAAACCTCTTCGAGAAACCGTGGCCACGAGTAGGTAAGATGGCTGCCAAAAACACCGAGAGAGATGCCTTCGGGGCTAGAGCTGCCCAGAGCCGCGTGTGCCAGGATCATATCTTTCTCAATCGAGTACGTCGAATCGAGGATTAGCCCGGCTACCACGGGCCGCACAGACGACTGGAACGGGGTTCCATGTGCTTTTAGCGCATCCATAAAGTAACGATGCAGATCGTCCCTCCTGTGACCTTGAGGGTTCTGCTGGGCGACATCTAGGCTGCGCAGCTCCGCAACAGTTTTGTCCGATTTCACGATATGGACCTTGGCCGTCGATCTAGCTGCTCCAGGGCCTTCTCCATTGCCGTACAGAGAGTCTGAACTGTGTCGGGCATTCCAAAATTGACGACTGAGGGTGTCTGTCGCCCATTCTTCCTCTAGCCGGAACGATCGCCGGCCCAGTCCTTTCAGTCGCATATCCTCGGCCGTCATGGCCTGCCACATGTAGGCAGTCATCCGCAGCTTCGCTACGGCAGCGTCAAGATCCGCATGGGCAGATGAAATCCCGCCAAATTTGTTCCCCGGACAATCGATCAGCAGGGGAGAATCCTTGCCCACCATGATGGCGAGGTGAAGCGGTGGCAGCTGAGAGAGCGGGACATAGTTCAGCTTCAGCTCCAGAGTCTCGAGCACCTGCGTACGGCGACGATGCTGCAGCGTCAACTGATTGTTTCCCGGCGACAGCAAGACCATCGCTTTGAAGTATCCGCATGCAAGGGGCCATGTTTGAGTCGGAAAGGCAACGGCGCCAAAATCGTCCTTGGTAGCGATGAGTATATGTTCTGTCTCACTGTACCCGGTTTCCTCGTTGTCAGTCGAGCACCGACCGGTCAAAAGAACACAACGCTTTCATGTGAGCTGGAAACAATTAAATAATAATAGGGGTCGTGTCGGGTTCTACCTGATGGACTGTCTCTCCGTCTGAGATGTTGTCCACACCCAGGCGGGGAGTAGTATCATTCTCGACCCCAGTAGCAACTCTCATGGCGGCGGATTCAATGAGCAAATGTCACTCGATCAACTGACCTGTTGTCTATAAGATGATAGGAACAATCCCTCTTATTTATAGATGCAGAACGAGAGCGTTGTGGCAGTCGGGAGTTGGTAGTAGTGGTTGTTGCTAACTAGGCAGCCGCTCGCTGCCTAGCAAGGCATCAAGGCAACAGCACTACATGAATATTACGGAGTACTTTCATACCTTAATCTTGGAATACTTAGTTAACTAGGTACCTATCTAGTAGTTAAAGTATTTTGTACCTTGTAGAAAATTGCTATCTAAGATCCTAAGGGAAGAATCCTTTCTGTCGAAAGTGCCAGACAATTGATGTACTAGACTAGTAACTAGTTATCAGTTGAATAGATGAACCATTTTGATTTATCCACGAATAAAATAGATAACCAGCGAGGAAGACTCCCGACTACTGGATATAGTTATTGGCCCTTTAATTAAGCTAGTCCGAGGTCAATTGTGAGACCGGAGATTCCCCGTGAATGCCCCTCACTAGAGCCCTACATAGTAGTAGTATCAACGACCATATAAATTGACTTTTAGGTATGTCTGATTCAAACAAGAGTCAAAAGTACAGTACAAGAACAAAATGCCTGTATATCATGTTGGTAAGCTATAATCCATGCTATTACTATAAGTCAAGGCACTGATCCGACTCCCACTCAGTTCTCTTCCGTCTCAAACCGGGCGTCACGCCCGCACAACTCAGTCACTGGAAGGAAACAACACAGGGAATGGTAGGGAAGATACCAGGTATGAAAGGAGCATTTAGAACCCTTTTTCTTTCTTGAAGAAATCGAATTACTAATCTTAAATGTAGGCTTGGTTTCTCTGCGCGCGGGTCCTCCCCTCCCCATCTCCATCCCGAGAGCTCAAGGGTTCGATATGGGCCTTGTTGCTGTACTGGAGTCGCCGGAACATGTGGCGACGTATGCCGTGCATCCGGCCCATTTGGAGTATGTTGAAAAAAGAAAAAAAAAGATTTCGTTGGAAATGCATCGAGAAGAATTATAGCTGACACTGCTGATGTAGGGTTCAGAAGATGCGAGAGGAGCTGTGTGATGACACGCTGGCGTATGATCTAGAGTTCTGATAGGAGTCTCTCAAGGAGAAAAAAAAAAAAAAAAACTTGGATGAGTTCATATCCAGTTATTTAATTCGAGACTGCATCAGTACATGTATTTGAGAAACCGTAGCCATGATATACAACGCCCAGATAGATCCATTTCTTTTTTTTTGAGAGAGAGCAAAAGACATTGTGAGAGACATATCAATAAAGGACTTTGAAACCGCTTTTATCAGTCAAGTTTATGCCTCTTTGGCATCGACCTTCTTAGCAGGGTGGTCCTTGTTGCCTTCTTCGTCACGACCGCGCTTCTGGCCAGACGTCGAGTCAGCGGTGCTCTGGATAACAGGAACGCCACTAGATAGATTAGCAAAGGCCTTCGAAACAAGCCAGATGGAAAAGAAAGAACATACCGAGCATCCTTCTGGACCTCACGACGGGCGTCCCCATTGCTGAAGCCCTTCTTCTGGTCGTCAGCACGACGATCCCGCCAGTCGCGGTCGTCTTTGCGGTCCCCGCCGCGACCGCCACGACCGCCGCGACCACCACGGCCACCGCGGCCACCGCGGCCCCGGCTTCGGCCGTTTCCACGGGTGCGCTGCTCCGAGGGCTTGATCCGGCCGGCCTCGATGTCCCGAACCTTCTCGTCGCAGTAGTCCTTCTTGCTCTTGATGATCAGGTCCTCTCCCTTCCACTGAGGCTTAGGCTCAAGCGCCAGGAACTTCTGCTGGGTCTCCTCGGTGTCGAACTCGACAAAGACGCTGCCCTTGAAAGTCTTGTCGGGGAACCGGCGGAGACGGATCGCGTTCGTGGGGCCGTACTTGGAGAAAAAGGACTCAATGTCAAACTGCGTGCTAGCCTCCTCAGAGCCGAAGCCCTTGGCGTAGATCGAACGGCTCATGGCCTTGTCCTCAAAGACCTTGACGACACTGGGATCGTGGGAGTCGGTGACCGTCTCGGGCAGAGGCACCTTACGGCGCACAGCGGTGTCGTTGTCGGTCAGCTCCAGGACCTCGGAGGTCTTCAGGGCTTCCACGATAGCACTGAACGGCTGGAAGCGGTGCATACGCTTGAAAGAGTGGATGGTGCTCAGAGGGATCGAACGGTTGGCACTGCCGCCAACCTTGGCAAGCAGGAATTTGTCCATAGGCAGATTGGAATCAGAGAAGTAGAATTCCACCTATAAAGCGCGTCAATTTAGATATGAAACTGCCAAGCTTGGTATCTGAACCAACCTGCTTCCGGATCTCAACCGGATCGTCTGTCTCCTTCTGTGAGCTAGGGTCAAACTTGGCGTTGTTCCGGTTATCGCGACCGCTACGGGTCTTGCTGTGGGATTGGGATTCCGCAGCCTTGGCCTCGGCGCTCTCAGACTTCTTTCCCAGCTCGGCGGCAGCAGCGACAATCGAGGCCTCGTCGGCTTCCTCCTTTTTATCTTCCGCCTTCAACTCGGCCAGGACATTCTGAACATCCTTCTCCGCCTCGGTGTTGGCACCGGCGTCGACCTTAGGTTCTGCGGACATGTCGCGTGGATGAATGACGTACAGGCAGGAACAAGTTCACCACGCGCGAGACCTTTCTAGGGGATAATTAGAACAGGGGGGTTTTTTTCGGAGTAGAACCAGCGCAGAGAAAAAAAAAAGATATCGAAGTTAATTCAATCATCATGGCGACAGTGTATCTCGTCCCTCTAGCATGGACAGATAGTCCCTGTCGAGTCGGACGGAGATAGGAAATTTTGGGACAATCATTGCGCCCGCCTGCAGATAACCTGCGAAGCAGAGCAAATCGCACGAGACTCGCGCTTACCTGAGGAATTTCAAAAGTAAAGGGAGTATAGATTGTCTCTGACAAGTGCTGGCAAGAACAGAGACCCCTGAATGTCACAATGCGCGTCTGATCGGTGTTGCAGGGAGAAGTCACAATCTTCCTACAGCGGGGCGAAATTTTCTACGCGCCGCAGGAGAGCTTCAGCCACATTTCAGCCACAGATGGATTTCCTAAATGGGAATAGTCGGATTTGTGCAACTACGACAGATATTGTAAAGAAGTGTTGAATTGACCTGATATGGGTATGCCTAGAGGAATGCACTGGAAATAATGTAAATCTAGTATATATCTTGTTAGTAATGAGCAGTATTATAGATAGATAAATTAGATTTTAATCTCTACTAGCAAGAGTAGAGTGGATGTTAGCTAAATCCCTCTATAAATAGAGGTTAACTATTCCAGAGGCCTATCTTTACAGCAGTTTTATATCTCTACATAAGGTACCTAGAGGCACTTATATGAATGATAATGGGGATTTAGTGCTGACAAACAGTATAGTATGTTGGACATGGACTGGCAAGATGGCGAGTGTGCAACCGACAGACCGCGCTTGCCTTTTTCGGTCTCCTGGGATTCACTCCAACGTGCCTCCTCGAAGAGCTCTCAATCACTCATGCTCTCGCTTCCATTTCTTGACTCTTTTCTTCATAACCACTCGCATTGTTAACACCTGCAAGCGCTGGATACCCACTTTCCTGGACTACTAGTCATTTTCAGTCTTTATACTTAATCGATCTTTCATTCTCTGCCCTTGAAAAAGAAGAGGTCTCTGAAGTTCCACAGAAAGTAACTTGGATTTTTGTCATTCCTTCATTTATTTATAGCTCTCGTTTGAGACCACCATTATCACGGTACGTGTTGTCTTCGACTGAGGCGTGTTTGACCAGGAAGCTGATTTTGTGCGACTCAGATCCACAAGGATTCCAATCTCGCATAGTGTTCTTCCAAGATTTCGTCGAGGTAAGTTTTGAACCTGGCTGGCTCTTCTGGCTCTACAATGCATGTGCCAATGAATTATTTTCCTAGTTAACGAGCCCAGTGGACTCCAGCAGGCTCTGCTCGTTATCGAGCCTCGGTTCTCGAATTGACGCCATTGACACACCCAGAACTCGAAACACAATGTCAGAACAGGATAAGGCAGATATGGCGATAGTGAAAAAATGGCCGGTCCAGGATGTAGGTTTCTAAGAAGGTCTGTTTTGTGGGTTGTGGAATGGCTAAGATGATTTAAGATTGTCTATGTCTCCATCATCGGGCCAGTCATGCTGGCAGCCTTACTAGAATGGTTTCTTCACCTCGCTGCGTTCGTCTACTGCCTGTGCAAAGTGTATCGAAAGGCAGACCACTGGAGTGTCAAAGTTCTCGCGGTACTGATGATAGTTCTCTTCATAACTTTGCGGTAGGTTACCACAACGGCTGGATAATCTTATAAGTACTAGATACTAACATCATGCTTGTTCGTTGGTCTAGAGGCATATTCCTACCGGCCATGATAGTGACACTTCCTTTGCCAGCAGAGGTGTCCGAGCACTTCCCCGCTGCCCTGGTCTCCTTCCTCCAATGGTTTGCTTTCTGGACATTCTCGGTTTTACTCGTCATACCCTGGCTGTTTTGCATCTACAGACTCGCTACCAACTCCCTGGGTAGAGAGCAACGGATAAAGGAGGTTCTAGATGACAGCACTGCTCCCAAAACAGTGATCATCATGCCAGTATACAAGGAAGACCCTGCGGTTTTGATCAAAGCTATCGACTCAGTCGTTGACTCTGACTACCCTGCGTATTGTATCCATGTGTTCCTTTCATACGACGGCGGTCTCGTCGATGAGCCCTTCTTCCGTGTAATTCAACACCTTGGGATCCCAATCACGCTTACATCTTACCCCCAGAGTATTGATGTGACCTACAAAGGTGCAAGGATTACCGTCTCCCGCTTCAAGCATGGAGGGAAGCGCCATTGCCAGAAGCTGACTTTCAAGCTGATCGACAAGATCTATGCCGGTTATCTTAAGCAGCACGACGATCTTTTTGTCTTGTTTATTGACTCCGATTGCATTCTCGACCGTCTATGTCTCCAGAATTTCATGTACGATATGGAACTCAAACCTGGGAGCAAGCACACCATGCTGGCAATGACAGGAGTCATCACTTCAACCACCGAGAAGAACTCACTCATTACCGTCTTACAGGATATGGAATATGTCCATGGCCAGCTGTTCGAGCGTTCCGTCGAGTCTGGCTGCGGGGCCGTAACTTGTCTCCCGGGCGCTCTGACAATCCTGCGGTTTTCAGCTTTTCGAAAGATGGCTCCATACTACTTTGCAGACAAAGCTGGGAACTGCGCAGATCTCTTCGACTTTGGCAAATCACACCTGGGAGAAGACCGCTGGCTCACACATTTGTTTATGATTGGAGCAACGAAACGCTATCAAATCCAAATGTGCACGAGCGCATTCTGCAAGACAGAGGCTGTTCAGACGTTCCGGAGCCTTCTCAAGCAGCGGCGTCGATGGTTTCTTGGTTTCATCACGAACGAGGCATGCATGCTCACAGACGCCAGGCTCTGGGCGCGGTACCCTCTGCTCTGTTTTGTTCGTTTTATGCAAAACACCATTCGAACTACCGCGTTGCTTTTCTTCATCATGATAGTCTCTGTGTTGACTACGTTCAACAAGGTCTCTAATCTGCCTGTGGGGTTCATTGCCATTTCTCTCGGTCTAAACTACCTGATGATGCTCTACTTTGGGGCAAAGTTGAAGCGATTCAAGGCCTGGCTCTATCCAGTAATGTTCGTGTTAAACCCATTTTTCAACTGGATATACATGGTGTACGGGATCTTTACAGCTGGTCAGCGCACGTGGGGTGGCCCTAGAGCAGATGCTGCTGCCGCTGACGAGCACACCACTCCCGAGGAAGCTGTCGAACAGGCCCGAGCCCAGGGGGATGACCTGAACGTCGATCTGGAGACGTTCCGGACGAACGAAGAAGACAAAAAAACCATTCCTATTCGTCCTTCAGGCAATATTGAAGGGCGTTTCGTCGCAGCCGCGTCGTTTTACTCGCTCCCATCCGCACCTCCTCTCAGCCTGTCTGGAAGCAACTATGCGTATGACTCCCCTTCGACGTCTGATACGGGCACCACCTCAATTGCCCTGCCCCGAAGAGTGGAGAGCCTGATAAGTGAAGAGGATCGGGTGAAGCTTATGATAGCCCGGCAGATACAAGCATCGAACAGCAGTTTCAATATTCATTCTGATGAGTCGAGTGAGATGGACAAGGCGCCTTTTCTACGACAAAGCAACCAGCAGCAGATTGATGACCCAGAACTTGGACTTGAGCTGCTGTCCTCAGGCGAACCGATCGACAGGGAACTATTGGCGGAGCTGGCGCGGTCAGGAACCGCCCTGATTTCCGCCAGCCAATTGGTCTCCAGCCACAGCATTGCAGGTCCCCCGAGCCTGCGACAGGAAACGACGATCGGTAGTGACATCGGCGAGAACCATCCGCCGCCAAGTGACCAGCAGACCGAGGACGAGGGGACGAGGCGGAAGCTGCGTAAAAAGTTCCGCAGGCATTTCCGAAAACCAGAGGAACCGGGCGATCTAGTCTGATTAGAAGGCCTCATCGCTCTTCCTTTCCTTTTGTCTTTCCTTTCTTCTTCCTTGTCAACAACCCTGTTGGTACTATTTATTACTATTCGTGGATGATCGGACCCTAGGTAATTGGCACCGTCTTGTCGGTTTCACGCGTTTGACCAAGGCGCAACCGCTACTACTTGGCTTATAGAAGTATTTTGATTAATGAATACTTGTTCCATGATTCGTTACTCCTATCTTTGCAAGTTCGCAGAGGAGACATCATCCCCTTATGCCTTGCCGATGCTGAGGCGGGGCAAGCCACGGATAGAAAGATCCAGTAGTCAATCGATAAGAAAGAAAGACAACACTCAGCGGGCATGGAATCTTTTTACGACAGTAGTCTTCTAAACTCTCCAACAGCCGCTCTAGCCAATTGATCGAGTCCAGGTGTCGTGAAACAGCCTAATGTAGTATGATTCGACACCTGTGAGTTACCTATCGATAAGGGCACCGTAAGGTACTCCGTACCTTACCTAGGAAACGCTGAAAAGTGCAGCCTGAGCCTTCAGGCCCTAAGGCGGTGAAGGCTATCCCGCCTCGTTTTTTTCCAGTGACCCAGCACGTGCCAAGGCGGTGTGCTCTCGATGGGAATCGAGCAGGCACGAGAAGGTTCGATGAGCGCCATGAACGGTTTGGATGGATAAAAGAGCCCCTGACTGGGGTATTAGACAGAGTGGTCTCGCGCCCTGGTTAATATTATATTCTGTCTCTCTGTATATATCCCAGCAGGATTAAAAATACCTTTCTAAAGAATCCTTCTTGTTGTCAAGCAAACAGACTTTTCTGTCTGTCCCTTTCCTGACTGACCCACGTCTGGCCCTAGCCACGCCTCAGCGTTTATCACCGCCCGATAGTGGCGGCCCTCTCTGCAAATTCTCCCCTCCAAGAAACGCAGCCCACTTCGAGAACCGATCCCACTTCTCTCCCTCTCACCACCCTACTCTGACCTTTCTCTCCATCTCACCTCCCCCAAAACACCCCCATCACATCACCTAGAATGAGTGTCGTCGGCATAGATTTCGGTGCCCAGAGCACCAAGGTCGGTGTTGCCCGGAATAAGGGTATTGACATTGTGCGTATCGGCCCCTCCTCTGGCGCCCGCGGCTGGAATCTTCCCAACAGCCTTGGGTTTCTTCTCTCTCCTTTTTTTTGACTCTCTGGCTGACTGACTGGGTGGGTTTCTAGATTACCAATGAGGTTTCCAACAGATCTACTCCGTATGTAACCCGCACGAATCCGTGATTTCCGCCGAAGACATTGAAGAAGAAGAAGAAGAAGAAGAAGAAGAAGAAGAAAAAAAGAAAAAAAGCTGACGGTCGCTTTGTTACTATTAGGACTCTGGTCGGTTTCGGTACCAAGAGCAGGCATCTTGGAGAGGCAGCAAAGACACAAGAGACCTCCAACCTCAAGAACACCGTCGGCTCTCTGAAGCGCCTGATTGGTCGTTCCTTCAGCGACCCGGATGTCCAGGTTGAGCAGCAGTACAACACCGCTCCTCTCTGCGACGTCAACGGCCAGGCTGGTGTTGAGGTCAACTTCCTCGGCAAGAAGGAGAAATTCACCGCCACGCAGCTGGTCGCCATGTACCTGGGCAAGATCCGGGACATTGCCGCCAAGGAGCTGAAGCTGCCCGTCTCCGACGTGGTCATCAGCGTCCCCGCCTGGTTCACCGACATCCAGCGCCGGGCGATGCTCGACGCCGGTGAGATTGCCGGCCTGAAGGTTCTTAGACTCATCAACGATACTACTGCCACCGCTCTGGGTTATGGTATCACCAAGCTTGACCTCCCGGGCCCCGAGGAGAAGCCCCGCCGGGTGGTGTTCGTCGATATCGGCCACAGCAACTACACCGCCTCGGTGGTCGAATTCCGCAAGGGCGAGCTTAACGTCAAGGCAACGGCCTACGACCGCCACTTTGGTGGTCGTAACTTCGACAAGGCCCTGACTGACCACTTCGCCGACGAGTTCAAGGAGAAGTTCAAGATCGACATCCGCTCGAACCCCAAGGCGTGGGCTCGTACCCTGGCCGCCGCCGAGAAGCTCAAGAAGGTCCTCTCCGCGAACCCTTCGGCACCCCTGAGCATCGAGTCCCTCATGGAGGACATCGATGTCCGCGCCCTCGTCAAGCGTGAGGAGATGGAGGCTATGGTCAAGCCTCTTGTGGACCGCATCCTTGTCCCCATCGAGCAGGCGCTCGCCGAGGCCAAGCTCAAGCCCGAGGATATCGACGCCATCGAGATGGTCGGTGGCTGCACGCGTGTCCCCGTCATCAAGGAGGCCATCGGCAACTTCTTCGGCAAGCCCCTGTCCTTCACCCTCAACCAGGACGAGGCCATTGCCCGTGGTTCTGCCTTCAGCTGCGCCATCCTGTCTCCCGTCTTCCGGGTGCGCGACTTCTCCGTCCACGACATCGTCAACTACCCGATCGAGTTCACCTGGGAGCAGTCGGCCGACATCCCCGACGAGGACACCAGCCTCACCGTCTTCAACCGGGGCAACGTCATGCCGTCCACCAAGATCCTCACCTTCTACCGCAAGCAGCCCTTTGACCTTGAGGCTCGCTATGCCAAGCCCGACATGCTTCCCGGCAAGGTCAACCCTTGGGTCGGTCGTTTCTCCATCAAGGGCGTTCAGGCCGATGCCAACAACGACTTCATGATCTGCAAGCTCAAGGCTCGCCTCAACCTGCACGGTATCCTGAACCTCGAGTCTGGATACTATGTCGAGGATGTTGAGGTTGAAGAGCCCGTTGAGGAGGAGGGCGACAAGAAGGAGGGCGATGTAAGTTTTTTTCTTCTTTTTTTTGGGTGTGTCTGTATGTGTATGTCTTTGCTAATTTCTTCATCAGGCCATGGACACCGATGACAAGCCCAAGAAGACCCGCAAAGTCAAGAAGCAGGTCCGCAAGGGTGACCTACCCATCTCGACTGGCACCTCTGCCCTGGACCAGAGCGTCAAGGATGCCTGGATTGAGCGCGAGAACGCCATGTACATGGAGGATAAGCTCGTGGCTGAGACTGATGAGAAGAAGAACGAGCTCGAGTCATTCATTTACGAGCTGCGTGACAAGCTTGACGGCATCTACGCCGAGTTTGCCAACGAGGAGGAGAAGGATAAGCTTCGGGCCAAGCTGACTGACAGCGAGGTGAGTTTTTCTCTTTTTTTTTTCTTCTTCTCTAGGAAAAAAAAAAGGAAAAGGAATATACTGACGTGTTCCAGGACTGGCTCTATGAGGAGGGCGAGGACACCACCAAGTCCGTGTACGTCGCCAAGATGGACGAGATCCGCTTCATTGCCGGCCCCATCATCCAGCGCTACCGGGAGAAGGCCGATGCCGAGCGCCAGGCCGTGCAGAAGGCGCAAGAAGAAGAGGCCGCCCGAAAGCGTGCCGAGATCGAGGCCAAGCGCAAGGCCGAGGAGGAGGCCAAGAAGGCCGAGGAGGCCAGCAAGACCGCCGACACGGACATGAAGGACGCTTCTGCTGAAGGCGAGGCCCCCGCCGCCCAGGAGACTGAAGAGAAGCAGTAAAAAAAAACAATAAATAAAAGAAAATGCTTCTCTCTTTCTCTTGTCTTGATGATGGCTTCCGCATGATATAGAATATGCTGCGTGATGAGAAAACGGACTCGATCGATACAATCAAATCTTTTCTTACTTTCAATTTCTTTTTATACTTCTTTCCCCCTACCATCTGATTCCTTCTTTCTTCTTTTTTTTTTTTGAACCAACCCCTTCGATGATATAATTGACAACCTGACCGCTACTGGTTGTAGATCGCATGTCTCTACATTCTATTCTCTCCCGATTAAATTGGTTCGACTCGACTCGACCGCAATAGAGCTGCTTGATTCCCTGGTTTGATTGTGCGTTCGCCTTGGATAAGAAGTAATTGTCAGATTCTGAGATGTTCTGGATAGATCAATGAAGTGCAGTTGAGTAACTTCTGTCTGTTGAGGTGAGAGAAGAAGCGGTGATAGCCGGCAGAACTTGGATCTTAATTATCCTAGCATAATGCATTATGCATTAGTTATGCATGAATACTAAGGTATTGTACTCCGTACCTCTCCGTACCGTTGACTACGGGTATACGGAGCACTAAGGTATTTACAAGGCAATATTTCCGATCCACCGTTCGCGAGCCATAGAATCTTCCATTATTTGCAAACCGTGCTGACAGCCGAATTACGGAGCAAATGATTCCCGACTAGTATCAATAGCGTGACTCTGGGGCGCCAATAATACCGCCGCTGTTGAAACGCAGGGCGGGGGTTCGAATGGTGCCAGATTCTGACAGATGATGAGAGATGGTGATAGTAGACACCATGACTAATTAATGCACTAGTGGGTAGTTAGTTGGCTTCTCATCTTCATGTCTACTCCTAAGTCTGTACCTATGTACACTGTACAGAGGTTCACCCCGAGTCAATTACGTTATTTCCCCATATGTATTATGTAGTAAGGGAAAAAAAAAAAGAAAAAAGGAAAAAGAAAAAACAGGGTCTTTGCAGGGTCTTCCCGGATAGGACCAGCAGCCTTGGCACAGGCAATGTTAACCGAGGCGATTGGCCAGTCGGCATCCTTGGTGGCTTGGCACGGGGGCTGCATTGGACTAGCGTTTGCCCAGGTGGGAAAGACAGCACGAGACCGACGGTCCGTCAGCGTCAACGGCCAGAGTATGGGAAGACAATACCTAGTAGTAGTTGTGTATTGTGTAGTGTGTACCTAGGTAGGTAGTACTCAGTATTATGTAGTTTATTAAATACCCTGCTAGTCTCAAGCACCTCGTGTTTTGCTTTAATTTCATGGCATTACTACATAATATTGCACCAACAATCTCACCGAATGCATCCCCCCTCAACTCGCTTCGGGTGACTCCACGGGAATTGAGTCAGTAGTTGAGCTGTATGTAGTAGTGCTAAATCGGTATACTACATACTCTCAATCCTTGGTCTTGACTGTGGCTCTATCCGGTCTATGTGCTGGATTCGGAAGCTCGCGTGACCTCCTGGTATAGGTATTAAGTAATACTCCATACCTGTTCATTCTTTCTTCTTCTATTTCTTCTATTTCTTCTTAATCTTTTGCTTATTACTTATTACTTACAGAGTACCTCACCGACTTCTACTACATATTATATACACTTCATCACTTCACTTCGCTTCTTCAACCCTTGTACAACATTCCTATCAAGCTAGTCGGTGTGGAGCTGACCTGGACCGCCCCGCTGGGAGTGATATATTACATTACTACATAAGTAATACATACGAGCCATCTTGTGACGGAATACGGAGTCAGACTAAGGGGTCCGTCCATCTTTGGCTTACTTGGATTCCCCTCTCCACTCGCTCTTAATCATCTTTCTTATAGTACGGAGTACTCCATACTCCAATCGCTCTCTTCTTCTTCTTCTTCTTCTTCTTCTTCTCCTACATATACACTTTGGTTCCCTCCAGCATCAGCATTCCGATCGGGGATCGCCAGAATTCATTTCCTCCTGAGGATTCCGGCTGGCTGTCGCAAGGGAGAAAGGAAGGGATAAAACGAAAATAAGGGGGGGGGGGAAAACAAACCGAAAAATGCGCACAGAGAGGTGACTGACTAGGTGTGGAAATCGCAAATCGAACCGACTGCCCTTTTCGTTCTCGAACGCTAGACAAAGGCCAGCATGAAGGCTTGGGGGCTTGTTGCCCTCGTGCCCACGCTCTGCGCTGCTGCAGTGGCTGCCCGCGCCCTTCCCGGCCCGACTACGACAACCAACCCAACCGCCCAGGAGTATGATCCTCTGTGGGAGATCTATGGCCTCAACAGGTCAGCAGAGTACAAGTACTTCCACGAGCCCGGCCGCGACGACATCCTGGGCCACTACGACGTTCGCTTCTTCACCGAACCCGTCGCCACGGAGGAACGCACTGAGACCCTCACTCATATGGTGCGCGCCTATCTCAACTTCTTCACGGAAAACGATCTTGAGACCTGGATTGCGCATGGGACCCTGCTGGGCTGGTGGTGGAACGGAAAGGTATATATCTCTTAACATTTGTGTTGCATTTTTCCCGATTAGAGTCCGTCAGACTGATTAGATGTCTGCTAGATCCTACCATGGGACTGGGATATCGACACCCAAGTCCCCGATACCACCCTCGCACGACTCGGCGACGATTTCAACCAGACCATCGTTTCGTACACCTCGGCCGACAAAAAAGTGAAGCGGAAGTATCTGCTCGATATCAACCCCTGGTCGCGCCAACGCGAGCGCGGCAAGGGCCACAACATCATCGACGCGCGATGGATCGATATCAAGACCGGCCTGTACATCGACATCACCGGCTTGAGTAGACTGAATCCCGAGACGGAGCCGGACATATGGCAGTGCAAGAATTTCCACAAGTATAAGGTCCAGGATATTTACCCGCTGCGCAAGACGACCTTTGAAGGCACCGCCGCCATGGTTCCCTTCCTATACGACTCTATCTTGACCGACGAATACTCGCTGAGGTCTTTAACGGCGACGAATTTCCACAAGTGAGTGTTGTTATTTGGGTTATCGGCTTGTTTATCTCAATAGCTGACCGTCTCTCAGTCACACCTGGTATCCTGACCTGGAGGAATGGATCCTAGACGATGAGGAATCCATGACTGCCCGACGCAGAGAACAAGAATCTCAGGATGGCCGCTATTACGAGTAACTTACCTTTTCTGCATCTTCCTGTTGATAACGGCCTTTTTTTTTTATCGATAATCCTGGATGATTGATGGCCTACAACACAAATATATCTCTCGCCATTTACGACCGCGATCTCTCGACATATTATTATATATTCTTCGCCTTCGCTTCACATCATCTTCGTTCATCTTCTGGGTCTGCTCATTAGCTCGGAGTTATATTTCTTTTTTTTTTGGATAAGGTATATGGGTTTACATCGGGGCTGCTTGTACAGTTGGAGTTGATTGGTTGAACATTCTGTAAATATCAGCCGTGTGGCTATCCTGTTATTGTCAATAATAAGCAGTGCCTATATATCAATGAGCAGTAGCAGCGACTGTGGCCAAAACTATCAGGTTACGTCCAGTATAACAGACAAATTTCTGTCTGAGTATTCATATGACTTATCGTTATCTCCGGCTGACAAATCTTATCGCCGTCGAAATCAAGAGAAGGAGACAGAGTCATTTCCTGCTTACTGTCTTGATCTTCTCTGTGTAGAATGTACTCCTTCTGCCTTATAAAGTAAAATCATGGGATCACTACCACTTGACACCCCAGACGCCAGCATGGTTGACCCAGGCGAGATGGCCATCACAGTTCACCACCACGGCAAGCCTCACACGCTCCGCCTCCCCGCGGACGCAACACTCGAAGACCTCACGCTCAGCCTCGCCTCGTCACTGCACATCCCCGTCGAGAACCAGAAGCTGCTGGTCGCACCGAAGCCGGGCATGCTCAAGCCGCCCTTTGCAGCCACGCCGCTAGATGCCGTGCTGCCGCTGGCCTCGCCGCGGCTGAAAATCACCCTCCTCGGCACCCCAACGCAGGAGATCGACGAGCTCAACGCGCAGGTCGAGAGCGCCCGGCACAGACTCGCCGCACGGCGCTCCTCGCCCTTTGCCGCCAAACCGGCGCGCACCACACAGAACCACGGCATACATACCCTCTCCTCCTCCTCCTCCTCCTCCTCTTCAAATCACGCCGACTACACTTTCCACCGACTCTTCCCGTTACCGCATCTCCCAAACCCTTCACGCTCGCTAGGCTTCCTGACCCGCCTGCGCGACGACCCGGGAATCCGCTTCGCAATGACGAAACACCGCTTCTCCGTGCCCCTCCTGACAGAAATGGACCCGGCAGAACACACGACGCTCGAGTCGCGCACGCTCGGACTCAACCGGAACAAAGGCGAGGCGATCGAGCTCCGGCTCCGCACAGACGCCTACGACGGCTACCGCGACTACCGGACTATCCGGAAGACGTTGTGCCATGAGCTCGCGCACTGTGTTTTCAGCGAACATGATCGGCACTTCTGGGATCTCACGGCCCAGATCGAGCGGGAGGTCGAGCGCGCGGACTGGAAATCAGGCGGGAGCAGACTCTCCGACCAGGAGTTTTATAACCCGGCCGACTGGGAGAGAGAGCAGGAAGAGGACCATCCCGTTGACGAGAGGGGGTGGACGGGTGGGCAGTTTGTCTTGGGTGGGGGGGGTGCACATCCTGTTCAGGACCAGGGTGCAAGTAGAAGGGATATACTTGCCAAAGCGGCGGAGGAGAGGATGAAGAGGGAGGGGAATAAATGATAATCTTTATATTATACCCGAGCATGTTTTATACCATTTACATTATACGTTACGAATAATGCGATGATTATACCTCATTTACAAACAAACCAGCCATCCCCTGCCCCGTACCAATACACATACTAGTGACGAGAATGCGCTTCTTGGTTCTCCGCGCCTCGCTGAGAATCGTACAGATCTGCCGCGCCCCCGTCGCGCCAAGTGGGTGGCCGAGGGCGATGGCGCCGCCGCGCGGGTTGACGCGCTCATGTTCAAGCCCTAGCTTGTCGACGCAGTAGACCGCCATCGAGGCAAAGGCCTCGTTGATCTCGAACAAGTCGATGTCCGCCTTGTCGAGCCGGAACTGGGTCAGGAGCTTGGGGATTGCGGCCGTGGGGCCGATTCCCATCACGCGCGGCGGCACGCCGGCGACGGTTGCGCCGCAGAATTTCGCGAGGATGGGCTGGTTGAGCTCGATGGCTTTCGAGCGGCGCATCAGAAGGATAGCGGCGGCTATCAGCATCTATTAGTACCTGATTTCGAAATATATATATATTGTTCAAAAAAGACGAATTACCTCCGTCAGTCACCTGGCTGGCATTCCCGCCGGTAGTCTTGTTTCCGAACTGGGGAAACGCAGGCCGGATCTTGCTCAAGGCCTCGACGGTGGTGCCGTAGCGAATACCCTCGTCGCGGGTGAGTGTGACCTCTTTGAGTTCGCCGGACTGCGGATCCTTGACCTTGGTGGTGATGGGAACGATCTCGTCATCAAACCAGCCGGCCTTCTGGGCGGCCTCGGCGCGGCGGAACGACTCGGCGGCATAGCGATCCTGCATCTCACGGGTGATCCCAAAGTCATCGCCGACATTCTCTGACGTCTGGCCCATTGGCTGCATGCAATCGGCAGCCTCCTGGTTCTTGAGGATCTCCGCGTGGAAGGGCTTTTCCAGCCGGTCGCCGCCGGCAGTCATCAGCTCGGCACCCATCGCCACCCCGACATCAATCGCTCCGAGTCGGATCTGGTTGGCGATATCCTGCACAGCCTTCAGGCCGGACGAGCAGAACCGGTTCACGGTGGAGGCGCCGGACGTGTGGGGGATGCCCGCTGCAAGGGATGCAGCGCGGAGCCGGTACGCCGCCTTACCGTCGCTCACCTGCAGCGAGTCAATTAAACTAACAATAGAGTAAGAATGTTAATTGCAATAGACTCACATTTCCAAGACAAACATCCTCGATAAGAGTGGGGTCGAGCTTCGATTTGGCGATCAACTCCTTGAGCAAGGCGTACACCATATAATCGAGGTCCGTGTCCTTGAAGCCACCTTTGCCGGCCTTTGCGAGCGGCGTTCGTAAAGCGAGAGTGATAACCACATCTTCGGGGTTCTTCTGCGTACTGTCATTTGATTTAATAAGTCAAATGTAAGATCTCAACTGCCTGGGCTGATGGTTGCTTCGTACATAGCTGACACCGCGCTGTTCGAGTCGCCACCCTTGAGGTGGCTCAGGATGGAGCTCAGTCGCTCTGAAGCCATAATGTTTGGGGAAATAGAGTAGTTCTGGTAGGGCTCGTAAGCAACTTATCACAAACTCAAAGGAAAGAAACACCTCTATGCAATAACTTCGTCAAGGGAAGGCACTGACAGCGAATATGAGGGGAATGTGAGGGGAATGTTCAAGGGATGCGGAGGCGAGAATTGTCCAAGGCAGGAAAACAAATAACCACTAGATACTAGACTAAGCCTCTGGGCTTCAAAACCACGAGACTTTTCAAAACTCACCGGCTAGAATCTATGATCCGTAATTATCAATCAAGATTCAAAATGAAGAATGATGGCGAAGCAGGTCCCCTCCTCTTTGTACTCCAGGCCGAGCAACGCAGAGATGCCGAGGCTGTTTGTATTTCATACCCGAACCGACAACCTCCACCTCCTGGATCCGCAACTGACTAATGGGTAATTTCCATATATTTTTTTCATCTGTATAATATATACCAATACAGTCGAATCACAGACATATAAAGAAGGAAAAGGTGATGAAATTCCGGGCACACGCATATTAGTTAGTACTCCGTCCAGTACGCCGCCCCAAGAAAAGAATCCTGCGTATATAAAAGCAAGAGATCAAAGAACCAAAAAAAAAAACAGGTACAAAATCAATGATGACCCATGTCATCACCGCTGATTACACTTCCTACCTCTGACCAGCTGGCCGGGGTGGCAATGCCATCCGTCGGGACACCAATCTCACTCAAGGTATCATCTGAAAGAGTGTCTGTGGCAGCCTCGTCGATATGACTATAGCTTCCAGTTGTCGAGGCAGCAGATGAATCTTCCTGGTGAGCCACGTACTGGAGCGCATCTGCAAAGGGTGAGCTTGACGACGACATTGTGTTGTTAGTAGTCGTATGATCGGGATGGGCATAATATGTTTCGGAAAGGCCGTCTTCCGTTTGGCTCGACCCCATGGAAAACGGGTGATCAGGGGCTTCTGAAGTCGGTGTCAAGTCAAGGAGAGGTCCACTGATGGGCGACATTTCTGACGAAATTTCCAGATGCAGTCCATCACTGCCGATGGCCTCGGGCAATTCTTGATTGTACTGGGATTCGGTCTCGGCAACAGCAGGGCTAGTATCCTTGGGGTTTCCCTCACCAACCAGAGACTGGATCCCAGCTACATCAACCGCAGTAGAGCTGGCAATCGTATCGTCAGGGACTCCAAGCATCGCAGACTTCCGTAAATTTCCATCCTTGTCGACAAGAGCATCGAAGGAGCCTAGACTCGAGGTTCCTCGCTTCCGGCGCCGTGCCTCGACTCCCCGGCGGAGAATCTCCTCTCGAGCAATCCTCCTCCGCTCTTCAGCATCTGGACTGACCTCTTCTGACATGGATATATCTTCCCTAAGAGGGCTTGATTCCCTTGGATATATCTCATCGCCGAGGTTGTGCAATGCAACGGCGACTTTCCGTCGAGAGTTATTGACCCACTGTCGAAACTGCGGAGACTCATATATTGCAATCCCGGCAGCAACGATTACTGAAACCGTAATTATGATCCCTGATATCAATAATGGTCAGTTGGCGTACGCTTGCTTTGAAAGGAACTCAAGCTTCTCCAGCATTCCAGGCGGATGATAAGCTCGAAAGCGAGTCGTATCTTATCAAGGGAGAAGACACGCGAGGGAGGATCAAAAACTGACCTTTTGCGACTGGAGCTGGCATCTTGGATGGATCAGAAGAAGAGATGCCTTGATTTACTGCTGCGAATAGATAGTGATTAGCAAAAAAAAGGGAAGGTGAATGTAAAACAAGGCAGCCTAGTGAGGAGCAGGAGGTGGTATCGGCGCCAGACTTCCCCTCCGTTCCGGAAGTCACGTGAATATAGGAAACCCTTATCGCTGAGCCCTAAGTCCTCTTTTGGCCTGTCACGTCGTCCCCGCGTCCAGACATCAACAATCGACATCAGTCCAGGAGAAGTGACCAAGCGAGCTACGCGTCAACTCTAGCCTCTGAACAATACATTTCTGTGCCAATATTTCGGATGTCGCGTCATCCACAACCCCAACGCCCTTTGTCTTTGACGGAGGAGCTAGAAAAGCTCGAGCAGTCGATTACTCTAACACTACAAGGTAACCCAAAATCTGGATGAACATTGCTGGGCAGGTCTTCTGACAGTCTTGATTGTTCAGAAATCGATCATAATTTCAGCGAAGCCCATCGGATTGTGACGACAAGCATTCTGCCTGTTGTGGAACAGTACGCCGAGAATTCGAGAGACGTCTGGGAAGGAGCAAAGGTTTGTGTTGGCAGAGAGACGTGTATGTGGGAGATGACGGCGGACCAGATGGGCTGATGTGGAGCGACGAACAGTTTTGGAAGCAGTTCTTTGAAGCCAGTGCCAATGTTTCCTTGTCCGGCTACGAGGACCGACCCAACGAAGACACCACCTTGCAAGAACAGTCTGTGACGGAGGACGAGTCTTCGGCCAACATCACGCAAGAGACGATCACTGATTCTGCATCCTACGAAACGCCCTCCCGGGAACACCCCAACGTCAATCATCACCATGAAGATCTGGATCTCAGTGCTCTGACACTGTCTTCGCACAGCACACCCCGGGCGGAGGGGTCTCGCGAAAGAGGACAACAGCCGTCGCGGATCAACGATGAGGGCGACACGACTGCTGCGTCCATAGCATATACGTCGCCGTACGAGAACCTGCGCCAGGAGATTTCGCAGGGTCAATCGCCTTTCGAGATAGACTCGTCTACCCTCCCCTCCACACCTGGGAAGCCTTCCCGCCCGTACCAAGGCTACGAGGAAGACATATCCGGTACCCTCATGTCCTCGCCCTTTGTCCCACCCGTGTCGCACGACTTCCCGCCCTCTACCGGCAAGAAGGCGAACTACTCGTCGAAGCCCAGCGACCCGGTTCTGCACCACATGCTTGACAAGACCTACCGTGTGCAAGCGACTCCGTTGGGCAAAGGCTACCACCAGCAGCATCACAACTATGGCGCGGGGGCAGGGCCGTCATCACGCAGCAAATTCACAGTGACGCCGAAAACTAAAACCTCCAAGTACTACGACTCTCCGATGTCGAGCCCCGAGCCAGAAGCGCCACAGCTACATACAGAGCTCTTTTCGCCGCTCAAGACCCGCACCCCGAAACGCCGCCCAAGTAGCCACGCAGGCATCACCCCACAGCCGGGCATCAGCGTCCTCACGCCAGCCAAGTACAGCGCAGGGACGGGGATGAGCAAGCGGCAGGGCTGGGATAGTGACGACGATGACGACGACGAGCTGAATTTTGACTACCACGACGACGACCTGGGTCCCAGCCCTCCCAAGACGATGCAGTTTCATATTCCCCAGAGCCGCCTTATGAAAACGCCAGGTATTTCTTTCTTTTTTTTTTCGTTTCTTTTTATCTCAAGTCTCCTCTAATGAATAACAGCGAAAGAAGCCTCGAAACGGATCGTGGAAGACCTCCTCGCTACGGCCGGCGCAGACACGACAGACGACCTATACGATGAACAGAGCCCGAGTGTGATTCGGCGGGTGGAGCGGTTGGAGGATGAGACGTTTTAATAGTCTACATTTTAGGTATATTAATAAACGGAATGAGTTACTTTACTGTTAGATTTTAATGTGGAAGATGCGAGTATGAGTACTTTATTCAGATGGGTATTTCCAACAAGTAGAACACAGCAGAGAAAGATAAAAAAAAAAAAAAAGATAAAATGTAGCAAGAGAATAGGAAGAGAAGTGAAGAGAAAAAAAAAACTAACTTCGAACCTGCGGAAAAGGCTATCTTTTGAAGACCAAGAATTGGATTGCGATTTGTATGAGGTGTAAGAAAGACGGACCAATCCAGTCCACCAAACCATACCAATGGCATCAATAAGAGGTCAATTCAAGGCAATGGAATAGCATAGGTTAAGGTGGAGGGTATGCGTCATGACAGATAATAAAATCATATATGTACAGAAGCTGGAACCGGGGTTTGGGGACGGAGGGGAATCCCGGTGTGTCAGGAGCATGTCATACCGAACAAACAATGAGGAAAAAGAAAAATGAGGACGGAAGAGGGTAGAGAGGGGGTATAGAGAGAGAGAGAGAGAGAGAGAGAGAGAGAGAGAGAGAGAGAGAGACACACACACACAGAGAGAGAGAGGGAGTGTGTGTGTATGTGTGGGAGAGAGAGAGGAGAGAGAAGTTCTAGTGATGGATTATTCTTGGATCCCCATGAAGATCTCGGAACAATTCTCAATCATGAACTTGAGGGCGTCGTTCTTCTTCTGGACGTCTGTCATCTCGCGGGCGAGCGTCTCGGGCCGCATGATGGTCGGGGCGAAGACGACCGCGACGTTCTGGCTGGTCATGAGGTTTTCCTTTTCGCGCTCGACGACCCGCGTGAGGTGGAACATGAGGAACTCGAGGACGTCGCGGTGGACCCGCGGCAGCTCGCTCAGGCTCTTCTGCAGGGCCTCGATACGGGCCTGCTGGGAGGTGATCTCCCCGCTCTCGATGACCCCTTCGTACACGTCAAAGGTGATCAGCGGCGTGGGCAGCTTGCGGAAGTACTGCTTCAACGTCGACGTGACCGCGTGGATGTCCAGGTCTGGGTCGGAGATGTCGTAGTCCAGATGTGACTTTTCGAACCCTTCTCGAATCGTCTGCGTTACGCTGCTGGCGCCGGATTTCCGATAGATGCCTTCCATATCCATGCCTGACAGGTCAGAATTTGACCCGTATAAGTTTTGCAAAGTATTAGACAGAAAAAACGTACCTCGTAGCTCGACCTCTTGGATGCACCGTGTCACAATAGCGGGAACAACGCTCTTTTCCACTTCCATCCGCTGCTCCAATTCAGTTCCGAAGAGGCCTGTTCATTTAGTAAATAGGAAAAACAAGGAGAAGAGAGAAGGAAGAGGGGAATTGTACCAGGCTGCCCAGATTCAGACACAGTGCCATCATTTTGCGCCATCTTGTTAGTAGAGGAGGATTGTTTGCTCTTCTGATTGCCAAAGAAACCGAACCCTTGGCGGCTGGGGTCCTGGGTCTGGGAGCGTGGCAAGTTCGGATTGAGTTCCTGGCCAGTCTGGACCGACCCGTAGGGAAGAGCGGTGGGATCCTTGGCCTCGCTGGAGCCAAAGGCCCCCTTCAGGCCCTTGGTGACCCCCTTGGCGACGTTCTGGCCACCCTTTTTCCAGTTGAACTTGCGCACTTGGCCCTTGCGGATGCTCACGACTTGTGGGCCCGGCAGCACGGTTGCCGGCTCAGCCTCCTCCTGCAGATTGGCCGTGGAGATGGAGGTGGACAGGTCATTGATGGAGGGCTTGAGCAACTCGATGGAGGTCATGGATTTTTCCTTGCTGTGGTGTGAGTAAATGCCCAGCCCGTTGGTGTTGGTGTTGGTAGTGGTGCTCGCGCTGCGCTGGTGGTCGTTGGCCTTGTATAGCTCCTGGATCTGGTGGACCAGCTGGTTGTTCAACTCGGCCAGCTGGGCGTTCTTGGACGACAGCTGCTCGAACTCCTGGAAGCTCTTGTCCTTCATGCGATTCATGTTGGCCAGCTCCTCGGAGGCCTGGTTGCGTTTCTGGATCAGCTCCTCGATCTGCGGCGCGTACGAGTCCTTGAGCTGCTGGATCGCCTCGACGAACTCACGCAGGGCCTGGTTCGTCAAGCGCCCCAGGTCCAGCTGGTTCTTGCCCCCGCGCTTCTCGCTATCCAGGTGCTCCGTCAGCACCGTCAGCTCGCGCATCACAATCTCCTTCTGTGCGTCCAGAACCACCATGGTCGACCGCTTCTCGTGCAGCTCCGACTGGGCCTGTTTGACCTCCGCCGACGCGTTGACCATCGCCTCCAGCTCCGCGATCTTCTGCTCCTTCTCTTGCACCCGCTGGCGTTCCTTACGCAGCTCGCTGCGTAGCCAGGCGATCTCGTCCCGCTGCTCCGGCGATGAGATCCCCACTGGTGTCTTCGGGCTGCCGAGATGGTCCACCGGCGCGGTCCCGTTCACCGGCGACTTGGGCCATTTGCCGTCCCGGGACAGCCGCGACCCCTTGTCGCTGAGACTGCGGGCATGGCGCACCGAGTTAGAGACGCGTCGCAGGAACGACTCGCTCGTCTGCCCTGCAGCAGCGGCCTGCTGCGAGTCTTCGTATCCCATAATCCGCGCCATGTCCTCATCCATGGAGAAGGCCCCACCACCGCTGTAGCGGAGTAATGCTGGGGATACCGTGTTCTCCAGTCCTACTACACCTGCTGCTGCTGCAGCTGCAGCTGCACGCTGTGCATCGGATCGATACGTACTCGCCGAATCCTGGCGTATGCGGCCGCTCTTAACCGGGTCCGGCTGGGAGTCACTACGATCTCGAAGCGGCAAAGATGTATCGGGAGATCCATGGGGTTTAGTCGGAGCCGACGTTGGTGCAGCACCAGCACCAGCAGATCGTCCATTAACATCATCTTGACCCGAGGGGAACAGAGTTATGGCGCTGGTGGGCGAGGCGACCTCCTTGCGGGGAATCTGGTGGGTTTTAGACTGCAACGAGTCGCCCCGTTTGGGTGGGTATTGCATGCCACTACCGATGCTACTGCCTCCAGGAGAGGCAACAGCGGAGCGGCTCGAGTCCATCGAGCCATTCTCATGCAGCTTACGGAGCTCATGAGACGGACGGCTCGAAGTCCCATTCTCCGATCGGGAGCTCTCAGGGCTGGCTGCCGCGGCGGCGGCGGCGGCGATTGCAGCTCCATGCAGATCCGAGCGGGAACTACGGGCCGAGCCAGACTTGCTTGCCTTGTTGGTAGCGGATGCATCCGAGCGCCATCGTGAGGCAGGGTCATTGTCTGCGGCGCGGTCGCGGCTCTGGCTCTTATCTTGGTATGCGATATGCGGGGAGGGTGCTTCGGAAGAGGTGGCACTGGAGACGTAGTCATTGGGGGCATCTTTGGACGACGACGACGGCTTCGGGGCGGGTTTGGTGGATTGGCTCGAATAGTCGCGCGAGCGAGAATCGGAGGAGGTTCGAGGCGGCGGGCGGAAGGACTGAGGGTCTTCGGAGGGATCGAAGGCGAGAGGAATGAGAAATTCCCCGCCCCCGTCGGCGTCCGCTTCGAGAGAACGGCTTTGGAGCATTGAATGGCGGTTGCTGCGATACGTACTAGATGGGAGGATGAGTGTGTCTGTAGTGGTTAGCTTTCTCGATCCATTCATTTCCTCTCTTTTCTTCACTTCTCTTCTCTCTCTCTCTCTCTCTCTTTTTTTTTTCTTTCTTCTTCTCCTTCTCCGTTGGTTTCTTGGCCTACCTTGAGCGGGTGGCTTAGGTGATTCCGGCTGCCTGCGTGACGGGATCTCGCCCGGGGTATCTGTATATTGTGATTCGGTCTCGTCATCTGGGCGAGACGGGGTCTGTGGCTTGTCGATGTTGGGGGGCAGGGAAGGCAGGGATTTGTCGAGCTTGACATTGGGCGGGGAAGCCTTCTTTGAAGAGGAACTGGTGGTGGAGGCTCCAGGATTTTTTTTCTTTCGCCTGCGCTGCATGAGAGACTCGTGGCAGTCCATGCAGAAGATACCCTGTGAGGTGCGCGCATAGCGAAGGTTCTCGATCTTGCGCTTGCAGTTGCGACAGCGGAAGCAGCTGGCGCAGAAGGCCTGGTCGCCGGTCAGAATGGCCAGGTCCTCGATCTTATTGCCGCAGGAGCTGCAGCTGTAGGTACAGTTGCTACAGATCAGCGAGCCGTCGCCGAGGAGAAGGAGATGCGCGTCCGAGTCGAGCAGGGTGCCGCATGTGCTGCAGCGGAAGCAGTCGATATGCCATCGGTTTCCGGCTGTAGGATTAGATTAGGAATTTTTTTAAGAAGAAAAAAAAAAAAAAAAAACAGAAAAAATAGAGAGAAAAAAGGTCCAACAGTCAAGAATCGATATACTCACATAGTTCAAATGCCTTGCCTTCTTCCAGGATCTACAAAACACCCATTCATTAGCCCAACTCGAGTCGAAATCCACGGCCATCACACACCTCTCCACAGCCCTTGCAAGGGAACGGAATATCATCCTGATCCATGGGCGACTCCGAGAGCGCCGCCGGCGAGTCCATCTCTGCTCTTTTGTATGATCCTTATTTCCCGCCCTGCTCAGTCTGTTCGTTTCTTCGTTTCTTCGTTGCCCGCGGTCGCGTCGAGGGGTCCGAGGGGCAAAGGGGAGCGATTCGCGCGCGCGATCAGGAACCGAGGAGAGAACGCAGATTATGGGCGTCCGCGAGGCATTCGGTGAGAAACGACCAGGTTTCCTTTTTTTTTCTTTTTTTTTCCTCCTTCTTCTTCTTTTTTGTTTCGGCTTTCTGTCTTCGAATCAACGATGGCTGGGG